CTCGTCGATAAAGATAAATGAAAAAAACCAAAAAAAAATCGGCAGAGCCTCGTTTTTTTTTACTTTATCGTCTTTTGTTGATATTTTTTGATATCGAAAAAGACTCGTAGGAGATTCTCTATATAATATTGCCATCGTTTGTTTCGCTCATTTACATGCAATACTTGTGGTTTTATAGTTCCTTGCGCACTGATCAGCAGTGAATATTCGCTAAGCCGCTACAATCACTGATAAGGATGACATCAATGCGACTTAATGAATCTCAAATATTAACTTTTTTCCACCGACAAATTAAATTCTAAAAAATTTTTTGCTGTATTAGAAAAATAAATAAAGACGTTTGACGTATTTTGTAGGTAAAAATTATTTCCTAATTAGTGTAAATGGGTATTAAAATGACTAATAAAAGGCAGCATTCTGCCCGAAGCAGTAACGCCATTCAGCCAATGATTGACGCCGCGTGCTGTGACGGCACGTGTTAAAGGCAGTCATCTTTTACGGAGATATTAGAAGACTCGTAAATCTCTGTGAAACAGATTGAGTTCTATCATGAAGGTCCATGGTTCTATGGTCATGGAATATATCACGTTAGCTAAAGGGACACAACCCTAATATACATCCGTGTATTAAATGGATACAGACCACCAAAGATTGGTTACATCCTCTTTATGGTGTTTCTCTCCGCATTTTCTATGACGAAAGTTGTTATCTTTTTTGTTGTAAGTCCGAGAGAACCGGGTTTGAGTTTACATTTCCTGACATTCTTTGGTGAATATTCATGATTTTGAGCAAAAATAACCCCTCAACACATGGATAAAGACCACCAAAGATTGGTTACATTCTCTTTATAGTGTCCCCCCCCCCCTCCACATTTTTTAAGGCAATAGTTGGTGTCTTTTTGGTGTAGATCTGAGAGAACCAGGTTTGATTTTACATTTTATGACAGTTTTGGGTGAATATTCGTGATTTTTAAACAAAATTACCCCAACACATTATATTTTTTACATAGTGATTTTGAAGTACTCACATTATCTTACTTTCTTTTTTGGTTGGTTAGTTGGTTATTTTCATTTTATATCTCCTTTCTGAGTGAACAAAATAAAAGTTTTTATTTGAATTATCTAGCTTTTAAATTAGTCCAAAAAGCAGAAGTAAGTTACCATCATACCCTGATAGATGTGTCATTCACCATAAGGCTATAAGGGCCAGATATCTGCTGTCAGTAATATTTCGACTTTGCTCCGTTATCGATATCGGCCTAACATTTATATGCACTTATTGATACGGGTTTTCCTTGTTTGAATTCAACATATAAATGATAATTACCTAAATCTTAATCCATCCAGCACTCTTAACATCAGAGATTATGTGTTCTCTTGCGCAGACACTTGCATTAATATACAAATATATAGTCAAATTGCCTCTTCTCAAACAATTTGTTACATTAAATTATGTTGGTTATGTCAAACTATATTTTGGAAGGTCGTTGGAATGAAGAAGTGTCTAAAATAAATGTTAATTATAACATTATTACTGTTTCTTCCAAGTTTGAAAATAAAATTGATGACACTTGGAAAAGAAAAACCACTGTGGCAGCGTCAATCTCTGGATTCCAAGTATAACGAACCATCTGGTGTGCAGCGACCATAGACGAAGGCGATTCTTAGCAGTTGCTTTGTCAATCATATCCAGAAGTACCAACACGAAGCCATTTCCTTTCGTAAAAAATTCATAGATGTTCAAAACGCCCTCGATAACAATTTTACACTCATCTAGTTGTCTTCATATATAGAAAGCGGATTATTGTACAGGTATACTGTAGGCTTGCTCTTATTCTGATCAAAAGAACACGGGGAATATGGCTACAGCGACTGTCTTTGTTATGGTATTATAAAACAAATTCTAAATTGGATCTTAAATTAAAATAAATTACAAAACAAATTATTTCGTAGTCAATTGTTTTATTTAATTAGGTGCTTATTAAGTAATCAAGAGTTAAAGAATACACCCGCGGCTGTATATAGGTAATTAAGGAATAAACATTCCGAATGCGCATTCGGTCACTGTGACGTCACTGGCGCCTGAGGAGATTAAAGGACAATATTGATGCCAGTCATTATCACATATGTGATAGAACTGGTTAAACACGTTCCAAATATCATTTTATCACAGAGATCATTGCTACGATAGATGAGTAATCAATGTTTCAACAATAGGAAGTGACGAACGCAAAAGGAAAACACGAGTTATCCCTTTATATAACTGAATGAAGTGACGGATGATAACAGATACATTGGCGAATTTCTGCTCACTAATAATTCCTTCGAAGAAAAAAAATGTTGTATGGGACTGTGAAAGGATATCTGACAATTCATAAACAAAATTGACTCTCACTAGATAAGAGAACATGAAAGAAAAATAGAAAAAGTCCGTGCATTACCATGTTTTTATAAGTATAGAATGAATAAACACCCGTGAATGTACGGACTGTTTCTATTTTTCTCGTGTTCTCTTATCTAATGACATGCAATTATTTTTTTGAATTGTCATTTGCCCCCCCCCCCCCCCCCCATTAATCTGGTCTGCCCTCTGTTTGCCCCCCCCCCCCCCCCCTAATAATTTTAGAAAATAAAAAAAAGGTATTTGTGATAGGTTTCGGTAATCAATACCTTCTACGGTGAATAAATCTCACATCCCCACTCAGTCATAAACTTGCATGTTGTAGAGCATTTCCGACAGTCTATTTTTCAAAATTTTCTTGGCGAGGTCCCCAATGGACTCGCTACTTTGGCGCTCACAAGGGGAATTCGTTGAGGTTCGCAAGTCCGTTCGTTTGCCATTTTTTCTCTAGTCGGATAAACTAGTGATCAGACGACGAACGGTATCTGGGCAGATCTATTTATCTCGACGATCGGTTCCTGACAGAATACTGTAAGACAGCATTTCCGGCAGTCTATTTTTCCAAATTTTTTTGGGGAAGACTCCTTACTTTGACGCTTGTGAGTGGGCTTCGTCGTGATTCGCAAGTCCGTTCGTTTGACACTTTACCTCATACATCCGTGCCTGAAATACTGCCAGGCTGCATTTCCGGCAACCTGTTTTTCAAAATTTTCTGGGGGAGGCCCCCTACCCCTAGTTGATGCTCGTGCCTTTGCCCCCTTAACCTTGGACTTTGCCCCTCCAATCACCGACGGCTGGCGCCGCCACTGCATGTATCTGTTATCACCCGTCACTTCAGCCAGTTATATCTCTGTGATAAAATAATATTTGGAACGTGTTTAACCAGTTCTATCACATATGTGATAATGACTAGCACCAATATTGTCCTTTATGAGTGTTTTCGATAATTTGGCAAATTCGTTTTTACGGGAAGTCTTTATTTTCCACTTTGAGTGAAGATGGATGATTTAATGTTAATCAGATTGGTGTTTCTGATAAGAACTGCAAGACCTTCTGTTCATGATGTTTTGATCATATGGTCGACTTTCTGTGTACAGCCTCTTCCTAATTCTGTAAAAATAATAATAAAAAAAACTTAATAGAAATTTACAATGGTATTCTGTCGGATTTTTTGCCAAAAGGACTAAAGCCAAAGATATTTTCATAGTGTGCTGTTGGAAGGAAAGGTTGAATACAATAGAACTGTCAACTCAATTTATAATAAGCCAAAAGCCATTTCACGTATATAGACCCCCCTTAAGGAACGACATACTTTTCAATGTTGAATGTTTATGAAAAGAACGTTTATTTCTTCATATCTGTAATATGTATATAAAAAAGTAGTTGATGAATTTATTAGAATTAGGCCAATTCAAAATAGGAAAGAAAATATTAACATGAAACACGTGGTTATGAAAAGGCTCCACCAAACCATAAAACATTAGTTGCACTTACCTTTCTTTATCATCGTTTCCGGTAAAAGTAATTTATTTTTTAAAATTACCTACACATAAACAAAAGTGAATATTTAGGCCTACACGACATGCACTGTTTTTACAAGCGCCAAGCAGTTTTTAGCTTACCATATAGATAGAAGTACCAATCGTTAAATCAGTGGGTACAAAGAAAAGTCTTTCCGAAAAATATTAGAAATGCCAACGATCAATTTTAAGCGGGATAATTGAAGCTGATTAACCGATAATTCCGATTTTATTGTAGTATGGGCAAAGAAACCGGGGGAAAAACGGGAATTGTCAATCATCAATAATGGCGGCCGTGTGTTGATTGCCATTATTTCGTTTCACGTAAAAGACATTTAGCTTTCACAATTATAAAAACATCAGCAGTGATCGTTCAACGAAATATTACTAAAAAAATACACAAATTTTCAACAATATTTTATTATCAAGTTCAATACTCGCTGATGAAACAAAACAAAATAGAACAATCACGGATCAATTAAATAAAACAAAAGACAATTATTACCAGCCTCACATAGAACGAAAAAAAAACATCCCCCCCCCCCCCCCCCAAATAAAAAAAAAACAAACCCCACAGCTGTTGCTAAATAGATCACACATATTTTCAATAGTCCGAAACGTCGCCAAACCGAATACGAAAGTCCTCAAATTGTCAAACTGAGTCCGAAAGGGCGCCTGTGTTAAGTCCGAAATGACCGGGGACCGAAATGTTGTGTTACCATCCATTCTTGGGACAGAGGGAAGGCAATGGTGTATCTTTGTTTTCGTTAAAGTACAAAATGATGTTATATTTAATATATTGATTGACTCATTGAATAGCATGTAAAGAAAAACCACGCCCACATAATACTTAAAAGGTAAACAAGACCACGTGTCTTTTTGACTCCCAGTAGGTCGAAATTGTGTCGTAAAAGTGTGACGCTGTCCAGAATTGCTTTCTTTGTTCGAATTATCCAAACCAGTTATTCAAATTAAAAAACTATAATGATAACCTGAATGATAAAAGTCAAATTGATAGGACATATGAGAATAATTCTTATTTTGTTTACAAAACCTAATGTCGTAAATGACATCTGTTGAGATTTATGGTAGCTAAATCGTTCAACCGCCATAGCTGATAAAAATTGACAAGTTATTTTCAATTCAACGGCGAAGAACTCATTCTATTTCCATGTTGCAACAGCAGGAAGGGTATGGAATTTAACAAGAATATGATTACCTTTATTTTGTGTTCTAGAAAACGTGTTTGTCAATGCAAATTCGTGATAATGGAGACTTTGTTTGTAAACAACAGTTCCAAAATGTTGTTATTTTTTGCAAGCTCAGCTGGGTTGGGCTAAATTATCGCATATTATAGGTCGTGTCAGGAACAGGAGACATTTTGACAATAGATAGATTAGACATGATAGGTTTTATCCCTATTGATCTTCTTTATACTTTAGAAAATATCCATAGGTTTATATTTGGTAGGATCATAAATACCACTCTTGTTGTAACTGAATAATATGTCTCTGGTCAACAAATTGTACTATTTTACAATATTCCAATTAATTGGTGATACAAATTTCATCTTAACACACCTATTTTAAAAAATTGGAAAAATTCAACTAAATGATTTGAAAAGCCTAACGTAAACCTTTTTAAATGTGACTTGGATTTAAAAATATTTTCGAACCCTCTGGACAAGTAAAATAGGATGTAATGGATAATTTACACAACAGGTAGGACACTTAAACATCTAGTACTTAGAATAAGGCTATTATTTACTTTCTGGAGCTGTCAAGCCAGCAAGAGTGTTATTGTCCCTTTAAATTAGGACGGAGGGCCTGACAAGGACAGCTGTCTAGTCCTTCGGATGACACGAAAAACCGAGGTCCCGTGTATACATTGGAATGCACGTAAAAGATCCCTTGGCAGTTGGAATTCGATATAAGAGTAGGCGATAGTGCCGCTGCCCGGGCAAAATTTCCCTCATAGCACACTGTATGACGTATGCCCGTCTTTATTAGCCCAGTTTAGGAGCAGAACAGTAGGACGTTAAACCCCATTTCATTTTCCTTTAAATTAAGCAGATATTTGATATATAAACTATAAAGTGTCCCTCATCTGAGTGATCATTGCTTGTTGTTTAATAACAAAATGGTGGGATTAATAAATAAGCTTAAGAAGAGTTATAATTGTGTATATTGTGGAAATATACAAAATTACTTCCCATAATTAAAATTCATTAACCATAAACTGCTCAGTTGACTACAAACATGAACTTGACTCTTTGTATATTTATATGGTTAATACATGTAGTATTATTTATTTATTACAGAAATGGGTCGATATTTGTAAATTGGTGCAATTAGGACATATATACAAAATATATTCTAGTTTGCTGTGTCATTTAAAGAGGGTTACATGAACTGTTTTTATTTAAAAAAATAAAAATTAAAAAAGAATTGATTACGTTAGCGAACTGAAAACGGAAGCACGTCATTTTGGTCCCGCGTCATTTCGGACTCAACACAGACAGACTTTGGGACTCCGTTTGACGATGGTTCGGACTTTACTTAACGACTTTTCGACTCGGTCGGGCGACATTTCGGACTCGGATGAATAATTCAAAGACTGTTGAACAATTGTGTGATATATTTATTACAGCTGTTTTTTTATTTTTTTTTTATTTGAGTCCGATAGTTGTTTTGTTTTATTTAATTGATCAGCGATTCTTGAAACCACTAATAAAAAGATAACACTGATTTTAAACTGCTTGTTCTATTTAGTTTTATTTCATCGGCGAGTATTGAACTTGACAATACAATATTGTTGAAAATTTGTGTATATTTAGTAATACTGCTAATGTTTTTATAATTGTGAAAGCCTAAATGTCTTTTACGTGAGTCGGAATAATCGAATCAACACATGGCCGCCATTATCGCTGATTGACGCCTCACATTTTTCCTCGTCCACTAAAGAACTGTAAGGTTTCTTTGGGCATAATATAATAACATAGGGATTATCGGTTAATATTTTCCAAAAAGAGTTTTCTTTGTACACACTAATTTATCGATTAGTACTGCTATCTATGCCAAGCTTGTCAAGGAATGCATGTCAACGTGTAGCTTCCGGATTATCGTTAAAGAATTCTAGGGGCTTGTAAAAACAGTGGATCTCCAGTAAATATTTTGAAATAAATTCTACAGCATATTATTCTTTTTTTAAAAAAAATAAATTACTTTTAGGGGAAACGATGACAGTTGTGTTCAACCTTTCCTTTCAACTTATTCCCTGTCCGAGTCCGAAATGTTGAGGCCACATTTTTTTGAGTCCGAAATGTCGTAAGTCCGAAATGACGCGGGACTGAAATGACATGTAATCCTGAAAATTCGTTCATATTTCATTTGTTAAAAGGAGGTAGGCTTAATAGAATATTTTTTTTGTATGACCATAGCTTTTTTTCTTTTGAAATATGTCTGTATTTTTAAATTATTTTAGTTTAACCACTCATCTTACCTTATGGAACACAGACGACACTGGATCTGGTGCCGGGAAGAGGACGAAGATATCCCATAGCTCACATAGTTTGTCATCGTGGGATATTGATGGAGGACTGGCAGCTGATTTTGATGGATCTCTATCCGGCTTAGGGACAGAATTAGGGACATCTAGTTACAACATGAGGTAAAGCGAATAGACCAATATAGCCTATTATAGTTAGGAGTTCTAAATCAGAAATCGAAAAATGACAAATATGTGTTTCTCAAATAAACTCATAGTTTAACAATAAATGATCAATGAAATTTTCAATTCACCATATCTTTGTAAATACTATTTGGAATTCAACCATTTTTGGACTGATATTCCTATTAGCGATTCAACTTATTGTAGTTTAAATAGAGGTTTTTATAGCTCTAGTACGGAGTATTATAGCTCTTTGAGTTTTATTATTTAGTGAATAAATCAAAAAAATAATAAGACTGGCCTCTAGCTAATGGATTATAAACAAAGTAGTTATTAAATTGTTTCCAGGGACTGAAACAAGGAAGAAGAAATCCAGTTTAAAAGTGATAGATTATGGCTGATTTGTATAAACTTGAATTTCTTTTATTTTCAGTGAAGCACTGCTTGCTCTTCCAGTTTTTAAGCAAGAAAATATAGAAAATGGGTAAATAATTTAATAGAGAAAGAAGTTAATCCGTCTTTGTACTGAACGTGTTCTTTCCAATGTAATCTGACTTGATTCAGTTAAAATTATGTTATAGAGAGAGAGAGAAATGGAGTTTAACGTCCACTCACACAAACTAGGTCATTTCGGGGCTAACACATGGTTCAATTTTATTTCAATAATTCGCTTGCACGTAGGGGTCTTTAGCAGTGGAAGGAAACCGGAGGACCCGGAGAAAACCCACAAGGTTGGACAGGCCAAAATTTTTGTTATACTTGGATTCAATAATCTGTTGACTTAACTCTAAAATGTCTTAAAAACAGCAATTTTTACCTAATTAGTAATAATTCCTAATCCTAATTCATGATTAAATGCACTTATATAAAGTTACACAAATTTCAACAACCCAATGACCATTATGCTCTTTTATTGTATTCGCTCATATATTTTTAGGTTTCAATATATTCTTGGAGCTGCGACTTCTCCAGCTGTTAAAATGAATGAAGAAACATTGACATACCTTAACCAAGGTGAGTTATAGGATATGATTGTGATATTCTCTGATCATTTTTGATCCTGTTTCGAATCAGTGTTCTTAATTCATTTTGAAACGAACCAGGCAGAATTGGGTCAAATGAGGTCGCGAGATTATATAAACTTCCATTCCCTTTAATATAACCAGACTTCAACAAAAATAATTCTTGGTAATTTGTTATGGAGGATGTTGTATTCTAATGTATGTGATTGCCATAAAAATAACGATAAAAGGTGCACCTTTTGAAGATTTTCCATATTTAATTCACGTACCGGTTTGAAGTAATATTCCTCAATAGATTGCTGTCTTTGTCTATACATTGAAATGTTTGTGTTTCATGAATTCATCATTCAATCTAAAATATTACCATTTTTCTACTATTGCTATTTTTACAATGGCAGCTTACTGAACCTGTTATGAATAATCATTGTTTTTTTACCAATCGGCTAGATTAAACATCAATCGGCTAAAGCTGACAATAAACAGCCGATTAAGAACAGTGTTTCGAATATCTGTGTAGCAATGAAAGTTTGAAGAGCTATTAAAAGTTTGTATTGTTGAAAAAATACAATTTAAAACTGGAATTGCTGATGAAGATGTCTAAGTCAACATACTCAAAGGATGTAAAAAAATCCAACCAATTGTGATTCATATTAATCTAACGCAGTGATATGTCCCTTGATATTCTAGAAGTGTTATTCAGTTGCCTGTGTGAAATATATCATTCAGTTTTGACTGTAGTTCAAAATGGACACTCCCTTGTATATATTGGCATGCACATAAAAGATCCCTTGGAAGTTGGAATTCGATATAAGAGTAGGCCATAGTTCTGCTGCCTGGGCAAAAGTTCCCTCATAGCACACTGTATGGTGTATGCCCATCTTCATTAGCTGAGTCGGAGCAGAACAGTAGGACGTTAAAACCCCATTTCATTTCATTTCAAAATGAATACATGTGCATGCCACTGTATTTAAGGGGAACAATTTTAGTTGTCAGACCACAAAAAATTTGATATACATAAGTTTACACTTTACATCTATTACATCTAATTGACATCTTTGTTTTATTTTTTTCAGGACAGTCTTATGAAATAAAACTTAAAAAGCTTGGAGATTTAACAAATTCTCAGGGCAAACTGTTAAAGGTATATTTTATTTATTTCAAGTGATCTATGTACATATTTATAGATTGAAATCCATGTTGTCCCATAGTATTTCTTTGAGATAATGATATAGTTGTCAAGAAGGGTTACCTGCCTGCTTAGCGTGGGCTTTCTCTTCTTGCTTCCTCTGCCTGCCTGCCAACTTAACAGTGGTATTCACTACTTTACTTTGACTGCTTAAGGGCACATAATATGGGTGGGAAAATGTTTCGGTACGTATAGCCAATAGTTACTATATCCATTTTACGGCAAGTTCCCACCAATCTGATTAAAATTGATTCAGTTATATTCACTCAAAGTCGCAAAAAGATGCTTCCCGTAAAAACAACTTTTGTCAATTATCGAAAACAGAAAACACCCTTAATCACCTTAGACACCAGTGACGCCACAGTGACCGACTGCATAATCGGAAAGTTTATTCCTTAATTACCTATATACAGCCTGCGTTTATATTCATTAATACCTGACTGATTCCTTAATCCCCTAATTAAATAAAACAATTGAATACGGAATAATTTGTTTTGTAATATATTTTAATTTAAACATGCATTATGCAAGAGCTAAATCTGCCTATTGCAGGTCTTTCTTTAGGCCTGAAATGTTTTCTAAAGTATTAATTAGACAATAATTAACTGATCCAGGCCTTAATCAACTCTCGATGGCATCAGATTTCTCTGATATTTAATAGATTAGAATGGTTCAGCGATACTTGGATTTAATGAAATATGGAGGACCGAGACTTAGCTTCGATCAACCAGTACGGTGGTTGAAATTATTGCACACGTCTGTCAAACCTTCAAAGGCTAATATCTTCGCTTGCAATAGAGTAATTTGAATGAAATTTTCAAATTATTCATTTTACATCATCTACTTTCAAACTATTATAGCAAGAATGGCTAGTTCTTTATCTAAATCTTACATAATGTATCTTTAAGATCCAATTTAGAATTTGTTTTATAATGTCCCTCCCTCTCTTCTCACGACAGCGATTTTAAAACTGTGTTTTAAAGTGACTTTTTGATAAGAGTTCCTCTACCATTGTGTGCAGTCCAAATGACTCGAGATACATTTCCGTCCGAAGATTATTGTGGTTTTACTTTCCCCGAGTAAAAGAGTAAAAAGATGTGGTCATGCAAAATGTATCATAAAAGTCAAACATGATTGAAACACGATTTGTAAATGACCTTTGACCCTGATTGTCTCGAAAAGGCCACAGCGGCGGACTGATTACCACTCGGCATCGTATTCTACGCAAAATTTTACTCTAGAAAAGTTAGATCTGGTTTTGTGCCCATTTGATGGCCCCCCCCCCCCCTCCACAGAGCCTCCAGACTATTATATATAGCGAATAATGAATATATTGACAAGTGACTAGCACCATTTGTATTTCTGTACTTACAGAGAAGAGTTTGGGATATCAAGTATTACAGGGTTATCCAAATTACCGGTCAATGCGCTAATTGCTATGGTCATCTTCATTTGCCACGTAGCCTATTTAATCAAAGGCAATTTAAATTGGACCGTCAATAAACACTTGTCAACTGGTGGTATGCATAGATAGTGATATATTGTACAGACAGTGATATATATATATTGTATAGATAATGTATATACTATATGTAGTCCCTGTGACGTCACCAGCCAATCAACCGGATTAAGGTTGTATTTGAAAAAATTGAAAAACATTTTGGGGTGTTGGATACTTAAACATTAATAGCTGAATTAATTTTAATCAGATAAGTGTGAACTTGCCGTGACTAGTTTTGTTCGTATTGAACTTTTCCTGATTAACGACTTACAATAGCAGCCAAGAAAATTACGATCCCCATGTAAAACACACCATTGTACAGAGGTTGTAATCCTTACTATGGTATGATAAAGTGAAAACATAAAAACAAATGAAAGTATAAAGAAACAAAGTATTAATAGCATACTTAAGGACTGTATTGAGTGTACTTGTCATGTGTGAAGAAATTATGTGATAGATATTAACTTTTCATGGCCCCTGCATATAATGCACAAGGATATAGTTATCATACTTGTTTTGTACATCCGTTTGTATGTCACTTTTTGTTTCCAAAGCTGAACTGTTCCTTTTTTATCACGGAACTCTGTACACTCAGTAGTCCATTACTATTTTGTCTTTTGAACAATTTTCATTTTTTTTTTGTTTTTCTGCATAGTCTAATATGGGTATCCTTTCCGGAGCAGAACTCCAGAACCATTCTACACACAACATCAAAGTACTGTAGTGATGCCTTTTACTATTTAGACTTTTTGGACATTTTCATATTTTGCTGTTTTTATCAATCAAATAAGATACGGTCTAATCTCGGGCTGGGCAGATCTCCAAAACTATTCAGTATTCTGAAACACTTTATACACACAAACAGCTGTGTGTTTCTCTACCAGTGTGTCCGTATGTCCAGTTCTTTTTCTTGTGTAGAACTAAAAAAACCTATTCTTTTTTTTTTCGCTAAAAATGCTAGGTGAGATGGCACTTCTATGCCATTTGGTGTGTATTTTGTTATTCATCTTTTGAAGTTACCATCTGGTCTGTATTAAAATTATATGCATTATTTAAACTGGTGAAATGACAAAAACTATTGGATTTCAAAACTTTGTAATTATATGCATTTTTTAAATTAGTGAAACGAAGATTTTGCTTTATATACTGCTCAGACAACTTAGCTGCTGTGGGTGTATGTTTCATTGAATGGCAACCTATCTTAATTTTATATTGTAATGCCTTGAATTGAATGCTTTACTGGCTGACCTCTATGCAACTAACACGTTTATGATAAATCTAGCTGGCTACTATGAATGTTCATTGTACAAAATTGTGGGAGCCTGTCGGGATACATTGGGTGAGGGCAGAACAAAAATTAGTGTGTCAGTAAAAGAGTTTTTTATATTTATATGTCAGTACTTTATAAGTGGTAATTATATGATTCTGGTGAAACAAGGTCTTAAAACTTACTTGTAATGGTTGTATATTGTCGTCGCCCCTGTTGTCTACAGACAACAAAGACCATATAATCTTTTTAAAATTTATATATGTTGTGTACATTACGTCCAAAATTCTTTCTCCAATACTTACTCTAACACGGCTTTTGACCTCACCTGTTGTATGCCATGTTATGATTACTCTAAGTTTAATTTATTGTTGTGCATCAGACAATATGAATTTTGTTATATGCCCAAATAAATATAGAAAGAGGGGAATACAAAATCATTTGAATAAAATGTTAAATACCATAGAGGCTCTCAATTTAAACCAATTTTGTCCAAATTTGGTCTGAAGCGTAGTGGTCATTTGAGGCCAAATTCTATTTGATAATCAACAATATTCTTTCCTGAAGTTATGCTCCCTTTTCCGAAAAGGATTGTTTTCAAATTTGTTGTGAAGCATTGATATCATGAGAGGACAAACCCTTACGATATACAGAGTTCTGCACCCTTTCTTTTCCATAATTATGTCCCCATTTCCAAAAAGCTTGTGAACTTATTAGAGACTACAATCTTTCTTTTTTTTTGAGACAAAGCTGCTAAGTGGGCATATTTCCACACTATGTGAGGATATTTATTTTTTTGGGATTTTCACACTGTATTGTAATCTAACCAACTTTCTTTCACACCAATGTTTTATCAGAAAGCATAACCTTTAAATCAGACAATTGTATTCCAAATAGTTATAAACCTGGCCATAAACTACTTATAAGCAGTCTCATATACACTCTCCCATAATTGACTACAATTTGCAGACCATGTATTACATTCCAGTACCAACAATTTCATCACCAGTATTTGAAAATTTGACATGACCCGAATGCAGTATGTCAGACATGAATATGGTATGAAAAACATGAACAGAATTAATATGAAATTAGTGAATTTGGATCTGTAATTTGAATTGTCTTGGTTACAAAACAAATATACTTTCTGACAAAATAGAGGCTCAAAAGATGGGAAACTGTAACTTAACGTAAATCTTGAAAATGCTATAATTAATTTGTTACGTTACAGAGTGTGGTTCGAATAAACTTTCATGAAAGACGTTTACAATACATGGAGAAACAACAGATAGAATCGTGGAAACAGAATCGACAGGGAGAAAGAATTATAGATATAGGTGAGGAATTTCAAATTGTTGTCGGCTAAACATAGGAACATCATTAATATGAGTAGCAGAGCCACTGGACACAGCATTGTAACAAGAATGGAGAAGGATACTATTTGCATGGCTAGTGTGGCTGCTTTAAGTGACCATCTTCATTAGCCCGGATGGTGCACAAAAGTAGGATGTTGAACACTATTTCATTGCCAGACATTTCATTTTTTACCCTTGTGTCTACATTAAACTGTAAAGGAAATTTGTTATGGCCCACATGGGTTGTTGTTGATTTTCTTGTGTCAGTAAATGTGCAGTCTACAATCATGCCAAAAATCACATTTAAACGGCATTATGTCTCACCAGCACTTCCAGTCAAATCAGTTGTGTGTTTTCATTACATCTCAGTATATAAATAATATATACATTTTAACAGTTAATATATAATATTTCATATATTATTTCAGATATCCCTTTATCTTATGGATTAATTGATGTAAACTTGGATCCAATCAAATTAAATGAAACAGAGTTTATATGGGATCCTACGAAAGAGACTGGTGTTTATATACGTGTTCATTGTATCAGTACAGAATTTACCGCTAAAAAGCATGGTGGTGAAAAAGGCGTTCCTTTCCGTGTTCAGGTTGATACATATTCACAGGGAGATGCTGAAGAAAAACTTCTTCATTCTGCTTCTTGTCAAGTAAAAGTTTTTAAGGTGAGTTGTTTAGTTCTTTCTTATTCCATCCCCCATTTTTTTAACATTGACAGTTTCTTGCTAACATTCTGCAGACTACATTTATGTTGCAATCTTTTGAAAATTGATATATTGATATATATATTAGTGAGGTGAAGAAGAATATTGAATTATGATATTATAGTTATACAGTATAAAGACTTTTCTTGTCATTTTCACAAAGATCACCTTCTTGGTGGTGACGGCTTACATGATGTAGGTTTATGTTTTATTTCCTCGGAAACCTGTCTTTACTCCATACACAAAACCTTATAGGAGCTGCTGTGGCTCAATTAGTAAGACGTCGCTAATGTTCAATCTCTGTGTTGACCGAGAAAGTTCATCAGGATTTTCAAGCATGGTTACCCCATGTCAGTGGTGCAGGATCTGACAAGGGAGTAAAAGAACCCTTGGCAGTTGGAATTTGATATAAGAGTAGGCTGTAGCGCACTGTATGGCCATCTTCATTAGCTCGGTTGAAGCAGAACACTGGGACATTGAAACCCATTTTATTTTAAAACTTTATATAGCCAAAACAGTACTAAAATACTAGGTCAGCTTTCGAGATTTTGGTGGGGTTTACATAGTGCCAATGTTATTAAGGGGGGAGGCTATCCAAAAATTTCTATTCTGAAATGTTTAAGCTAATGAATTGAAAATAGTACAAGTAGTTAGGAAATGTAATAAACAAGGGAAAACTAGCATTAAAAAAAGTTGTTGCCAGGGTAACTCATTTTGGGGGGGAAAATTATGAAAAACGTAGGTACACTATATCTCTGTAAATATTTAAGATATCTTCGCCAAATTTGCAGGATATATAAACTAATCTCGTACCACAGAATCAGACAGAAAGCAATTTGAATTACCTTTAATATTTCAAAATATTGTGGTGAGGCAAATGTTTTAAACACCATTTTCCAAGAAACTATAAAAAATTATAGAGAAAAACTCTGTCTGGTTTTAGGGTTATCATTAAATAATAAACACTTCAAAAATCAGACATTTAGCTTTATTAGTGCCAGAGATATGGTGAAATTACATTTTTCATACTTTTTCCCCGAAAATGTGTAACCCTGGCAACAACTTTTTTTTCTTTATTTTTAATGTTAGTTTTCCCTTGTTTATTACATTTCCTAACTACTTCTGCCATCTTCAATTCACTAGCTTTAGAATTTCAAAAAGCAATTTTTGGGTAGCCTCACCCCTTAATCATTTACTGAAGGTGTAAAGTGCACACTGGCTGACAAGGACTCTTGTTACCTGTAATCTTCATTAGCCCAGTAGGACGTTACACCCCGTATCATTTCTTTTATCAACATGTACACATAAACATTATTTCTCTTATTCTTATTTATGCACCTTTCTTTGCAGCCAAAAGGGGCAGACAGAAAGCATAAAACAGATAGGGAAAAAATGGAAAAGAGATCAGATTCAGAAAAGGTAAGGAAGCAAAACACAATTTTTAGAGGCACTGTTTAGTACTGACTATTTAATTTATAACACCATGTTTTTAATTATTCAAATTACAAATTAATTTAACAGTTTTATATGGTTTTGCAAGATAATAGACATTGCATATCATTCATCTTTCTTGTCGTTGTGGGTGGGGGGGGTGGATGGCTGAATGGTTAGCGTGCGCGCGCTGTATCATAAAGTCTGTCATTGAGTCAACTGGCATGGTTTCGAATCCCCGGTTGTACGTGACAAGGAGTAGGGTCGCCTGTCCAACCTCGTGGGTTTTCTCCGGGTCCTTCGGTTTCCTCCCACTGCTAAAGACCCCTATGCGCAAGCGAATTATTGAAATAAAATTAAACCATATTTTTGTCCCGAAATGACCTAGTTTGTGTCGAGTGGATGTTAAACCCCATTTCTCTCTCTCTCTCTTGTCGTTGTTTTGATGATTGTTTAGTTTGATAACCAGGATGTATATAGACACGGTTATAGATTTTTAAATTTTATTTGTTCTTTTCTTGTAGGAAAAATATCAGCCATCATATGAATGTACAGTTTTAACAGAGGTAATTATTGCTTGCCGTTCTCCCAACTTGGAATGTGTCATTTGAGTAACCACTTACAGTATATTTTAGGCATAGTGATCTTTGATTATTAGGGGAAACCAGTAGACTTGGTTATCACTAAAGAATCACACCTCTCCTCTGATCACTAATCAATCTTATCAATAATGTTTCTCTGATGTAAGAGGTCCTGAACACAAAGTACCAGTACATATATTTATGGAATTTAATTACAGAGTTCTCAAATGACTATTATTGTACATGCTTGTAATGTCGCTCCTCAAGCTGTATTTTCGTTCATGTAGTTTAAACGGTATCTCAGAAAATCTGTTTTGTCTTCACTTTTATTTGGAACTAGACAATGTTGTCACGATCTCTTATTACCCAGATGTAAAACGTTTTAGTTCAGTAAGGATGAACACAAACTGTTCTGTGGTAAATTTTTACACTTGACCGCTACTTTCACCAAGATGGATGAGGTGTCTGGATTAACTTTTTATTGGCTGTAGATAAAATTTGGACAATATTTTTAAAAATTGTTTCAAATATAGATTTAAAGCAAACATATAATGTAAATAATGTAAAAATTGAACCCTGCTCTCAGAAGTGTATTCACCAGAATCATCTTGTAAGAAAATCATTGGTAAATTTGAATTAATAAGACTGGTAATATTGCATGCATTAATATTTTACGGTATTTATATTTTTTTTATTTTATAGAATCCTGCAGAAATATCACTCACATCACAAGTTAATTCATTAGGTTTAAAATCACCAGAACAATCAGATAGTTTTAGTGAGCATCGAGGTGGAACGAGTAATCAAGACTGGAGACATATAAAAAATAGGTATAAGAAATGATTTCTGCTTTGGAATTACAATATTGGTATGGCTTAACTAATGAATTTTTAACTTAACCTTGCAAATGTTGTCTAACATACTTATGGTTAAATCAGCAGCCCAATATGTCTTGAGATTGGTGCCCAGGCGCATCAGTCTGATTAAAATACAGATCTATATTTCGTTTCGTTTTTTGAATACTTTCGATGGCCTACACTACATGAAGATCTGACAAGTTGTACTATAAGGTTGTGTTAGGGCTTTTGACCCTATGACGTCAGACATTGATTAATCAATCAGCGTTGGCGTTTCAATTTGTTTACCCACAGATCCGTGCATGCCACACTAAGAAGTCGTTCAGTCGCCATAACAGACTGTTTCATTGGCTTATCCCTCACTTAGCCAGATCCTAGCGTAGTAAAGACAAGTAAAACGAAATTTTGAACTATAAAAAACGAAATAGGATCTGTGTTTTAATCAGATTGAAGTCGCATAAGATAATTTCAGATGAAATTTAAAATAGTATCAGTAACAATTGTCCATAATAAGTGATTCAAATTAAGTACAGGCCTGTGCACATCAAGGATTATTTCTTCACGCTAGCCTGTTATCCTGTCATGAGAATCAGGCGTGCAAAACAAACAATGCACATCACATTGATTCTTTATCAGCGATGAGATTTTTTTTATACAAATATAGTGGCAGCCATCAGGGGTTTACACAAACTATTGGAAATATATTTAAATACCCAGATGGTATGTTGGTGATAGATTGGCTCACAGTAGCACACATATCGCAGACAAAACTCTGGGGACAACATGTCAGGCTGCGGAAAATGGCTAACAAATAATTCTTTGTGTATTATTAGTAGGACTGGATGATATTTGAAATTTTCATTATTGCGATATCAATATAAAAATTCACAAGATATTGCTATTATTGCAATACTTATATACAGTAGAATCTGCAAAAGCAGCCACTCCTATTCAGCGACATCTCGTTGTAAGCAGTCAGGATAAATTCCCCCCGTAGAAATTCTATTGTTTCATCTCTTTAATCAATGGCCAATGGTCACTATTTTGTTAATAAATTTAGCAAAATAGCGCTTATTCAACGGCCATTGTTGAATGATACTATCTTGTCGTACTTCGTAGAACCTCCGCTAATCCCGTGATTAATAGTTAATTATCTATTCCCCCACCGATCAGGTAAAACGAACTGTGAAAATAACAATAAACCCAGGATTGCCCGTTAATTAATCTTTTGTTTTATTAAATGACAAACCCTGATCATTGTTTTCACACGTATTGAAACATTATTAGATACCGATTGAATAAACTAATAGTACTAGCAAAGCCGAGTTTTGTCGCGATCATTTAGTATCTATTTTCTATTGCCACTTTGTTGCTAAACAGAAGTTTTAGCACTCCCTATTATATTACATACAGAGTTACACCCCCTAAAAATCGATGACAAATTTAGCAATGTTTTTTTGGACATGTGCTTTTTGATAAAATAAAATTAATTCATGGATTTTCTTCACAAAAATGAATAAATAATGTCGAATACATTACAGTGGTTGACAGTAGTATCAATGTTGGTACAAAATGACAGGTTTACAGAAGATATATCAGAGATTTGTGTCAAATAATTTTCATCCCAAGCAAGTTTCAGCGACGGCCAAATTAACTGATGCAAGTATTGATGTTTGCTCCCAGTGCATCCAAGTGTAAAATTTACTTGATGTCAGCACTAACAAACACTCAGATTTTATTAAGCGGTCACTCCCGTTAGGCGGCCAGTCATGAAAATTCCCTTGAGTGGCTGCTTAATACAGATTTTACTGTACTGCTTAAACACAAAAGACTCGAAAAGAGGTGGCAAACCCTTCAAACAGATTTCTATGAGAAGCATGTAAATTTAAATCATTGTTAGGTCAAGCTTACATACATTTCAATAAAATATAATTGCTCAGGCGAATTGTTGAAATGAAATTGAACCATGTTTGTCTTGCAATGACCCAGTTAAATCTATGTGAAAATTCACATAATTGAGAATATCCTGAAAATTTTCTTTGTTAATATTTTTTCAGCCCACCTCCAACTCCAATAGCGTCATTAAGTCAGAGTTTATCTGGATCATCAACTCCTGTTCACACATCATCCACACCCATTCACATCTCTTCGAATAACGTTGATACCTCTACTAATGTAGTTACTATGGTATGTTGCATTTTATTGTTAAATAAATATTATAATACTATTGCTTTTACCAGTAGTAGAAGTAGAAAATTTATGTGATAGAATAGAGTAAAAAAAAACCTTGTTACTGGTCTCTCGACTAGAATGTCCAGGATTTGAATTGCGTCCTGGACTGATAAAAACCTAAAAGATTTTTCAAACCAGTTTCTCACTTAACATGGGTTGGTATCTACAGGGCTAACAATTAAAAAATACCTTGTTTGGGTGGGACCGAGTTACATTTGTGTAGACATTGACGTCCTCATAAAAGAACTCAGGGCAGTTGGAATTTGATATAGAGTAGAAACTCTGCTATCTGAGCAATATAGCCATTGAAGTGAAAATTACCATATGTTAGTCTCGAAATGACCAATATTGAGTTGATGATATGTTAAACTCCATTCTATTTCACATTGGTAATACTGGTTTAAAGAAATCACCTACAAAACTAGCAAGATTGAGCAAATGATCGATCTTGCTAAGGGAGTAGTTCAGATTGAAAATTTTCATGGATGAAACCAGCAAAGTATGGATGAATGAAATATGTGTCACCAACATGCCATGCATATTAAATATGTTACATGTCCTACATGTCATACAAAATTAAAGCCATGGTTATTTTCCAGCCATTATTAGGAGAAGCATCTGCAGTTGAGGTCACACAATGGTTACATTTAAATAGATTTTCACATTATGTTCGAGTTTTTCAAAACTTTTCAGGTAACATAGAAATTTAGTTTTAATTATTTTAAGAAGAATTTTGTTTTAAGGCAAAAATCAGATGCATAAAACATGAGAAATGCCATATCCTTCCGATTGCTGACCATATTCAATATTGAAATTTTGATATTGGCATACCATTATTTTAAATAATGGTACAGGCAAAGTGACAATCGGAAATTATTGCATGCTAGATGAAAATTGGACTGGCATTACGATGTCATTGAAATGCATGTGCAGGATATATAGTGTCTGTATTTTATGTTATTTACCGGTAATGCTCGCAAGCAAATCATTGAGACAACACTCAGACTAACGTCCTTCTGCTTTATCTGTATATTACTTAATGTTCTCAACGATTAAAACCACATTTAAAAAATATAGAAATTGATCATTTACAGTAATATTATTCATTATGTGTGAACAAATGGTAGTTTTTACTTTGTATTCAAATTAGAAAAAATAATTATATATGTATTGAAGGTGCTGATTTATTACGACTAACAAGGGATGATTTAATACAGATTTGTGGATTGGCAGATGGTATCCGATTAAATAATGCTTTACAGTCTCGGTAAGAAAACTAAATCTTGCTGCTTTTAGGAACCTGTGTTGTTGTGGTTTGAACAGATGGGTTGAAAAGCAGATGCAGTCTGGTTAATCTTATGAAATGAAAAATCTAGATCATGTGGTCAAATACAAAAATTTACTAGCTCAGTATTACTGTACATAGTATATGTTGATGACCTTTAAGATATTTATGAACCTTCTGGCATCTTTTTCTCTAGTCCTTAGGATCTTCACAGTCCAAATCTACTTTCTTTGCTTCTCCCCATGAGATACAATTGATCTGTAATTCAGAGTCCAGGTTTTTTCCCCCATGGTGTCACTGGATCTTCTCACTTTTGTTTGCCATGTAGATTCTATAATGGTGAGGTTTTAACTCAGTAGTAAGTACAGGAGGACTTCACTGCACACAAACAAAACTCATCAGACAAACCTGTGGACAATAAGACAAACAAATTACACAGACATTACAAGCAATAAACAACAGCCGTATATATCAAATCAAGGGAACGGATCCGAAGCCCACTGTAAGCCTCTACTGTGCTGTACTGTCCCGGAACTATAATGATACAGCCTTCACTAGAAATGAAAAACAAAGGAGCTATCTCGCAGAACAGAAATGTGTGCCTAATTTTGATTATTTCTGTATTTGTTGCAGGTCTGTACGGCCAAGGTTAACTATATATGTCTGTCAAGAATCAGAATCAGGTATGTATATTATTGTTGATGGATCATGATTACAATTTAATATATAAATCTTTTCTTTCAAATTTGTTCTTTGATATACTTAAATTTTTAATTCAAGACATTTTAAATTTGGAAACTTAAATTAATTTAACCTAATTTTGATAAATTATCCCGGTTTAATACACGTGATGCACACGGTCTAGATGAGACACATTTCCCGGGCCCAAAAATGGCTAGTTAATGCCCATCTTCATTAGCCTAGTTGGAGCAGTAGGACGTTAAACCCCATTTCATTTCTAATACATTAACTCAAACAAAAGGGCACTATAAAAAAGAAATTATTTTATGTGGACAGCTACTCAGTCGACCAAAAGTAGCCAAGACTATTGACAACAGAATGGTTTTCGTTTTTTTAAATTATTGAATGTTATTGTAATTTTATTGTAGTGTATCATGCTATATATTTGGAACTCATGACGGTAATAGAATTAGCCCAGAAGTTAGCATTGTTATTTGGTATACAGACACATCATATAGGTGATATTTACACACAAGGTCCATCAGGAATACATATACTTGTTACAGATGAGGTAAGGATCAGGATTGAATAAGTATACTAAACAGCGAAAAAAACCTTAGTACGATTTCAAAATCAGAGAGGCACTTTAATCAAATCATTCTAGAAAACGACTTACTAAATGGATCAAAGCAATTTTTTGTGAACAGCATGTTGACACATTATTGATTAATTCATCACAGTTCCAAGACATTACAAGAAGGTTTAAAGTCTGTACACAGTCTACACATCAGTATCTGGTGTGTCCACCGCGAGTGTCAATAACAGCAGCGCAGTGTCTGTACATGGAGTGAACCAGACGATTGATGAACACCATTGGCACCTGGAACACCACAGGACCTACTCTCTTGTTCAGGGCGATTCCACCCCAAACCATTATGCTTGGACCTCCCAACGAGTGTCGTTCCATGACACCTTGGTCAGAATAACGCTGGCCACGTCGACGCTACATTCTGGTCCTGCCATCTGCAGTTGATACGCAATACCGACTCTCATCTGTGAACAAAACAGTTCTTCGATTGCCTGTGTTGCCAGTTCTGGTTTGTTGGGTAGACTGCAGGCGTTCACGTCGATGGCGAGGGGTGAGGATTGGTCCATGATAAAGTCTACGGCAATGGATGGTCTCTCTAGTGAGATGTTGGCGCACTGTATCTGTACTGATAGGTTTTTCATGTGTTCCAACCGCCTGACGTGCTGTCTCAGATGCCTTTGCGAAGGGATTCTGTACGTGCTGTCGCACAACATGGCGGTCTTGTCACCTTGTGATAACCATTGGTCTGACAGTTCGGGGGTGCTTGTCCCTGGTGTTGGTGGCCTGAAAGCGTTGCTGAAGCCTGCAGATGGTCCGAACATTGACCTGGAAGTGATTGGCAACTGCTGGGGCAATGTGCCTCGTTCATCTGAGCTGTCGTGAGTCGGGGCATGCTGCTGACGTTGTAGTGTGAATGATTCAACCAGGAATGGGGGTGTATTTTATAGGGCTGGTCCCGGTGAACAGCATGTGCAGCATGAGTTACATGAAAATCATGGAGAACACATTACCATCTCAGAAGTCAGGTTGCGTTTTTGAGAACATTTCCTGGGTTCAATTCTGTGTTTGGGAAGGAGCCTTATTGCTCAGGTAAAGTTGGAGATGTGGTCACAAATATACAATAAAAACATTTGGTAAGTTTTATGCAATGCGTCTATTCAGAGTAACATACCAACCTGACGTTTCTTTTGCTGCTTACTATATTTTGAATTTAGTTGTTACCGATATCAGTGTAAGTCGACATTAAATATAATCGTTTTATACCCTAAATATGAAGACAATCAATTCCCGGGTTTTAAACACAAAAAGTTTTAAATTTTCTAGATTTTATGAAATTATAGTTCTGTCATGTATTATTAATGAAATAAAAATAAAAACTTACTCTATGTTGATAGTACAACAATGATGTATTATTTAACTTTAGGTAGTACAGAATATGCAGCATGTACAGGATCAGTCCAGGTTTGCAGTCGAAGGAATGAAAGGTATGCGTCTTATTTTTCATGTTATTTGCATTCACTTTAAGAAATCCAGTCCAAGATTTCAATAGTTAGGTCATAATAAAGTATAGATTTGGCATTTCCTAGTTATTTTATTGAACACTGGACAGATAAGTGATTTAAAGAAAGGGTCTCATGCTTAAACATATCTCAGTTTATGAGTGTGACATTGCCATCAAATTTAATTTAATTATCAAGCTTGAGATTTGTAGCCTCAGAAGAATGATGTACTTTCAAGGCTGGATTCTGTGTAGGATAAAGCACAAGACTGAGGTTATGCTGGGGAAAGAACGACTGAGGAAAATAACCCGATGTTTTTTTCTGAAGTCGAGAACCTTATCTTGCTTATAAACCGTCTATGTTTACATGTACATAAAATGAGAATATCCCAGAATTCCAGTAAGAAAAACCTTATATCATGTTTTCTTACGGAAAAAAAACCTACCCTAGAAGAATAACCATTTACAGGTTTATAGAAAAACTTTCAGAAGAATAACCCCAAATTCACTTATATATATTCACCCCCCTCCCACCCAAACAACATTCAGACCGCAAGTTATTCGGGCATAGAATATATCCCAAAGATCCAAGAGATTTACCGTTATGTGTAGGATAAAGTGCAAGACTGAGGTTATGCTGGGGAAAGAAAAACTGAAGAAGATAACCAGAGAAAAAGAATAACCGAGGCCGGTAGGCCGAGGTTTTTCTGTCAAGGGTTTTTTCTGAAATCTTTCTTCCCCAGCATAACCGAAGTCGAGGACTTTATCTTGCTTATAAACCGTCTATGTTTACATGTACGCAAGATGAGAATATCCCAGAATTACTGCAAGAAAAACCTTATATCATGTTTTCTTATGGAAAAAAAACCTACCCTGGAAGAATAACCTGTTACAGGTTTAAAGAAAAACTTTCAGAAGAATAACCCCAAATTTCCCTGTATATATCCAAAGCCGCCCCCGACTTTCAGAACGCAAGTTATTCCGGGCATAGAATATACCCCAAAGAGCAATGAGATTTACTGTTACAGGTTTATAAAGGTTTATAATTATTGTTCTCAACTAGCTTTAGGGTTTTTCAAGCCTTATCCCAACTTATTAAAGGAATGTGTGCCTAGTTGTTAGGATGGTATGCTAACAGGGACACCTTGATGTGCACCATCCTTGACAGTTCAATTTGAAAAGTACCATGGTAGTCTAGCAATTTATTTACAGGACTCTCAACTAGAATGTCGCAGATTCGTATCCTGGTGTGGGCTCTGAAGAACCATTATGATTGTTCAAGCCTGTAGCACCTGTCTGGCTGACAAGGAAAGTGTTGCCTAATCATTTGGATGGGACGGAAAACCAAGGTCCTCCCATGTAGAAGTCATATGAACCCTGGAATTTGAAGAATTTTATGCCAAAATGCCATTGTCCAGGCAATATTCTCTTCTATAGCATTGCATTCATGACCACATTAAATATAAGAAACGATGGACTTGACCAAAGTATTAGGTTGACAAGACAATTCGCTTTATTCCTTTCCTTCCTGGCTAAAATCTATTCCTAGGCCTGTAACCTAGAAAATAAAATGACTAACAAAGAGATATGGCATTAAACCCCATACCACTCTTTATTGTTCTTTATACCCCCGTCAGACCGGGGTGGCGTCCTTACTTCGCTGCTACAGCGATGGAAAATGGTTTTAGAGTGCGTTAAGATCGCCATAAGCGTGGTGGATATGCCAGTTATCGTGCTGTGGTCTCCATGGTCGCCAATGATCGCCGAGACACGGTGTGTAAGTTGAGCATGTTCAAAACAAACACCAAGGTTCTGTGATCTAAACTGGAAAGCTATGAGAATACGACTTTTTTTCAAGTTTGTAATTTTTTGGGACATTTTCGCGTGTTGTGTTCACGTTTGCCGGCAACCTTGTGCATTTTCTGTTCACGCTACGGTCGCAGCAGCGCAGTAAGGATGCCACCCCGGTCTGACGGGGGCATTACTATTTCATGATGCAAAATTATTTCAATTTGTTTTTATTTTTTCAGATGATGAAAATAATAAATACAGAATTTTATTAAAACTGATTGAATGAAGTGTTATATGCTGAGACAATATTATTACTCATCCTTAAACATGGTAAAATTATCCTCTTCTTTCGAATGACATTCCTTTATCCACGATATATCATATAGAAATTTTAAACTTCTTTGTGTGGAGGCAAGTCGAGAAATTAAAGAAGACCACGAAGCGAATATTGTTTGTTAAAATAATTTTGTTTTTAATAATTGAGAAAGTGAAAAGGAACACAATGTTGTTGGGATTCAGAAACAGAAGTTTTTATATCTTCTCTTTACATCAAAATCAACTAAAGTTGAAAGAAAAGACAAGTTTTTCAACGAAGAAAAGAGAAACTCTTACAATCTTATCAAGGACAGAAAAAAAGCAGAGAATTATGTATTGTCTAAAAAGAAAATATAAGTATATTATAGAAAGAAGAAAATCCTGTGCAAAATTTATAGACTATAGTAGTATTTCTGTTGAGGATAAAATCTTAACTGCATGTTGTGCTGCTCGTTTCCATGTGAAACATTATATTCTAAACAAATTGGTTTTACAATTTTCTTTGGCAAGAAGGAAGCCATTTTTAGCGGAAAAGCCCAAACCAACTTTTTTCCTGTTCTGCATTTATGCTTATCATATTACTGACTAATTGTGTAGACCCAGATACCGAGATTATTGGTTAGATGCCTTGTTTATTGTGACTGTGATGGGTTGATTTCATCCTTTACTAATAACTTATAATAATAATGTATATGTATGGTGCGCTTAATAATCCATCCATTTATGCATTCTCAAACCACTACTTTTAAGGAGCCTCTCGTCAATTAAAAAAAAAAACAATAGAGTGCAAACAAATGAGATGTTAGTTGTGACTTAAAAATTGTTATAGTTTAGGATTCTTTAATCTTTACTGGCAACTGATTGCAAAGGCAAGGTGCAACAGCACTGACATTTTTATCACCAAATTATTTTAGTTTTGTTTTAGGAACAGCAAGTATATTTTTGTTATGCGAGCTTAGACTACGTTTAGGTTTATAGTATGTCAGAAGTTCAGACGAATATAAGGGAGTGAGATCATTTTGACATTGATACATGAATGACATAACTTTATACTGAATCCAGGGTTCGACAGGCAATCAGTGAAGAGACTTTAACTCTGATGTTATGGGTGGATATTTTGAAGTTCCTGTTACAATCCTGGTAGCTTCATTTAAATATCTTCATTTAGATACTTGTTAGTGTAATATCAGCCAAATTAATTCTCTTCATATTTCGAAATTCCATCCATTAATCCCCCCTCCCCCTTGCCACATCCAACGTCTGATTTATATGGTTTGAAGTTCGATGTATTTGTACGTAATAGAGTTATACATTTTAAAATATCAGTGTTGACTAGTAATCCATCAATCATCATTAGAGATGCTTTATTTTATGTTCAAAATATTTTTGATACTTTAGCTTGTAACCGTCTTTTATAAGTCAATTAACTCTATTGTTGTCCCCTGCCTTTTGAAGAAAGCAGGGGACTATTAATATGGGTATGTCTGTCTGTCACACTTTTTGAGACAAAATAACTCTCCTTCTAATTGTGTTAAAATGTTCAAACTTGGTATTTATTAGGTGATGGTCTTGATGGAGTTTGAAGATGAACATTTTCTGCTTAGGGTAAGCAGAGATAAGCAATTTGATTGGTTGATGCTTTGGGACACGATAACTTTGGTTCTAATTAAGTGGGAGTGATGAAACTTGGTGTATAGTTTTGTCACATCAATACCTTGACTAATTTCGATAATAAGCATTTTCGGCTCAGTGTAAGCAGGTTGATAAGCAATTTGATTGGTCGAGACTTTGGAACACAATAATTCTCCTTCTAATTGAGGTAGAATGTTCAAACTTGGTGTAGGTGTCTTATTTTCCACTAAGGCTAAGCCTAGATAAGCAATTTGATTGGTTGAGACTTTTGAAGGAACATGATAATTGGGTGCGAGCGATGAAACTCTGATTATAGATAATTTATTTCAATACCATGGCTAAGTTCGATAATGAGAATTTTCTGCTTAGGCGAAGTAGTGATAAACAGTTTGATTGGTCAAGACTTTAGAACAAGGAAGAATGTTTTAACTTGATGTTAATGTTCATTACATGTAGGTGAATGTCTTGACTGAGTTCAATGATTAAAATATCCTGCTAAAGCTAAGCAGAGCTAAAATTTCATTGGTTGATGCTTTGGGACAAGATAATTGATTGTAACTGATGGAGAGTGATGAATTTTAGTGTTTAGTTTCACTACAAGGTACTTCAATACCTTGACTGATTTTGATTGTGCACATTTTATGCTTAGACTAAGATAAGTATAGATAATCAGTTTGATTGCTTAATACTTTTGAAAAAGATAAATGTGAAATTAATCAATATGTGTCATCTATTTATTGGTTTTCGGCTGGGGACATCAGCTTTACTCTTGGCTTGTTTCTCCTAAAAATGGCATTTCTTATATATTGCAATGATATACATATCACAATATATTGCAGTATATAGCCCTAACAATAAAAAGTTATCATAAGGTGTTACGCTGCCATGCATTTAGTTTTTTATACGCCCACAATTTTGTTGTCATCACTCCTGTCTGTCCATCTTACATAAGGTGTGCTATATGCACCACTCTTAATTGTTTAGTACTAAAGTACAATTTTGTAATGGTTTTGTTAAGCTCTTGTCTGCCTGGTGATTATGTTACCCCCTAACTGCTCTTTGAAGTATGGATTCCCCACCTGTTCGTGACAAGAGTAGGATCGTCTGTCCAACCTTGTGGGTTATATCTGGAGTCCTCCGTTTTCCTCTCACTGCTGAAGACCAAAACGCGCAAGCAATTTATTGAAATAAAATTGAACCATAATCCTGAAATGACCTAGTTTGTGTCCAGAGGACATAAACCCCATTTCTCTCTCTCTCTCTCCCTTAAAGTATGAATGGTGCAGTCAACAAGCTCAAAATTTTATAATTGATGTAGTTATTACTTAATAGGATTTAACTTTTCGTCTGGGAATGTAATTACCTTGTTAGCTTGAGATTAGGATATGGTACTTCTCATTCTGTTTGTATGCATGTGAGATTGAATGTATTGTTAGGGTTTATAGAAAAGATAAAAAATAATTGTCGGAATAATTTGTTCAAAATATCAAAGATATATACATGTGTTGTGTGATTATGTATGTATGTAGATGTATAAATTTTGAAGATAAAAAAGAATTATATATATACTTATCATAGTAAAAAAAAAAGAATAATTATGCAGCAGAATTCATCATTGATGTTGAGTCAATTCATTTTGTGTTAATTGTACATTAAAAATAGCCACTCTATGTTTTAAATAGCATTTGAGTGGTTTTGTTAACAATTATATAAAACTATTATTACTCATTGTTATATGTTTTATGTAAATTCATTATTTGTCCTTGTTCAAATGCTGTTAAAATTGAAAATATCATGAATTTTATTTAACAGGACTCTACATTCTGAGGAAAGTACAGTCTAATAAGTGATTATGAATTGGTGAATACTAAAAAGTGATTTAAATATAATGCTGATGCATAGAAGATTCATATTACATGTTTTACTATTTTTATATGCCCACATTTCAAATTTGGCTGTATATTGCCATCACCCCACGTCTGTTTGTCATCCTGTCCGTCAGTCAGATTCCTTGTTGGTGCAATAGAGGCTACAATAATCTTTTAAGAAATTGATATGTGTTGTCTATCATTTTGAAACACAGGTTTGCAAACTTGTTGTAGATGTTAATTAGGTGACTTGAGTTGGGATGATGAGCATTTTCTGCTTATCGGTAGGCTAAACAGAGATAAGCCATTCGATTTGTTACTGCTTTGAGGCTCAATAACCGTTATTGAGTGAGATTGTTTTCACTCAATATTGAGCATTGTCTGCTCGAGTTAAGCAGAGTGATCAGTAATTTGATTTCTCAACGTTTATAAATGTGAAAGCAATATAGGAATGTCATTTATTTATTTTGCGATTGAGACAGGGGATATCATCCTCACCATTGTCTTGTTAAGCTATCGTTGTGATATTTATATTGGTTGTCTCTCCTATTGAAAGGAAGAAGCATATTGATTTTTAATGATTTTCTATGATAACTTCCAGAGTTATTCCCCATTGTTACAAAATCTTGGGGATGCTCGATTGTCAGTCCAGAACATCACAAATTGACAGAATTACAATCGAGTGAAGTGGAATTAAGTCCCATCACAGCTCTGTCAGTCCCGACAATAGAGGTGGTGTCAGTAGAATCGTGACATTATTAAACACAACCAGTAGTTATGGTTGGTTGAGATATTTTCTTATGCAGTCAGCTCATGCGTTGTAGCCCGAAATCCACCTTTTCAGTCAATTGTCGCTATTTTTGGGATGGAGAGAATTTAGTTCAGGAACGTTTAATCGAGTATCGCCTTAGTTAGCACATAAAATCTTCCATTGCGATCCTATCATTTGGGAAATCTTTAGTTCTTTCGCCCATAACTGGTTTGAGTACTATGCTGCTGGCAGGTGTATGTTATTAAGAAGAATTGTATTACTGTAGTCCAAAAACCTTTGAGCTTTTGAGATTGACTATTTAGTTAATATGTTCTTCTAGGTGTCCTACTTGCTCGGACTATCCATGTTAGCTTCTAATTTAAAAGTCATATTTTCATAACAAAATTTAAAAAATCAAAATATGCAAAAAGTTGACTAACTGGAAGAATTATGAAGAACTTTGTTCTAAATCTATTTAAGAAAAGATAGTGGAAAATTTTGATTTTAAATAACTAAAACGATGAATATGTAAGCAGTGGGCACCATCATGTATGTAAAAGAAATGATATTTTATATATACAGTGTATATATTACATGCTGTAAAGAATTCACTATATATGTAGACATATGTATGTAAAAAAAATATGGTGTTAAGAGTGACTTGATCTATACACTAATTAAGAAAATCATTTTACGCATTTTAATGTCAAACTTCTCAAAATAAAATATTGTTAAAATTGATCATGATCGTTTGTCATTTGTTATTGTAGATGTAGACTATTTGACATATTGTTTGATGCGTGACAATATTCGTGTCACTGTCGAATAATCTTGTGGTGATTTTAAACTATGTCAGCATGATGAAATATAGGCGGTCTATGAAGTCAAATGAGAAGTCATCATAAATTTTTTATGCATAAGAAATAATCTTGACTTTAAATTCATACAGTGTTTAAGGTCATGAGACGAAGAAGCCTATTGATTTTTAAGGATATCCGATAATTACTGCCGGAGTTAAAACCTTTGATCATTTTGAAATACTCTTGTGAACGTTCTACCAAGATACGGTCCATGGTTCTACTATCTAGAAGCTAAAGTCATCACCCAATTACCAATGCATAGTGTTATGACCATGAGACAAAGATGCAAATTTATATGCTTTCGATTGTAAATTCATCATCATATTACACGTTTTATATAATAAAGGTGACTCATTATTTTAAATTCGAACAAGGGTTTCTGCTCAGTTTCTGCTCAATCGGTAGAATCTGTGAAAAAAAGGCCAAAAACCAATCAAATTAGTACAGTATTATGAAAAAAACTGATACTTCCATACACTTGAGGCCAGTCTAGGGTTATATTTAAGATCAACAATAAATCAAACTTCTCTGAATAAATATAGTCCATATGTTACCCAATGATCAGAACTTCATACTTATACTTTCTTAAGTTCAGATCAAATTGATTTCTTTCCTGTAATATTTCAAAACACTTCGGACCCATTCCCAGTTTCATTGTATGTTGCTCAAAATAATTAATTCATCAATTTTTATCATGCACTAAATTTATTTTAATGAATTTTGATTATACATAAATGCAAATGGCCATGATAAGCATCCAAGCTGATTGTTTGGCTGAGTGGATAATAGCCTCTAGGACATTGCGATTAAATTTGTTACACCTTAAGCTTTAGGCAATAAAACCCCTTTCATGGACAGCATTGAAATAAATAGGGTTATAAATGCCCTAATAAATGACAGATAATCAAAGAGGGATTATAAATAAATATATGAGCCTTTCAGAGATGAATGCTGATCGGACCTTTAGCTTTACTCATTCAATGAACTGCAACTGTATCGAAATACTGTTAAAGGGACAATAACACTCTTGTTGGCTTGACAGCTCCAGAAAATAAAAAATAGCCTTATTCTAAGTACTAGATGTGTTGGTGTCCTACCTGTTGTGTAAATTATCCATTAAATCCTATTTTACTTGTCCAGAGGGTTCAAAAATATTTTAAAATCCAAGTGACATTTGAAAAGCTTTACGTCAGGCTTTTCAAATCATTTAGTTGAATTTTTCCAATTTTTTGAATTAGGTGTGTTAAGATGAAATTTGTATCATCAATTAATTGGAATATTGTAAAATAGTACAATTTGTTGACCAGAATAAAAATTGGGACATATTATTCAGTTACAACAAGAGTGGTATTGGGACATATTATTCAGTTACAACAAGAGTGGTATTGAGCCTTTAAGCTGACAATCTTGTGTCTCTTGCATATTATGAAATTGGTTCAAACTGGTCCTCTTTGATTATTTTAAATAATAAATGTACTTTCTTCTTTGGAGTTTGATGTTGTGATACTGATCAGTGATAGTGGCTGGCGGTTTGGCGTCTGGTTTACAAAATTCTTAAACGCTCTACCTCATCTTTTTTTAACCCATAATACAAATCAATGTATGAACATAAAGTGCTACTCCAAAAGGTAATCTTACAAATCCATATTAGTAATTTAATTAGCCAGGCAAATCTTATCTGACGGAAAAAATATATGAAGCATGTTATTGTTTATAAGAGAGGGGCGTGGTTTACACGAGTGGGCTGGGGCATTCTATTTTAAACTTTCGCTGCGACGTGGCATGTGACGTCATATACGGAATTTACCGAATCGTGCAAAGACAATATTTTTTACATCAAAGATCGAAATATCTTTTATTTATGATCAGTTGTAGATGTAGAGGTCGCAATGGAATGTTCTTAAATATTTTGCTATTAGGAATTTAAAGGACGCTGTTTTCGGCAATCACGTGACCTCTTCTTCACCCAGGACGTGGCGATCGGGTGCTACGTCGAATTCTAGTCCATACAAACTATAATTATTTTAACTTAGTGGGACAGACAGGCGTCGATCTAAACTTTTAGATAGTGGAGACGCCAAGTAAAAGTCATGGGGAGTAAGTATGAATTTGATTTTAACTCGATTATTTTCTAATTTTGGTAAAATTTTGTCTTCAATGTACTCCACAACAACTGACGTATGGGAAGGATAGGGCATTATGATTAAAACTAAAAGCCGGTTGGGAAGGGGTTTCTCGACGACCGTGAATAAGAGAGGATCCTGTTCCCAGAGTTACAATACAGTATAAAATAAATGTACGTCTATTTTACCATTAATTGTATTTACTGACTTTAAAGATGTAATTTTAAGGAGTTACAATTTAAAATTTGTAAATAAAGACGTCTGAAATCTTTTCGGGTAGATAAATATCTCCACAGCTGTTTCCAAATCAAATCGGCGTGACAATTCGGTAATAATACTACAAATTATGGAGACATTTAAAACACTGTACAAATATACTTGAAAAACAAATGTTTTTGAATTGATTTTCTCAAACATACATTATATTTGTAAAATAATGTCTGCAATTATCATAATGATATGAAATAGTACAGATCTCCACCAGCAGTCTTCAAAAAAGGTGATGAAATAGTTCTAGACCCTTCTTTCCCAGGACCATTTCATAGTTTACCAAATTTTATTTATTTTTTTTTCAATTGAGTTCCTACTGCATCCAAATTCCAATGCGATATTGTGTTCAATCCTCACCCTCTTTCTGCTGTAAAAAAATATTTCATTCAAATTGGAAACATTGACACGATTTGAACCTCCATGTGCTGAGTTTACTTGTTATTAATGTTATGTGCTTGATTAATGACTAAAAATACTTGAACACTTAGACTTATTAGAAGACTGTTGAGAAAACCGAACAACCCAACTTTTATTTATAAAAATACATAAATGAGGGATTAACACTAAAGCAGTCAACCATGTAAATATATGGTTGAGTATCAGTAAGTACTATTAATCCCATTTCCACAATATATGGACACACATGAACACTGAATTTTACTTTTTTTTTTTTTTTCTTTTTAGTCAAGTTTTTGGAGTTTGTAAAACCGTTTTGTGCGGTTTTACCTGAAGTTTCTAAACCAGACAGGAAGGTAACTACATCATTATGTATAATTTGTGCCTTTTACTAGCTTTCTACAATTAATATTCAGAGTTTCTGTGTTTGAGGATCTGTGCCAATTGCAGTTTTAAAACATCAAGGGGCAGACATTGTTTGACACATGGCTTGTTCTAAAAAGTATGTTAATTGGATCAGGAAAGATTAGACATAATACATTAATCATAACAACCAACACAGATTAATCAGGTTTTGAAATTGTTGCTAATCCTAAAGGATATATTTAATAGCATATTATATAAATACATTGTTTGTACAGCTGATCTTGCTTTATTATGAACATTCAGTTTCTTTAAAATATTTTTTAAAAACATTTTCATACTATAATTCTGAAGCAGCAATATTTCATACTTGTTATTTTTATTTTCCAGATTCAATTTCGAGAAAAGATATTATGGACAGCTATTACTCTGTTTATTTTCTTAGTCTGTTGCCAGGTTCGTATCTTAAAATACTGTTCTTTTCTTCAACCAATAGAAGAAATATTTGTGTTTTAGAATATTATAAGGGAAATTCTATCAATTTTCTCTCGGATTCCATTATTTGGTAACACATATTTGTATATGTATAGCATGTGTTTTAAAATTTAAGTAGAATTCCATTAAATTGTTGTATTTGTGACTTTCAGATTCCATTATTTGGTATCATGTCTTCCGATTCAGCTGATCCTTTTTATTGGATTCGTGTTATTTTGGCCAGTAACAGAGGTAACTATCATTTCATTTAATTTATGCTATTTTGGTTTAAATTATGCATGTTAATTGTTATACATTCCCTAAATAGACGATAATAGGGTCCACCTTAAACTTGAAGAAATCGGGTTACTTACTGTGCACAGTTAGACAACCTTTAGTTTTGACCTCGGAATGTTTCAATGATCGAAGTAATGTCTTAACACTGATCTAAGTTTTTGATGTTTTTATTTTCAGGTACATTGATGGAGTTGGGTATTTCACCCATTGTAACATCCGGTTTAATTATGCAACTGTTAGCGGGAGCTAAAATTATAGAAGTCGGTGATACTCCAAAAGATAGAGCTCTTTTTAATGGTGCTCAGAAATGTAAGTAAACATACGTATACAATCGTACACATGAGTTGAGTTTCAAAAAGATCTCTACCCTTGTCATCATCATCAGATTGAGCACTGTCATTGCAACCTTGCTACTTTAACCAATATTATATAACCATGGTCCTAGACCATTATCAAACTCAAAACTTTTTTTGTAATGTCACAAAGTTGAAATTAGTAAATAAAGTCTGTTTTTATCATATTGATACTAGTGAGATAATCTGGTTATGGGGCAACTTACACATCTAAAACTGCTTCACAATCAGTATACTGATTTTAAGACTAATACTCAGCCCCAGCTTAATGCTATTTTACAACTGCCTGTGTGTAGGTCTGTATAAGTAATATTGAGCAATGTATATAGTTTAAGAAAGAAATAGTTGCAGGGTGTGTCAACTCAATTTAAATTTAAAGATGTGTATTTGGGAATACAACTAAGAGAGATGGGCACAAATTTTCTGCCATGTTTTATTGCCACATTGATTGTTTTTAATTTATGTTTTGTCAGATTTTAGCTCACCCTATGTCATTGATTCTTTCCCACTAAAAACAACTGTTATGTTTTAAAATACCAATCCCATATTTTATTTCAGTATTTGGTATGGTAATTACTGTTGGTCAGGCTATAGTATATGTAATGACAGGAATGTATGGTGATCCTGGTGATATCGGAGCTGGTGTCTGTCTTCTTATTATTATACAAGTATGTACTTTCTTTTAACCGATACAATATATCCTCTATATGGGTTGTGCTATGGATTAATTTTTTCTGTGAAATGGGTGGAGAAATACCTGTAGTTAATTAATGTAAACAGAATTAGTGCCATCATATACTATCAGGCATTGCGGTTAATATAAAAGTGTAAGTTTTTAAGGAAAAGATGAAAAAACCCATCATAGATGCGAAGTCTGTTAAAGATTTTTCAAAATATTCAATAAAATTTATGTAATATGAATTTGTAAATGCTTATTAATTAATGAGCATGTTTTCTGTATATTTCAGTTATTTGTTGCTGGTCTAATTGTATTATTATTAGATGAATTATTACAAAAAGGTTATGGTTTAGGTTCAGGTATATCGTTGTTTATTACGACTAATATCTGTGAAACTATTGTATGGAAGGCTTTCAGTCCTGCTACAGTCAACACTGGTAGAGGTAAGTGTATTAAGACTTTCGAAAACCCATGAATGTTGATTAATTTGAAACCATACTATTATCCCAGAATAAAATTATTGAATTTCAATACAGAAACTAACGGAAATCTTGTTATTGTACTTAGATTTTTTTGTGGCATTTAATGAACTCTTATTAGGTGTTCTTGTTGACATGTATTAATTTATTTTGTACAGGAACTGAATTTGAAGGAGCTATTATTGCTCTCTTCCATCTCCTAGCAACCAGAAGTGATAAAGTACGAGGTTTACGAGAAGCTTTTTATCGTCAAAATCTACCCAATTTAATGAATTTGACAGCTACAGTTTTTGTGTTTGGAATTGTCATTTATTTCCAGGTAAGAGTCTCTCATTATTCTAAACAAACTCAAAATTAATCAGATAGGCTTGAATCTTTTCTGTATTTTTAATCATTTTTCTGGAACATTATAGTTTGGATATAATTAGTTTCAATTTATCTGAATAGTTTAGTAGTACAGTAAGGTTTAGGTTTGTGTGAAAGAAATAAGATGTATATTTCTTTTTACAAATTTTGACACTAATATTACTTCTATTTTTATTCCAGGGATTCCGAGTGGATCTACCAATCAAATCAGCTCGTTACAGAGGTCAATTTACGTCATACCCTATAAAATTATTTTATACCTCTAACATTCCCATCATTCTGCAGTCAGCTCTAGTATCTAACTTGTACGTTATTTCGCAGATGTTAGCTACCAAGTTTGGTGGAAATTTCTTTGTGAATTTACTAGGTGTCTGGGCTGTAAGTATAAAATATATTTTATCTAAATAATGTTTGTAATAAATAATCAGTTCTTTTTAATGATTTTCTTTGGATTGAAAGAACTTAGAGTAAAACATAACAATTGGGCATGTACTGGTGATTTAATGGATAAATATTTAAAAAAAAAATTTTATTTTTTTTTACAAAGATCACTGGTTGGCATACATGTATATTTTAATATAGTTATTGCCATTGTTACAATTCATGTATAAACAAGAAGAAAAATTAAAAGTGTATAGGAAAATATATGGTTAGAATCCAGTTCATTAATGAAACTATTCTATTTGTAGGATGTTGGAGGTGGTGGCCCTGCTAGATCTTATCCAGTCAGTGGATTGTGTTATTATATGTCTCCGCCGGAGACGTTATCACATGTTGCCGAAGATCCTATTCATGCTGTCCTATATATTATATTTATGTTAGGATCATGTGCTTTCTTCTCTAAGACATGGATTGATGTATCAGGTTCTAGTGCCAAGGATGTAAGTAAATACAACTCTTACCATTTAATACAGGCCTTCAAATAATTTACCTCGATCGTTGTCTCTACAAATATATTTGAGTCAATATAATAATTTAGCATCTGAATACTACCGGATACTTACCCATGATGTGTCTAGTTCAACACAAGTTACTACAATTTCTATCTTTTGTATTGTAAAGCAGTTGTGTGCTTGAATTTAAGTATGCTGCAGATATGTCATTACTGTAGCAATTATGCTCATGATTTTTTCCCCCCATTTTGTCCAGCTACTAAGGAATTTGTCCTTGTCACTGAAATATTTCAATCCCTATTGGTACAATGATGTTGATTGGGCAGAAAAGTCTATTTCTGTCTCCTGCATATTGTAATAAAAAATTTCAAAACTGTAGATCTCGTAGAAGTAAACCTAGCAATAAAAAAAAAAGAAAAAAAAGAAGATTTTTAATATGTTCGATGTCATTTGATTTCAATATTTGTATTTTTTCCCAGGTTGCCAAGCAATTGAAAGAACAGCAGATGGTAATGAGAGGTCATCGTGATAGATCTATGATTAAAGAATTAAATCGTTACATCCCAACAGCTGCTGCTTTCGGTGGTTTATGTATTGGAGCTCTCTCTGTAATGGCTGACTTTATGGGTAAGTTGACATGGTTAAAAGATAAATTGATTAAAGAATGGACGTCATAATTATTTCGAGAGATATTTATGGGCGAGATTCTTGCATAAAAAGGATAGCAGACGTGTATTTGTATAGCATATATAATGGGGTCTTATAGGGTAATTTAACCTAGGTGATTTGTCATAAACCCTGTTGACATTACAAATATTAAGCGTGCCAGGCACAGCACGGTTAATTTTTTGTAGTGTAAACAAACGGGTCAAACATAAGCGGGTAGTACAGAGCCAATTGAAGTGAGGTGGTCTCTATACGGTGCCAGGCACGACACGGTTAGATTTTCATAGTGTAAACATTATCTGATCTGAGAACGGTTCTCAATACAGATTACTGTGCATGCGCCAAATGAACCATGACCTTCCCCCCCCCCCTCTGCGAACTTTGGAGTTCTGTCACAATGGCTGCCCAAACTAAATCAACTGCCATAATTGTTTTCATCCGGGTAATTTGCATAGGGACTGAAATTAACTTTTCTGTGAAGAATTCACATTTAGCGTGCCTGCCACAGTTCCGAGACAAGTTATTGTAGTGTAATGTTAATGGGTCAATTTCTTGAAATTTGGCGCGGCCTGGTACTGTGCCGGTTCGCTTATCGCGGCCAAGTGTAGACAGGGCTAAAGTAGATAGATCCTGTAATCCGAGTGCATTCCTATTCATAATAAAATAATATGTATAAATTCTACATTATTTATTAATAAATTAAATGTATCACAAAATTAATTCTATGTATTTTATCAACAGGTGCTATTGGAAGTGGAACTGGTATTCTATTGGCTGTTACAAACATCTATCAATATTTTGAAATCTTCGTCAAGGAACAGAGCGAGATGGGTGGAATGGGAATGTTATTATTTTAAATTTATCTTTAGACGTCCAGATTCATTGTTCATTAAGTTATCCCCACTTCTAGGTCATTGGACAATTGCTTTTAATAAATTAAAAAACCAGGGATAAGGAATAGAACATTATGAAAGGACCGGTTGGGGAATTTCAAGAAGGAAGGGTTGATTAACCAATGAAGACACCATCAACCAGTTTGAATCGGCAATGATGTAAACAATTTGTTTTGAAAGATGTGTAAAGTTGATGTTCATTATTTGCTTGTTGAGGCAGATAAGAAGATATTATTTGTTATGAAAGTCAGAAAGGAACTCATAAAGAATTTAATCTTCAGCTCATAACAATTCTCAAAAAAAACGAAAAAAAGTTAAAAAGATTGAATGAACTATTCATCTACCCTTGTGTTACAATTGAAATTATTGAAGAGTTATTCCCCTTGGATGTATTCAGTTTGAATGCTAGTATGAGTTTTCATTGTTTTGCATAATTCAATATTTTACTTGTCATTACAAATTGAGTTTATTGTACATAAGAGTAGCGAAATATGAACAGAGAGTTAACTATTTATTTCCTATACAATGGGGAATAATTCTTCAAGACATAGTTAGATTTATTAGATGTATATGGTTAGGGGTTTGTAAAAAGATGTTTTGTTATAAAGACTATAATATGTTAGCTTTAAATGTCACAGAAACATTCAACGATATAAAAACTTATTACAGAAAAATGTACTTCTGATTTCTGATTTATTTCAAATTGTTTTGTTCATTATTTCAAAAGTGTAAATTTGGTCAGTTTTTAAATTCAATTTTAAGAAGTATTAATTTTGACTTGAATGTCTCAGTCGTTTCCTTAAATCATCAATCATTTATATACATGTGAATCAAATACAAAGAGATTTGAAAAGAAAAAAAAACCTAAAATAAAAATTATTTATAAAAAAATATTGTCTGGTTTTTTTTTCAAATTACTAGGACATATTACATGTAATTAAATCTGCATATTGTAATGGATACCTAAACTATTGGGGGTGGGGAGAATCTCCATCTTTAACAAGTTCATGCAAATATTCCTATCCCTGTTGATTAATGCTAAAACTGTGACGTTTCACTTGGCTTGAGAATTCTGGCATGAACTACTCCCTCACTAAATCCTGATAGTTGTATATTAAGTGCAGGATTTGCTCAACACTAAATTGAAAAGACAAACTACATAGACATTGCAAGAAATAAACAACTAATATCAAATCAAATGAATGGATCCGAGGGGTCAGCTATAAGAGACCACTGGGTTGTACAATCTCAGACCTGTAATGTTCCAGGCTTCACTCAAAATAAAAGAATTAAATTATGATTAACAAGATAAACTTTATAGAAATATAGTAAACTTTGCATAAGTCGGATCTAAGTGGACTTGACAAATTTTATCTGAGTTGAGTGAAGATCTGACTTAGCCGAAGACCAAAATTCAATCTTGGCTCCATTAGAAATAAACTGCAAGAGCCGGGAAAAAAATGATTCAAAGGCACATTTCAAGCTTTCGTTCGTATGTGCGAGTAGATAACTTCCATTTTGTCGCCATCTTTGAAAAATGTCCTAAATTTTCCCGTAAGTGCCTCGTACAGCAGACCGTGAGTTTATTATTGCGTCACGTCAAGTAGGCTGATTTTGACTCAAAATGATAGGGGAAAGTATTTTGGGGCTCTGTGCATGGAATACCTAACCGCGTTTTAGACCATCAGGACGAAACTGACGTAGTCAAATTCTGAACATACTGCCGATCCGACTTAAGCAAAGGAAAAAAATCTGGAATTCGATCAAATGGACCGAACATTTTGATTCGAGTTGAGCAAAGATCCAACTTACATGCAGAAATTTAATAAGAAAAACATGCAGGATCAAAGGGTCCAAACGATTTTATGTGAGTTGAGAGAAGATCCGACTTATACGAATCAGACTTGTGCAAAGTTTACTCTAATGTGACCATGCAGAACTTGGATGATAAAAGCATCATAGGTTGTGACTTGTCAGTCAAGGCAGCAGAATTGTCAAATTTATACTCAACCCTAAAGGCTATTTCAACCATACTCAATATATGGTATACCTGCAACTGATTAACAGAATAGAATGAAAAATATAAGGTCAGTCATTGGTATTTACAACTTGGGTGGGTGTGAAGAAGCATTATAAAAGTTCCACATCCAAAGTGATATACCGGTAGCCTAATATATAAAATGCACTGCCTTATTCAAAAGAATTTTATTCATATTGCCAACAAAACAATCTTAACAACATTTTTTTTTTTTATCAACAAGAGCATGAAGGGCTGATGACTCCATTTAATACAAAATCTTCATTGGTCACTGGAATATCTGAACAAATCTGTTCATCAAAAGCCAATCCAATGGTCACAGGATTGTAACCCTGATTTTTACATTCTTGTAGGTATTTGTCATAATATCCTTTACCACGACCTAACCTAGCACCATCTATGGTAAACGCTAAACCTGGAATGAAAATTAAATCGAGTCCACCGGTTTTCAAAGCATCATCACGACCGGTCTTATGCAGTGGCTGCTTTATTTTCCATTTTGTTTCGGGAAGATTTACATAGTCATCCCACGATTTCAACTGCAACATTGCCATTTCTGGTCCATGATAATAAGGAATAAAACAAGTTTTTTCGCTTTTCAAAATATCCCGAACAATAGACTGGGTGTTAATTTCATCAATCATACTCAGAAATATGGAAACCCTCTTGCTCTTCATATAACTTTCATTTGCCAACACTTTTTGAGTCACCTCTAAAGACTGGTGAGCTTTCTGATCGTCTAATAATTTTGTCAGTCTTGATTTCATTTCTCTTCTAAGAAGATCTTTAGCTTGTTTTATCGAATTTGTTGTCATTTTAAAACAAATTATGATTGTGAACGGAATTGGATTCCAACCCAGAAAGGTATTTCCTGATTTGGTGTTCCACCTAGCGGGGATTCCCTTGAGATTCTAAAATCAGCCAATCAGAGCATTGTAAACATATTGCACGTTCAACTTCCGGTTGGGACAGTCTTAAAATGTTGACACGTCGATAAATGCATGGATTTCCCTCTGATTTGCCATCTGGTGCATTTGATACGGTGACACTTTTTTCAGATCTATGTCAGGCGGCGCCAATCTTATCAAGGAGCCGGAAACCAGTATTTCAATTACCGGAACTTCTGACGTTGCTTTGCTAGCAGACCCGAGGACAGCAAAAATGGTCGGTGTTAATAAAAAATTAATTGGCTGTGCCCTTGGAATTTTCGTCTGCTATTTTTATTATGGTATTCTACAAGAAAAGATGTAAGTATACGCACGTGTTGTTTTGTAAATAAAAAGTGAATGTGGTTTATCCGTAAAATGTGACATGTCTAACAGTAGTACTAAACCATAGAAATGAATAACTGAATTACGAAATTAAATTTAATCATTCAGTTTCACAAAGAAAAATATCATCCATCAGATTTGTTATTTACTTTAATTAATTAAAAGGATTAAGCCATTTAAATGATGATTTTTATTCAGTGTCACTTGTGTAGGCCCTACAGTGTGTAAGCAGCTATACACTATTTTTATCCAGTTATCTGGTATGTTCTCAAGTTTTGCCAGTCAGCGCGTCAGAAAAATGAATGTTACTCTGTTATGATTCAATTTAGAATCTTAATTACTTAGATCCTTCAGTGTAAAAGCATATGAAAGCAATGCCAAATAGTTATTAAATGTCACTGCTAATTGTAAACCAGTGAGATTCAGAAAATTTTGAAAAAACCTGACCAAGGCCAATATCTCAGAAATTATAAAAAGAAGATCCATGAAACTTTCAGAAATTGAAGTTCAAGATGCGCAGGACTTGTTTTAACCAAATTATTACAAAAATGTTCTGTTGTAATGTAAGCTTTTATGCCAGACTCGAACAGAGTTTCAAAAATGCCCTCCCATGTTTGACACTAATTTTAATTTATGTATCCAAAGTTTGCTTCAAAAACCTCTCAAAACATTTTAATTGCAGGAAAAGTACCCTATAATTTTCCTCTGCCAACTTCTTTTTCTAACTTTTTGTAGTTTAATCGTGGAGTCTACTGCACATCTAATTAATCTCATGTTCTCAATGAATGAATGATATATATTCCTCTTTTATGGGGAATCATAGTTATTCGGTTTGGACCCTAGACTCACAACCAGAATGTCCTTTGTTTGAATCCTGATGGCCCGAGAATAATCTTCGAGACTTATTTCAAGACTTGTTCCATCTTGTCAGGAGTTACACATAAAGGACTGACCAAGAAAGTGTAGTGCATATATACTCTTCAAAAAAAGTAGGGGATATTGAAATGCAAATACCTATGCAGGTTGTGATATGATAAATAGTCATGGACATTTGACATGCTAGAGAGTATGTTCACAGATGAAAAACTTGTCGCCCCAACAGAACCACTGAGCTGCACATGTGTGACGCAATAGCGCCATACACGTGGGAGGGGTTCATTGTCAAATTTGACATTTCAAGGAAGGGTTGACGAAAACTGCCGTGTGCTGGTTTATCTATCTATGTTTGCTTTCCTATCGGTTCTTGCATAAGATTTACTGTTCAGCAGATCTTTGCTTTAGTGTGTTACGCTTAATTTGATTGGGAGACGTGTTCTTCGACGTTAACGTCGACCGACAACACTGCAAGAATCGGCCATGACACTGCAAGAGGAGTGGGTCAGATTGCCCCAAATCGTGATTGGACGGTTGATTAGGAGCATGCCACGACGAACTGCTGAATGTCTGAGGATTGGTGGAGCAATTACTCATTATTATGACAAAAATCAAAAACGTCCATTTTCATTTTTGACGGTGTATCTCTGCGAGTGAAATGGGGCTGTCAGATAAGCCGCCCATATGAACTGTTTATGTTCATGTGTAGGCAATTGGCCTGTTATTAACATACACTGGTTACCTCTAATAAAAACAGCACTGTGCATTTCCGCAGTTTTGCATTGTTTCTGAATATCCCCTACTTTTTTTAAAGAGTATATATAAACTTAATCACTCGGTAGTTAGAATTTGAAGAATAGTAGGTGTAAATGTCAAATGACAATTTTTTGTAGAGAGTAGGCCTACTGGTACTTCATAACAAATTTTATCTTAATTCAAGTTGAAGACCAGAAAAAATAACAAATTCAAAAACAAAATTATTTTATGATTTAATGGATAGATGGTATATAACAAATTTTATCTTAATTCATGTTGAAGACCAGAAAAAATAACAAATTCAAAAACAAAATTATTTAATGGTTTAATGGATAGATTAGATGAGTTGTAGGTTAGTCTTTCATTTGTCTAAAAGTTTACATACTGGAACTTGTGTTAAAGGAAGTACATATTTAATTAACAATTTGTATAAAAAGAAAAATGACCTTGCCCGGGTGTATAAATTAGATGGTTTATGGAAGGATTTCACTTCATGAACCACTGTAGACTTGTTTAGTAATACAGAACATGGTTTTGAATACAAAAGACTCTACTTTTTAATTTGGATTAATACAATAAGTAGTACATATAGAGCTTCAGGTTGAAGTCTTAATCGTTTTAGCAAGCTAAAGAAGCTAAATGCAAAGTAACTACATTGTGAATATTGCTCTCATCCTATGCCCTAAACATTGCATAGAAGTTTTAAATCAATTGGGTGATATTCTCTAAACTGTCAATAGGGTTTTTCAAACCTATCAAATACAATGACACTGAAAGTAATTGTGGATAAGTGAAATATGATTGGCAGGTTTGTTTAAAGGGGCATTAGGTGAGAGAGAGAGAGAGAGAGATGGGTTGTTTAACGTTCACTCAATACAAACTAGGTCATTTTAGGACTAACACATGGTTAGTTGTCACATACAATCAGGGAATCAAAACCATCCCAGTTGACACAATGACAGACCTTACAGTGTGCACATGCTAACCATTCGGCCATCCAATCCCCGGGGCATTAGGTAAGATTAGATTTGGTGCTTCTACGTTGTTGTCCAAAACATTACACAAAATAAGAAGAATTGAATGGTGTTGGCATAGTTATTGTTTGGGATAAGACAGTTTTTCTCTTATTTTTTAGAGCAAAAGTACATTGTGATTGACTTATTTAATCTAATTAGTAAAATAATATGTACCTGATCAGACATAATAATTGTGTAGCAATAATATTTTAAGTAAGCTGATAGTAGTGATAGTTAAAAACATCAGTCAGAAGGTAATTGGTAGTTGACTAACTACCGGGATGTGGACACTTTGCTTGTCACAGCATATACTGGATGTGGGCATGGCCTGCCTGTGTTAACTTTTTTTAATTTAATTATTTCTGTTGTACTGTAGTTTTGTAATCAGAGTTCAGCTTTAAGATCTTTTTGAGCTATAATAGATGTTGTGCATGATGAAGGTCGAAGGATATATGATAATTTTACTTGTCTTGGTGAAGTTTGCAATGGTTAAATGGATATAGTATGAATGTGTAGGTGGCTTTTGATTTACATCTAACATAGAAAATCAATTTCCATTTAAACCTGATGAAATTAACAATAAAAGTAAAACATGTGGTGTTTATAGCTCTTTATTATAGTTTTATATAATGACATTTATTTTAAACCATAAAATTGCTTTAGGATACATGTTATTCTCAGTAAAGGATGATTTTACTTGAAAATATTTTTCATTTATCGTTGTTAGGAATGAAGATAATACAGTGTGAGGGAAACAAAATAGATAATAATAAATTTTCAGCTGCTCTAAAAATTAATCTTAGTGATAAACAATCTTATAATGGGAAATAAAAACATTATGCTTAGTATGTATTTATTGGTGCCGATTGGGTATGATATTAATATGCCATTTTGTGAAACTAGATGTGAAGGCGACATAAACATAAGGTTAGAAACAGTTCTGTTTGGCTTAGATTCATGGTAGCTATATGATAACTTGGTATAAACATTAGTCTATTGGATGTGTTTCTCTTTAGCTATTATTCAAAGCTTTTCTGTTTCAATCGTCTTGTTTCATGATATTTTTCAATATAATAACACTGAATTGAATTGTGCTTGCTCCAAAAATGTCCATTAACTAAGTCAAATAGCAAATTTTCAGATTATAGACCATCTTGACACTTTGACATTTTATATCAATGTTTTCAGCACCATTTTCGCTAGTCTCAAATAAGGTTTCCTTACAGATTTTGTCTTGACATTTTGGATTTTTGACAAGCACAAATGGATTTCAATTTTTGAGGGAAATTGTGTAATAGTTGTTGCACAATTACAGCTGGAGTAACTCTTATACCTTTTCATATTTCAAGGTTCACGGTGGTAGGCCTACTGCGCAACACAGGGGTTACTGCTAATTTCACATGTTGTAATGTTTTAAAACTTCTTTTATTTCAATGTACATGTATTAACTGTATGTGAGAAATAAAGTTGCTAATCCATGCCAGAAAAACCTGTTTTTATTCTATAATAAAAGTTTGTGGGGACCTTCAAGTCACAGTCTTCTGTAATGGTTGTAATATTATTATTATTATTATTGTTCGATTTATATAGCGCTTCATTACACGAGAAGTGTTTCTAAGCGCAAATCACAAACATATACTATACTATTCAAAAAAAGTAGGGGATATTTGATTTTTAAGTGTTATTAAAGTCACCTAATGAAACTGACGAAGAAACAAATGACAAAATGAAATGAAGTTCACATTCATCGATTTATTCCAAATGATCGTTAGACTAAGTAAGGCACAGACTGACCATTATAAGGGTAAAATGATACCCGGGGTCAAACAGCAAAGTTACCACAGCATCACAACCAAGTCAGTAACGGGTAAATCCTCCTCTGTTTGCCAAACAAGCATTGATCCGACGTGGCATACTCCTAATGAGACGTCTAAGGTCATTTTGGTCCAGATTGTCCCATTCCTGTTGCAACGCAGCAGCAAGTTCTTGGACATTGGCAGGACGTTGTTGACGTTGACGTAACCTCTGTCCAAGCATGTCCCAGACATGCTCGATGGGGGAGAGGTCGGGACTCAGTGCTGGCCAAGGTAATGTGGTGATGTTCTGTTGTTGGAGGTAACCTGTAACGATCCTGGCCCTGTGACATCTTGCGTTGTCATCCTGGAAGATGAAACGGCGGCCATGACGTCGTGCGAACGGCACAACATGGACTGCCAAGATGTTGTCCCGGTAGTACTGGCCTGTAACAAGCCCTGCAACAACATGTAAAGCCGTTCTTCCAGCAACAGTGATGCCTCCCCACACCATAACAGAACCACCCCCAAATCGATCATGTCTGATGACGTTAACGTCTTGGAAGCGCTCGTTTCGACGACGCCACACCCTCCTACGTCTGTCCAAAAAATCAACAGTGAACCTTGACTCATCTGAAAACATCACATTGCTCCAGCGTCGATTATCCCAGTGTTGACGATCCCTACACCAACGACGTCTTGCCTGAATGTGATGATCTCTCAAACAAGGGATCATGCGGGGACGTCGGGCGCGAAGGTGACCCCTATGCAGTCGATTCTGAATCGTCTGGCCACTCACTCTCACACCAGTGTCTTTTTGAAGACGAGCGCTGATCTGATTTGCTGTGATGACACGATTTCTCAAGGCCAAGGTACGGATAAATCGATCCTGGGATTGAGTTGTCGCCCTTGGTCGACCTGAGCGTGGTCTGTCCTGTACAGATTGTGTATCACGGTATCTGGACCATAGCCTGCTTATGACAGACTGAGAAACATTCATCGTCCGCGCCACAACCGCCTGTGTTGTGCCGATCTGTAGCATGCTAAGGGCAAGTAACCTTTCATTTTGGGTAAGCCGACGCATATCAAAATTTGTTTTCTGGTCACTAAAACAATTAAACTGATGTTTCCACCCTGGAATTCAATGCCACAATGACTGTAACATTCAAAGTCAGAGTCGTGCAAATCTTGGGTTGGACCCCCATGATGATCCCAAGCATCACCTGCATTCCATGCGGTAGCTATTGGTGCGTTTGGGCGTCACATGTAACTGGAAATGTTTCTTCTGTTAGGTTCTATAGTATTATGCCCCCAAAATCAAATATCCCCTACTTTTTTTGAATAGTATATATATGTGGTTAAATTAATTTATTGATACTGCACGCGGGTATCAGCACAAGTGTTGTATCAATATATTTCGCTATGTGTTGCTTGACACCATTAAACAACTTAAAATAGAGACATTATCCTGCAAGTGCATTTTAATGAAATTGTCATACAAGTCCAATATTTCATCCAGTATGAAATAATGTAAGCTGACAGCTGGAACATTTTCAGTACATTATATGAAATAATGATACACCAACATCAAAGGGTGATGTCACATTTGTATTTTAACACAATATCAATATCAGCTAATGACCCGATAATAAGCAGTGTTAATAATAAGCAGGTATTATCATGTGAATTGAACATGTTCACCTCATTAATAGATTATTATTAAACAAATCAACTATATGTTTACTAAATTTATATTAAAACACAGCTACAGGTCATCAATCTATAACACATCAAGGTACAATAAGTTCTATTTTGGAACAATTCAGTGATTGTTGCCATTGGAGTTTACAAATGAGAAATAAATTCACTGCTATTGAAATGCTAAATTCATCACATAATAAAGCTAGAAGAGATCACTATAGATTGATTATCAAAAAAATAGCAAAAACTTATAAAATAAAAATAAAACTAAAATGAAATTTTTTTTTACAATTGTTATAATATTTTCCCCAAATCTGTCAGGAATAGGATACAGGGTAAGTATGAATTTACATTTTTCAGGATTCTAAATTGTTAGATAATCAGATCCAAGTATTACTTTTTTAAAAATAATATACCAATTTATTTTTTCAATGTTTTACAGAACAAAAGGGAAATATGGAGAAGGAGAAAAGAATGAGAAATTTGTATATACTTTATCTCTAGTATTTGTACAGTGTATAATTAATGTGTGTGCTGCTTATTCAGGTAAACTAGTTAAATTTTCTGTGCAGAAAAAATAAAATGGATTTATAAATTTAGATGTACTAAAAAAAAATATTGCTTACCTACAACCTTCAATAGCATTTCAACAAAAAAACCCCACATAATAGAGGTCTTCTTCTTGACCTTGTCATTACATGCCAAGATAAGATACAGAAGATAGGCCTACATGATGTGCTGGTGGAAGATACCCTACTATCAGACCAGTTTTCCCATCACCTTTAAAATTCAAACCAAGAAGCCGTCTTTAGACAAGAAAACAATATCGTTTCGTAAATTTAAATCTCTAAACAATGAGTGGAGTAACAATCAAATTGACAAAGCAAAACAAAAATGCAGAAAAGCTGAGAAAAAGTGGTGTGAGACCTCCCTTCATATCCATAAAAACCTTTACCAAGATGAGAAAAACAAAGTCAAATATATAATTGAACAATCAATATTTGTTCCAACCCCTCAGTATAATCTTTTAAATGTGCTCTTAAAACTTACTTACTCAAAAAAGGTTTTACTTTTATTATATGGCATCTTTTTGTAGTCTTTTTGTGGTTTTAATTTTTGTTTTACCAGTATATGATTCTATCATTGTTTTGTAAAGCGCTTCTGAACACCTTTGGTGAAACTTGCGCTATATAAATGTTTAATAATAATAATAATAATAATAAATAAAATGTATTGCTTCTCTGAAATAAAGAAAATACAAATTGGCCGCCTGACTGGTAAATATGTATTTCATATGGTAAATCATGAAATAACTTATTTGTTTTATGCACTGGAGTTCATATTTGAGAACTAAAATGATAATATGTGTATTTTTATATGCCTATTTTGAAATGTGGTTGTATATTGCCATCACAGTTCATCATGCACGATTTCATTGCCTGGCAACCTATATTTTGTGTTCCAGGTAAAAGAATATTTCAAAAGGAAGCAGACAGTACACCTGTAAAACTATATGTAGCTTGTTCATTAACATATCTGGGTGCCATGTTGGCTAGTAACCATGCCTTACAACATGTCTCATATCCTACACAGGTAATAAATGTGGTTGCACAGCGACACAGCTTAAAAACACCTTTTAACTTTCTAATAAAGCTATTGAACTCATACAAAAAAAAACCACAGATGTTTTACGTAAATAACCTTTTGTTAAATACACAAAAACAAGGATGTTAGCCTTTTGAGTATTTTGTACATATTGCATTTATAACATAATGGTTTGAACAAAAGTTGGATGTGGATGAGTGAACGTCATACATGTAATATATAAATGGAATTAACTGATATAGATACACTTGCATGTGAGAAAGTTGTTTTGAATGTACACTTAATGTTTCTTAAATATACATTCCATTCTATTAATTCCATTCCTGTATAAACTCTTTTCCGTTCCATTCTTGTATTATTTCCATTCAGATCAGTGTGTATAAAATCCATTCAGTTCCTTTCCTGTAATTAAATGTGTGTATAAAGTCCATCCTATTCCTGTTATTAATTATATATTGTGTGTATCTTTTTTTTAATTGTGTGTATAATTGGTATATTTTCAGGTATTAGGGAAGACAATTAAGCCCATACCTGTAATGATATTAGGAGTATTAATAGCCAGGAAGAAATATCCATTAGTTAAATATTTATTTGTTATAATGATAGTTATAGGTGTGGCATTATTTATGTATAAAGATAATAAGGCTAGTGCTAAAGATAAACATGAAATGGGTATAGGAGAAATACTTCTTGTAAGTTTTGAAATAGTTTATTATTTATTCTATGTATATTGACTAGAATCATGGTCTTGATGAGTTAATAACTATTGACTTCCATTAGTCTGGTAGAAGTGACATATACAGACAAGCCTGCCGGTCATTAATGAGATGTAATAGACAAATTCAGATTATCAAATCTTTCAATTATATAGCTGTTTGAATTTCCTTTTTCACAAATGTTAAATAAATAAGTTTCAATTGATAAATAAATAAGTATAAAGTTATATGGAAATCACAGAGTTATTTTTGAATAATTTTTTTTTTTTTTCTAGTTGGTATCTCTAACACTAGATGGTTTAACAGGAGCTTCACAAGATAAAATGAGATCTGAACATACTACTAAAGCCTATAGTATGATGTTTTATGTTAATCTATGTTCTGTAATCTGGTTGGCTATAGGTAAGTCATTCATGAATAGAAACAAATTAAGTTCTCTAAACCAGGCTTTCTTTAAGGACTAGAGACAATAGCAGCAGATCAATTCTATTTGGCTTCCTGCATTCAATTTGTGATGTTTAAATTCATGAGTTATCAAGAATTGCTATTTGGTAATAAGGCAATGTCCATCAACGGTAAACATAACACAATCTGCATGTAAACCCTCAGGAATGAGTAACAAAAACATCTACAAATGTCAAAATAAGCTACATTGTACTCTTAAAAGTTTCCTACATAAAGTATTCCTTCATGGAATGGAAGGTAAAAAAACCCCTATGACCTGTGATTGTGATCTTCAAAATGAATATTAAATTACCTGAAACAGGATGTAGCTTCTCAATGTAATAACACAACAATTGGAGGTTATGTTATTTCTATTAATTTTCTATGTATTTAAAGCCTTGTGTGAGGGGTAACTTATCGCCTCATGGTTCTGTCAATTGACCTCCTCATGAATCAGCTGAAAAAAATTAATCTCCCTTTAATGTAATAATCCATTATAAGATGTTCTCTTTAGATCAAAATATAAGAAAAATTAGTTTGTTATCTTGTTTATATTTTCAGCTTTATTACTAACTGGAGAAGGTTTTGCGTTTATAGGTTTTGCAACTCGCTATCCCATAGTACTGTTTAATTTATTATCATTTAGTATAGCGAGTGCTATCGGTCAGGTCAGTACATATATTCAACAATACTTTCTTCTAAAGGGCTATGGTCATCACATCTGGCCATTGTCTGGTGTAATTTCATCTGAAATTCATATTTAGATGGTGAAAGGGATGTGAAGCTTACATGAAGAACAGAGGTGGAGCACATAAAATCATAAAAATTTAACAGTTTTCAAAAATCTTCTACAGAACCACTACATGAAATTTTAATTTGCTTTTGAATTAATCTGATGACCATTCAGATCCAAATTTTGCCCCAGGACAAGCCATGTATCTCGACGGATACCTCCATACTCGAAGTTTCGATTGGAAATCAAGTATGTAAAGTTTAAATAAATGAATTGAATATTTGTGTAATCGGTTTAGCATCGGTGTTTCAAGTGGCTAAGCTGTATCTCCCAAAATTCATCATTCACCTTGTGTAAAGCCTGACTAAACAGGCATTTTTGTTGGGTAATTCCTGCCATCAAACAAACACAGTATGTTTATATAATATTCTTTTATTTTATTTTCAGATATTTATATTTACAACAGTTACAACATTTGGTCCATTAACCTGTTCAATTGTCACAACAACTAGAAAATTCTTCACTATTTTAGCATCTGTTTTATTGTTTCAAAATCCTATGTCTAGTAAACAGTGGATAGGCACAGTATTTGTGTTTGTAGGCCTAGGACTTGACAGTGTCTACGGAAAAGAGAAAAAGAAAAAATAAGAATGGTGTGATTTAGAAAATTTTAATTATTTGATAGACTTGGCAACAGTTGAAGAGAATTTGACACAAGAAAATGATGTTATTAAGTATAGATATAAAGTTTGTTAAATGATCAAAATCAAAATCAAACCCGTTCCATATATTTTATAGCAAAAGTAGATTAGCATTAAAAAGTATACCCAAAATACGAACAACATTGAATGATTATTATTAATTTCCTTCAAATTTTTGAAATATATATTTCTTTGACAGTCAAGAGCCTTAATACATTACCATTGATAATATAATACATTACATACTGAAAAAATAATATATTTGTTACTTTAAAAGCATTGTATCTTGCCATATTTTCAAGTCAATTGCATTTTAAATAATACTGTGATGCAGGAGGCATTATGAATGACATGTTAATCTGATTGTAAGACAACTGGTTGATGAACATTCTAGCTAGTGTGTAGGGACAACAAGTATCTCTAAGATTCAAATTACAACTCAGTTGATGTTGTAATACCTGTAATTAATTTATTTTTTGGGTAGGGTTTTTTTTTGCGATTTTAATCTATAATTCTGTTTTTCCTAGTCCTAAAAAATAGCAAACTTTCAGTTAAAAATAATTTTAGTAGTCTAAATAGGTGACCTAATTATATCTTAAGAGAAATTAGAAATTTATTTTATGTTTTAATTTGGCTGTTTCGTGCATTTACATTCCACTGATCTTACCTCAAATAGCTCTAAATATCTCAGTTATAACATAGATATTGTTGTCAGCTGACTTGACTATATTGTACATGTCATGGTAATAGTGCTGAAGTTTGGTTTCACTTACTTCACTAAAGCAAAGATGTTTGGGTCAACTCACTTGGTTAACAATTGGATTAAGACTACATCAGGTTATAGCACAACTTTTTTATATGATACACAAAGGTGGAACTATAATGTTGTTGGCAAACAATGAACTGGCCATTGGTCTGGTTGCGTGAGATGCATGTTGCAGGCTTCATATTTTCAATATGATATAAAAACATGGTTTGCAGCTTCTAGGTTGATGCAACCGGAAGAAAATGTTGTTTGCAGCAGAAAATTTGAATGTCGTGCCAAAAGTCTATTCCTACAAATAGTGAATTGACAGAACATTTTGTTCACTCGATTTTAAATTATGTTCTTCATCCGATTAAACCATAATGGGCTACTGCAATTGGTTTACAGCACAATCACATGAAATAGTCCTTAAATTGACTCCTTTCTGCCAAACTGTAGCACCATGACAGTTGTCTTTGTCGCATCTAGTGAACATTGGTTTTGTAGTGAATTATGACACAATAATAAGGTTTTAGTGTATGTAAATATTACATACTTTATTACTTATTTGATAATGGTTTGTTAAAATATCTTTATTGAAAATTTCAGAAGTTTTGTGTTGTTTTTTGTATATAATTTAAGTGTTGTATATCTTTTTGTATTGGTATAAGTGAATATCAGTATTTGTAAATAGAGGATATATATTTTAAAGAGAAGAATATGATCATGATAGCAACTATATATCATTTTAATTATGTTTCAAGATATCAGTGCTCTATTAGTATAATATTACATAGTAAAAATTAAACCTTGTTAATGTATAAATATACACCCTAGAACAAACTCTGCAATTATTTTTCATGAAATTGTTGAAATTTTCCTTTCACAATGTTGGTGGACATTTAATGATAATCCCCGATCATTCATCTTGGGTGATATATAGACTTGTTTAATTACAAGGCTATAAATCAATTTTAATTGTAATTTTGTTTGCTATGTAGTTAAGTTTGTAAAATCATGTCATGGTAATTAAAGAAGTTAATATTTAGGAGCTGAAATTATCATTTTATTTCAAGATAAATAAATTCTCTTGTTTATAAATATGTGATTTGTATCTTTTTTTACTCAAAAACAGTAGTGGTGGTTAATACCAAGGCCAGTGAACATACAGTTGCATGTTTGATCCTCACTGTTGTAGGATTTCGATTGTTTGTTCTTCAAGACATTCACGGCATTACTGGTAGGGAAGTGCAAGGTAAATATAATGCAGCATGAGAGGTTTGTTTCAAACACAAAAGAGGCATTCTGTAAGATTTAGTTAAAGAGCTGACCATTTTTGCTATAGTAGTATAAAAATAGATTATGAAAAATGACTTGAAAATTTTAGTCAAATAACTTTATCCTTGGTGAGGTTCCATGTTTTGACAAGAAATGGCCGAAATTGTGTCCCTGATTCACAATTCATATTTTTCAATTGACTAGTACCGTTGTCATGATAATAAACAAAGTCTACATGTCAATGGGTCGCACCCTGAATGCTGCCATACTATCATTTGACGTTGATATAATGGACATTGTCTATTTCACTAAATAGTTGAACTATCTGATGGTCTAGCAACTTGATTATAGGCTTGATAATGATTTATATAACGAGGGAGATAAGGACATCGACACATACCAGGTTAATTCAGGACTAACACACTACAACTTGTTTCAATAATTCTCGTGCGAGTAGTGCTCTTTAGCAGTCATGGACACAGTGAAAACCCACAAGGTACATGTAGGTCAGCTGACAGATACTGTGCGAGCTTGGGCTCGCTACTATGCTGCTTGACTCAATGACAGACCTTATGCTCTGAAGTACACACATTAGATTACTCAACAACCCCCACATCCCATAATTGGTTGGAACCATCAAGACTATTAACATGAATGTAGAAGGAACTCCGAAAGACTTAATAGTACCATTTAATAGTTTCAAGGGTTCAAAAGTGATAGCTGATTGATTAGGTACCTTTGAATCAATAATGATAACAAAACAAATCTGTTTTTTAATAGTTTAACCAATAAAATGTCTTACACATAAATTTACAAAAAAAGCAGTTTAAATTAAAAAAAGAAAAAGAACAAAACTATATATATATTTACGCATAAAAAATGAAATTAACAAACATATGAATTGCAGGAATTGGTTTTACATAAGATAACCTAATTTTAACCAATTTGTATAAAAACCCAGCATGCATTATAAGGATAAATTATCTTTCAGTTTTATAAATTTAAGTACTGTAAATATTTAAAATAAAGAACATTTGTCCCATTGCAAGGTCAATCTAAGAATACCGTTCTTCTAATCAATTCCAATGCTACCATTAGGTCAACAATGCTGCTGCCTAGGGTACAGATCTCAGTTTTGTGCAGTTTATTTTTGTATTTAAGAAAAATGATCAAAGATTGATGTTTCTCATTTCTTGAAATTAAGAATAGATTTAGCGGTTTTAAGTTAGTTGACATTTGAAAGATGTGGGTTTGCAAGTAGTTGGCTTGCCTAGACGAAGACTACTCTGGCACCCGTGCTGCTTCTAATGACAGAGAAAAAAAAATATAGCTAGTTATTAGTAAATTATGGATAATATAATCTGGCAAACCAAGCCACAGCAACACAGTCAGCTTACTTAAAACACAACATATATTATTCATAATGTTATGTGATGCAAAAAATTAATCTCTTGCCAAAGATAACATGGCCATTGTTTTCTATATTTGGTTAGTGAGATGAAAAAGAATCTCTTATTCCAATTATATCAGAATAAAGAGAATGATTCCTTTCAGTCTATATAGCCAGAAATTTGTTCTGATACAAAATAGAATATGGAAGTTATAGGGACCAATTTTAAGCTCTAATAAGTTCTCCTGGATCGAGATTCAGGTGCTTGATGGCTCTCTAGCTTAATCGAGCAGCACCTTGAAAAACAATGACTGATAACATTTTATGCAGTTGCGTCAAGATACGCCTATCAACAGATTAATTTTAGAAACAACAAAATATTAATAAAACTTTACATTTATATTTTATTATGACATAACATTTGCGGTATCACTTTTATGTCAAAGACTTTACGAAAATTTTAAAACTACCATATCAGATTTAAAGAAAACTATATTACACATGTATAACACAGTAACAATAATGACAGAAATACAATAAAGGTATTTTTTATTGTTCACTTCCTTTTATGCTAAAGGAGAAATGGTCAAAAAGAATGTGACAAAATTTTTGATGGAGAAAATATTGAACAAATATATCAACAGTTAAATTTAACAATGAAAAGACACAATTTTCCTTGGGATACAAAAATAATCTAATTATCCCGAGATATTTTAACATATTTGGTGGAAAATAACAGATCGGATAATCATCAGCATTAGTTTACCATATTTACATAATTACAAGTTGCATGTTAACAACAAATGATATTGTGCGATGCAGTGGTGTACACTGTGACCAGGGGCACGCTTAACGAAGCATCGGTCAAATTACTTGAATACATGTAAAATAAAGTTGTATAGTAAAATATTTGATTTCCATGTATTTATGTCTTACAGAAGCTTTGTGAAACGGCACCCAGTCTGAGTGTTTCATTTGATGAGCATCTCAAGTTTTGCTTTATGAGTTCAGAGTCGTTTTTTTTTTTTTCACTAAAACGGAATCAAACTAGTATGCCAAGTAAAGCATCCCACTGAAAAACACTTTACTAAGGGGGACAGTAATAGAATTGATTCCAGAAGAGGCAATTAGACATTTACATACTTGTGTTGTTACGATCAACTACAACCAACAAAAATCATACACTTTCAAATCATGGTTGAAGGACAACTACAACCTCATCTTGTCTTGCAAAATGTATAAATTAATATTAATAAGTCATTTGCATAAAATCTAGCTAAAGCTTAAATCACAACAGTTTAACAATTTAAACATTTTTCAAAAATATACATTCTATTAATGACATAACATAAACATGGTATTGTGAGAAAAAAAAACCACACAGAATTTGAAAGATATTTTACTACCAGGTCACAATCTTAGGTTATGTTCTAATACCAGTTATTCAAATATTCACCATTATTTCTTTTATGTTCTTGCAAGAAACTTATCTTCTGCCTACTTGACCATTACACATTTTGAACAATTATATTTAATATAATTTTTATATTAAAGTCATTATCCTGTATCAAAATACAGATGCGATGACATCCTTTGATGTTGGGTACCATTATTTCAAATAACGTAAGGGCAATCGTACATATTGGACAATTTCATCGAAATGAATATATGCGGGATAGTGTCTGTATTGTAAATTGTTAAAAATGGTCTTGAGCAACACATAGCATAATATATTGATACAACACTTGAGCTGATACCCACGTACAGTATCAAAATATTAATCAATGTTTCGCTCTGACAATTAAACTGCATATAATTCTGTGAATATATTTAGACATTTTGATTATTAGTTTAATTAACATTCTTCCTGTATTTACAACCACTAGCAACTGTTTAGATTTTAATTATAGTCTCTAGATTCCAGAAACTTGAAAGATACAAAATATGTAGTCTACTGTCAGTTTCTGATTTCTAGAAACTTGAACTTATAGTTATAGTCAGTTTCCAGATTCCAGAAACTTGGAACATTTAAAATTAGCCATTTTTCATAAATTACAAATCTTATCTCCATTGTGGGTTTTGTTGATTGGGATAAGGGGGTGCAGGATATCCTCCATGTGGGTAGTTATTTTGGGGATATCCTTGTTGTTGGGGATATCCTTGTTGTTGGGGATACCCTTGTTGTTGAGGATAAGGATACCCTCCTTGTGAAGGAGGTGGGGCCTGTTGGGGATATGACATATAAGGGTTGTATGAGTTGTAACCTGTTGGCATGGCAGGCATTGGGTAACCTCCACCTGGTTGTTGGGGGTATGGTGCATTCCATCCAGCTCCATATGACCCTAAAAACAAAATAAATTATAAATAATTCTGCCATACAAATAAGGTAGAAATTGATTTCTGCTACCAAACATCTATTCTTGAAAGTTACAACTATAAGTTTATGATATGAGATTTGAAATTGTAAAGTTAGAAATATATGAGGTGGCTTATGGGTAACAGAAGTTAATATAACAATATGATTAAAACACACATCCTATTTGGAAGTTGTTATACAACACGTTCTGGTTGATTTGAGGGATTAGCCAATAACAAGAGCATCGCTACCGCTGCAATATACGTCCACATTCCTGCTTTGATTGATATGGTACTTTTTAAAACTAGAAATGGGCGTGGCTCTGCCCCTGGGGGTCGGGCATGCACCAAAAACAATAGGGATCTTCCTTGGGGTATAAGGAATAAGTATACCAAGTTTGAAGAAAATCCAGTAAGAATTGCGCCCTGTAGGCGACACAAAGACACACGAAAAGAAAATGGGAAATGGGCGTGGCTCTGCCCCTGGGGGTTGGGCATGTACCCCAAACGATAGGGATGTTCCTTAGGGTACAAAGAATGTGTATGCAAGATTATAAGTTAAGAAATGTGGCCTGTAGACGACAAACAAACAAATACTAGAAATGGGCGTGGCTCTGCCCCTGGGGGTCGGGCATGCACCAAAAACAATAGGGATCTTCCTTGGGGTATAAGGAATAAGTATACCAAGTTTGAAGAAAATCCAGTAAGAATTGCGCCCTGTAGGCGACACAAAGACACACGAAAAGAAAATGGGCGTGGCTCTGCCCCTGGGGGTTGGGCATGCACCCCAAACGATAGGGATGTTCCTTAGGGTACAAAGAATGTGTATGCAAAGTTTCAAGATTATTAGTTAAGAAATGTGGCCTGTAGACGACAAACAAACAAATACTAGAAATGGGCGTGGCTCTGCCCCGGGGGGTCGGGCATGCACCAAAAACAATAGGGATCTTCCTTGGGGTATAAGGAATAAGTATACCAAGTTTGAAGAAAATCCATGAAGAATTGCGCCCTGTAGGCGAACCACAGACAGACACACACACACACACACACACACACACACACACATACATACATACACACACACACACACACAGACAGGGGCGACGGCATAATACGTTCACATTATGAATGTGGACGTATAAAAAGGTCTGTTGCAGCGAGTTCTAGGCGTGTGATGCACTGAACTGTGGGTATCCTACTACAAACATCAACGCTGATTGGTTAATCAAATGTCTGACACCATAGGGTCAAAAGCCGCTCGTATGATCCCTAACGCAACCTCTCAGTACAACTGATCAGATCTTCATGTAGTAGAGGCCATCGAAAGTACAAAAAAAATGCAACAGAATATAGATCTGTGTTTTGATCAGATTGTTAATATAAAACTAATTAAAAATAAGAGTAATAAGACCTTTTTATCTAGCCAATGGAAAATGCTTTGGCTTGGCAATAAAGGTTAACCAACAAATTTAACCAAAATGAAAACCCAAATATAATTTAGATCATTTAAATTAAAATTAGATTGTTAAAATAAAGATAAAATTTTAAATAGGATTATTCAAATAAAGATTAATATTTAATTAGATTATTGAAATAAAGATTCAATTTTAATTAGACTGTTGAATTAATGTGCATCTAAAGATATAATATAATTAGGTACAACACAAACTATGTTGTATTCCAAAACATACAAGTGTCATCTAGTGTTCTAGAAAGTGAACACAAACCGGTACTGTTTGTGGAAAACAGCTGTGAATATCTAAATGTATCTGATGCTACTTGATAGAGAGAAACCCCAGAGCAAAATCACCACAATTGAATTTGTAAATCTTTTAATTTGCTCCAAACACTACTTACCTTGGGCATAGTTTTGTTGTGGGGGTTGACCTGGGTAAGATGGGGGTGGATGTGAAGGGGGTGCACTTGAAGCTGGTGGGGCACTTGCTGAAAAACATAAATGTTTCAAAGCTACAAAAGTGACAAAATTTATTTCTAGAAGCTTACACAGTGAACAACAAATTATTAGGTCCCCCCGGCAAAGTTACCTGTGTTTACGGTTACGCTTGTGCGTAGGGGCCTTTAGCAGTGAGAGGAAACCGGAGGAAACCCTTGAGGTTGGACAGGCGACCCTAGTCCTTGTCATCTACTACCGGGGTAACGAAACCACATCAGTTGACTCAATGACAAACCTTATGATATAACGCGCATGTGCTAACCATTTGGCCACCCAATCCCCCTAGTTTATTAAAAGATTAATTTATTAGTTTGCGTAGTTCTATTCAATCTTAACCCAAAAACCCCACGAAACAAAAAAAGACAAAAAAAGACCGACCTACCCTATTTTTGGTGGCCAAGTAACCATATTTTGCCTTATAGGATGGGACAAGAATATAAGTGTGCTAATCCTATGTGGGTTGGATTATGCCTTTATAAAAGCAATGATTCCTAGAAAATGTTCTTAAAAAGGATATACTTCATTTTTTTGACAAATCTGAATAATAACCATTGAAGCAATAAATCTAAATAATTTTGTTGAAGACCACGAAGTGATTTAGGAAAAGAGGTTGAAATAATGTTAAACTAAAAGTGTCTTTTACATTATTGTGCAATGAAACGGGAATATGTTGAAAATTTCAGTCAAATTACTTCAATTGTGTTTAAATCTGTTGAAAACAAAAGCATCCGATGATCTAGAGAGTTGATAATGGGTTTGGCATGTGTATTAATGCCCAATTAATGATTTATATAACACTTGAAACCAAACGAAAGATCTGCATTAGGCAGATTTAGCTCTTACATAATGTATCTTTAAAGTTACAAAAAGCCAATATAATAATGGGAATGAAATTGTAATCCGATATTATTTTAAGTTTAGGTCATGAAATCTCTAGTATCTTATCATAAACACCAAAAAAAAAAAAAAAAATTACAATAACAAAAGCATAGGAAGGGATGCATATTCTGCCTGCTTTTGTTAAATAAGACAAAAAATCAAACTACAACTTGGCATCAATTTAAATTCTGTATTCAAAAACCTTTAAATTGATGTGTGACATCATTTATCTTTCAATATGGCAGAGATATTTAGCTTTGAAGTTATTATACACCATAGTATTAATTTTTAAGGAAAGAAAAATCAAAAATTACTAAAATATACGAAGCAAGTCTCTACAGCAACCAAAAACAATAACATATTTCATGAAATTCTATAAAGTTTTGGCCTTTCAGCTCTAAGGAATTAAAAAAAAGTTCATGTTTGAAGACAAGTGTGAAATATGATGGGGACACAAAATTCGTAAAATTTAATTTTTCGGGTTGTAACCAAAATAAGGGACCTACGACATGTGTCTTATTTAGCAAGAGCTGGTCAAAAATTTTATCTGGGACAGTACAGACCAGGTGGTTAGAAGGCATGCAAAATAAATTAAACCAAAATCAAAAATAAATTTACCATTTGATGGGGGTTCATTAGAACTGTTACTGGTGGGTGTTGATGTTGGAATTGTTGGGGGTGGGGGACGGGGAGGGGCCGTCCTAGATGCCGGAACTGGAGCTACACATAAAATACAACATCAACACACAATGTTAAACTAAAAATAATGAAAACTAAAGAATATTAAAGCTTCAAAGATTTAAAGGAATACACTGTCACCATACTCTATATCTAATACTAGAAGAAATTTCTATAGTCACATTTATATATGTCTAAAAATTGTTTCGAGTTTGTTTACAATATTTCATTGACTCTACAAATAATTAAAGGTCAAACTGGTGTCCACCATTATTACATATGTGATAGAACTGGTTAAACACATTACAAATATAATTTTAACACAGAGATCATTGCAATGATAGATGCGAAATGATGATTTGAAGAAGCGGAAGTGAAGCAAAAAATGAAAAACAAGAGTTATCCTTCTATATGACTGTCTGAAGTAACGAGCGATAACAGATATACAGCTGAATTTCTGCTCACAGATAATTCCTTCGAAGACCGAAAGTTGCTATATGAGACTGTGAGAGGATATCTGACGATTCATAAAAAGAATTGAATGTCACTAGATAAGAGAAAACGAACAAAAATAGAAATAGCCCAGGCATTACCATGTTTATATCAAGTATAGAATGAATAAAAACAAGGGAATGTACAGGCCTTTTCTATTTTTTTCTTATCTAGCGAGATTGAATTATTTTCTTCAAATCTTCGTTACACATCTATCGTAACAATGATCTCTGTGTTGGAATGTGTTTAACCAGTTCTATCACATATTTGACTAATGACTGACACCAACCATTTAGCAACTGGTACATAAAAGTATTGTCTACCCGTGAAGCAGTTCTAGACAAGATACATGCATTTTGTTGTACATTTTCGAAACAGACTGAAACTACTGCTCACTGGACTGCCTCAAACCGCCCCAGTCACAGAACTAGTACTGTATACGGTCCTTAAGGAGCAGTAGTTTTAGGTGGTCCAGGTACAGTATGAAGTTGAAATGTATTCCTTTATACTAAATAAACACAGAAAATAAATTGTTTAAAATAATAAAAGAAGGAGCTTTTTATTAATTTGATGATGAAGCTGATGGAAATAAATGAAAAGTAGAACTTTTAATTAAATAAGGAAGTTTTGTGATTTGGACAAAAAATTTATACCTCAAGAGGCACCTTATGTTGATTTGGCTCTTAAATTCTCAAATGAATACTGTTTGAAGAAAATGTCCTTAACTTTAAATTGAAACCATAATTTAATGTGAGTAAATAAGTTTCAGGTAGTTAATTCAATATGGTACCTGATACTTTAAGAGCAATTTGTTTGCATTAGACCAAAATCTAAATCAGCTTGGAAAAAGTTCAATCTTTTTAATAATGACTGAGACATTTTTTATAGACTGGCCATTTATCATGCTCCTTAACCAATAAACGTTAACAGTACATCTACCATAACACACTTATTTAAACAACATATAAGAGTTATCTAACCTGAAGAGGTACCAGGTCCACCCTGATATTTTGGTGTTGCTGGTGGAGCTTGTGTTGGTGTGTTAGCAATTTGTCTCTGTAAATCACTCATCAGCTCATCCTTCTCTGTTTTACGAGCAAAACAAAAGTCAGAAATTTTACTCTGAAGTCGTACTAATAGTGGTGTCAGATCATTATAAAACTGAAAGTAGAGTTTAAATAATAATAAATAATAACTAGATGCTGGTGCGATATATTGTTGAATCAATGTATTTCAATTCAGCATCACATATTTAATCGCAAGCTACTGAATCCTTTCTTCAAAATAATTCTTTTCTGTTTTTTCTTTCAGAAATACAGTCATTGGATCGTGTCCTCAGCTTTGGTTGAAACAATAATACTACAGTAAATGCTGTTTGGTAGTCAAACATGTTTACAATAAACAATCCAACCATAAGCACTTGTGTTTTCGGTATGTTTTTTACATTTGGGTTGGTACTAACATTATAATACCAACCATTTTATATACATTAAAGAAAATAGCAGTTAACTGTAAAATTTTGTGGATTTAGGTATTTCAAATATAATAGTAGCACTTGAAAAAATCAACATGGAAAAATTTGGTTCTTCAAATTGTTTGTAGACTATGCAAAACTGTTCACTCACATGAGTACCAGAAGTTTGACAAATTGAAAGGATATCTAGATCAGGATACGAATTGTGTCGTAATTAGTTACAACATCCAGCACTAACACTTATTTATAAATTATATAAAAATTAACAAAGATAGAATCGGGAATTAATTAGCTGTTTATTTCTTATGTATTTCACTCAGATTTTCTCAATGCAAGCCTCTGGAAAGTAAGGGCAAATAACTCTTACCTTAGTTCCTTCTTCCAGATTTCCTTTCAGTTCCATGTACATATCGAAACCAGATGCTAAATCTTTTAACATTGATTCTCGGCTAGCTGCTGATTGGTTAGATGATTTGGCATTACAGAAATCTGTGTTTGCATTCTGGAAAACAAAATATTTATATGTGCATAAAACAATATATACTACATTACCTGAAGAAAAGATGGAAAATTACACAGGTAAATTTGCCAAGACGAAAGTAATGTGCTTTTTTATAAAACTCCACAATATTGCTACAAGTGTATTAAAATAACAGACTACAAATTATCAGAAACTTTTGACTGACAGCAGTAGGGTAAAGTACAAAAGGAGCTAACATAGGCATTTTGTCTGATAAATTTAGAAAGTAAAATAAATAGTATACCTGAATGAGTGCCAATAATGTCTCCTGTCTATGTATGCTATCAGCTACTTGCATTCTTAGTGGAGCAAAAACTCGATCTAATTCTTCACATGATATAGATTCTTCATTTATCAAACCTTCTTCTGCTAAAGCTCGCATAAACTTACTCGCTGAAGTTATAATAATTACAATGAATAATATGTTACATTCAAATTATACCACTGATTTCATACAATGGGACCTCATTCTTTTCCAAGACATGCATGGTACTTCACGGAAGTGTTAGATTTGTCAGCAAGTTCTCAATTGGGTGTGTTCGAATCCAGAGTGTTCTGAACTGAACAGCACTGCAACCGAACTCACAGTTCTGTCGTCCCAATAACTGTTGTGATGTAAGCAGAATAGTGAGGTAATGAAACATTTCATCTCTCTTGTTTAGTGTAATGTTTTCTTATTCAATAACGTGCACACTTTGTGATCTGAAATCCTCTTATTTAATTTATTGCCACTGTTCAGTGGAACATTCAATTGAGTATCCCCTACTTCTATTTGCTAAATGATGCAATGCCATAGCTTCTCACCAGTTCAATTGTCAGAGACCAGTTCAAGTGTCAAGAGTCAGAGTTTAAATTTAAATGAAGGGTAAAGTGTTATCATTTGTTGCAGTAATTCAAAGTTCAACTCACTCATATCAAACTTGGCATCTTTCAATTCTGTTTCTACAACATCACGTTCAGCTTTCAGAGTTTCCACACCATCCATGTTTTTACGGAGTTCTTGTACAACTGGAGAATTTTGTAAGGCAGCACCAGGACTAGCAGACGGCAATGCTTTCTCCATTTCAGCCTAGAGAAAAATAGATCAACATCAGATAAGATAAAAGGAATAATTCTCCTAAGAAAACTATAACTTTAAGTGTTAATAAATGTTAATTATTTGTTTATAAATTAGTGAGTTTGTGTCTAGGTGATGGAATATTTCAATAAATGGTCACATCTATTAGCCGATTTTCAACAAATTTGCCGTAACTGTACAACAAGCCTGTAAATAACACACCTGTCACAGACATTGTCTGAAACAAATTTAGACTTTGTCAGGCATAACCCCTCTGGTGCCTGTTATTTTGTCTGGCACAGATTTGCAATTTTTCTGTGTTTTTATTGATATTATTAATACATGTCTGGCACACAAATTTAAAAATAGTTTGTCAGGTACAGCTGTCATCATTTCTTCCCAGTTAAATACAAATTCAATAGTGAGCACATTTTGGGTATAGTCGATTAAAAGCTGACAGAACATTATAACTTTGGGTCACCATTACAATTGAGTACTTTCTTCTCACTACAACAGTAATCCAGTATGAATAATCAGATATTTTGGTGTTACTCTAAATTTATCATAAATTCTCACCGTTGGTTTTGACAATATTGAAATGGCATTTTTGTGCTTCTCGTATTTTTCGTGGACTACTTTATCGGCTTGAATGGCATTGTTCAGAATAGTTCCATATTTCTGGCCCTCTTCTCGCATAGGTTTTGTTAAAACTTCAGATTTTGTACGAGTCCATCTTTCTTTGAACTGCTCACGAAGTTGATTGTCAGATTTCTCTTCCTCATCTAGCTGTCTATTACACTGTAAATACATAAATATATAATTTTAAATAATAGCAATGTTTCTGTTAATAACGCACGACTAGCAGTGGACACTGATGGCTAGCCCCGGATCTATTCACTTGATTTGATATATATGTTTGTTATTCAGTATTTGCAATATCTACATATATTGTGTGTCTTGTCCACAGCTTTGTCTTATGGGTTTTGTTTATGTGTGGCGTGGTCCTCCTTAACTAACTAATAGAATGACTAAGATCAATTTACTTATTTGTTTTTTTTTTCTAATTTAGCAATCAAACAATTTTGACAAGTGTATCCGATTCTAAAGACAACTTCAAAAAGGGGTCCTTTTGCCAAAGACAAATGGAATAATTCTTCCATTTTTAAAAAAGAGAAATGAAAAAACTGTCTTCTAGAGTGACTAGAAAGAGTTGGAGTGGATTAATAACAATATATGACTCTAAATAAATTAACATCATCAACTACACACATACTTCATCTAGAATTTCACGGTTACGTTGTAGTAATTCTGGTAAATCACTCATCAACTTATTGATATAATCTAAACCACCACACTGTTTGAGTTGGTCCCCTTTCTCTATAACAGAATGTGGTACTGACTGTCCAGATAAATCTTCAATTGCAGCTGGTAAATTTAAAGACGATAAAACCCTAAAACAAGAAAACAAATCAATATAATCCCACAATTTATCTCCCAATAACACATTCTACTGTAGATGTTGCTTGTGTGATAACTTTCATATTCTTCTGAGCGATGCCTCCTAGGAGATATCGCGTTAAATGAATATAATTTATACCTCAAGAATAATATTTATTTACTTATGGGCGATAAATAAAAACTTCTATTCATCTTTTTTGATATCAAAAAAGACTCGTAGGTGATTCTCTATTTCAGAGATTAGTTTTTAATGATAAAAATTAAGAACCCCATAGATACATATTAATAACTTTGACTTCCTAAATTGAACACTCTACAAGCTAGAAAATTTTTTTTTACTAAACTTTAAGTAATACTAATTGTTGAATATGCATTTTACTTTAAAATTTTAACGGTAAGCTTTGATACTCTTGAAGAATGTCCATTATGTATCTCTCCATCATATATTGTAAACAAATATCATTTTGATTACCAACCTATTTAACAATTAAAAATTTTTCAAAACCTATACGGTCTTTTCGAAATATGGTGGTTTGTTAGATTCACTAATTTTCGAACTGGCTATAATATATAATGTTTCAACTCCATACTGAGACTGGACATTATGAATTATTAACAATATTACTACTTTAAGGTTTTTCTTCTAAATACACATAGTTGGGGGTTTTTTTTACAAAAAAAGAATAAACAAACCCATTCATTAGCTGTGTTGCTTCTCTGAGTCGACCAATCTCTGTGTTAGCAATGAGTGCTTTACGGTTCTCGAATGCTATCAATGCTTCGTGAACGGGCAGAGGAACAAGTTTACTGAATAAATCTACAAATACAAACAGTTTTATATAATAATATCTCATAATCAAAACAATTTTATACTGATTTAATTTTTGCCACAAATGATCAGAATGTTTCATTTATGAAATAACCAGTGGTTGCCAGGCAACATACGTCCACATTCTGCAAGAGATGGATAGAGAACAAACTAAAAAAAACCCTGATTTTTCAAACAATCAGGGGCCATAATAATACATGTCAATTTCGAAAGGAACCGAGATCTTTGGGAGATACACCTATATTTCAAGCTTCCTTAAAACCGGACAAAAATTGTGACCTGTAGCGTGTACACAAACAAAATGTGAATGACGGACGGTTGGACGGAGAGGGGCAACGACAATATACGTCCCCATGAAAATTTGGGCATATAAAATTTTTTATAGCTATTATAAGACCACCATGGATTCAGTTTTGCATTAAAATTGTGACTTTATTATCTGTCTTTTTGTTAATAAATTTCTCTCTATATATCTAGAAATTCTAATTTCTGCCCTTATCTTTTCAGTTTTAATCCTTTTTTTTTTAGTAAATTACAAAACAGTTAAAAAAAATAATGACCCACCTTGGAAATTTTTACTAAAGGGTGCAGTGGGTAGCAGAGGTTTAGCAATGGCTGCTTTTCCAATAGGTGGCAGATTTTTTACTTCAGGTACTTTCTCATGATAGATAAAATCATTATCTTTCCTGGCTGCTTCCAGCCCCCTTTGAACTTTAGCTAATTCATTACGGAAACCGAACGTTGTTCCACCACGAGTTTGTGAAGCTATTAAAAGCTCATTGGCATGCTAAAAATAGAACATGTAGAAACTGATTAATAGTATGAACATCCATGAAATTATGGTTGTCTCCTCATTTAGTTTGCAGAATTTTTTTTGGGAAAAATATGTTTTCGAAATTTGGTATTTCAATCAATTAAACTCCCACGTGAGATATCAACTTAAATACAGTTTTTTAATTAATAAGGACTCCAAGATTTCTTAATTAAGTAGAATTTCTATTTCCTACTTTTATGGCTCAGTCACTATGGCTACTCACCTGAAGTCGCGAAATTTCTTCACCATAATTTTTTGCCTGAGCTGAGACTTGACTTTGATAATATTCAGCCATAGCGTGGAATGCAGCCTGTTTCATGGCGACTGTGGATATCCAATCCTATAATAATTAATATACAGAAATCAATCAAAAAGTTTCAGATCTAAGAACTAAAATGAGTCATGAAATTATTGCATTTGGCCATTACCATAATCAAATCAATTCCTAGTAATGTACTCAGAATGTGGTTTTACTTGCTTCATAAATTTTTATTTTATAAATAACCTACTGAAATTTAATCTATTGTAATATGGCTGTCACATTAATAGTAATCTGATATGGACATAAAGGAAGTAACTAATCTGTCTGATTTGTTAACAGTAGTAGGAAATAAAATGCAGCAGTTTGTGACATGTTTTTGCATCCATTACATATTCACAAAGTATTCTTGCTTTACAGTGGTCCAAATCTTATGGATAAGAAAAGACAAAACAATCTGTTTGAGGGAACATTTGTAAAGGTCACAACACAATTTCTAAATACAATCTTTACATTTTAATAATTTTCATTACCTTTGGCCATAGTTCTCTAATAGAAGCTAACTGCATGAGTTTCATAGCATCAGCATAAAGTTCTGATGTTTGATATGCTAACTTGGCTATCATAGCATCCTTCATTTTATCTACAAATAAGAATTAATGAATTAGTCAAATCAAAAAACTTTCCTTAATTACACTTGGCATTTATAGTATAGCAGTCATAATTGCCCAATATTTACAGTGTAGCAGTTATTTGATTTATTACTAAAGAAACTGCTTTGATCGATTAATTATTTCAGTCAGGAAAATATTCTGAAACTATTGAATGAGAGGTGTTTGTGGAATGTCACACTTCCTATCAATAGCAATTCAAAAGGCTAGAGAGAGAATCTGATACTTCAGACAACTATTGGAAGGGCTTATAGGGACACTCAGCCCCAGAAAGCCTTGTTGTGGCTATGCTATTGAACAGATAGTGCCAAATGTAATTTTATGACCAACTAATACTATTGCATGTACCTGTTGATAGTAAACTTAGTAAACATACCATTAGTTGCTTTTCTATAGAAAGCCTCCTGTCCCTGAGCTAACATCAACGAACTTAAAGCACTGACGGTGTCTGGGTTTAAATCTGGTGTGGGATCTTGTTGAACATGTGACATCACGATATCTTTCAAATGGCCATATATACCACATGATTGCTGTAATAAAATATAAGAAATGATGTTAGTAATAGTAGATCTGGTGTAGGGGCCACAGGAATTTTCTAAAAAATTCTCTTTAGAAATTTTAACTGGTCTGTGACCTGAAAAAAACATATTTGGACTGGTGTTATAAAGTATTTTCTAAAAATAAATACTGATTGTACTTCAAACTTATATATTACTTTGCAGTCTAGAAACCTCCAAACTGTAGTTGAGCAAAAAGTTGATTTTAGAGTTTTATGTCAAAAGCTTAAACACATAACCCATTATTGGAAAACCACATTTCATTGTTTTTTAAGGCGAGTGATTGCTCTCGAGCGCCAGATGCGCACCTGACTGTCGATCGAGGGGAGATTTTTCTCGTTCCTCTTATAATTAAAAACCGCTCTCCTTTCTAAAGTCATGAGCGATTTATTATGATTTATGAAATCAGGAATGACCCCATTACATGTAGTTATTGATCTTCAGAACCATTTCCCATACACACAACTAATCACTCTCCTTAAAATCAGATCACTCCTTTAATATCTAATTGACTCTTCTAATCGAAACTGGGGGAGCTTTTTTAGGGGAGCAAACTTTTCAATTTGTTGATTAAGGGGAGCTTTTTTCAACTCTCCACTAAAATATGAGTAAAGTTAGCCTAACAAAATGTACCAGGTAAAGTCGGAACCCTGGTGTGGATCAATAGATCTACCAATATTTATTATAATGTATTTTTTGCTTTAGAAAATTGTGATCTAGTTCAAGTAAATCTAAATCAATTTCCCACTAAATGCACATAAATGCCTGTATTTATTCTATATTCTACCTGGAAATATTTAGCAGCTGTTTTTAAGCCCTCATCACTATCTGAGTTTTGAATTGATGCTATCTGACTCTGTAACGCAGCAATATTGAATAACATACACACTTTCTCGTAAGCTCCACTGGCAATAGCTGTAAAATATATAAATATATATCAATTTATAAGATTTCACTGGACACCTTAAAAAAAGTGGATTTATGTGTGCAATTTAAGCACAAATAAGCAAAGATTTAGCCCAATTACCTGGTCTGAACCAGATTTTTTAAATGTGGAAACACAATTCTTTTAAGGACTTGCATTCTATGAGTGACTTTGGTACAAACAATTGCAATGATCACTTTGCCATTTTGGGAAGTACATAGACAAAATTCCCCAGGCATTTAAATGGCATGGAATACATTGCAGCTTTTATTTCTTCGAAAGGGTATCATAGAGCTTCAGACAGTTGCACTAGAAAGAGTTCTATGAGTCTTTCACACAGAATTAACCAGTTTTATTCATTGAAAAATATCTGAGACTGCTCCTAAAAATATCAGTACATTCTACTGATCAAAATCAGTATAATTTTATATGCTACTCAATGTGAGCATATCCACATGCAGCGTAAATAAATCAATAGTTGTTGTGGTAGGAGAAAAATTATCACTAGTCAGATGGGAGACTGAAAATAACTGCCTCACAAATAATAAATAACTTAGATACAAGGACTATCTGACCAGATGATGACCAACCATATTTCAAATTACCCAAGTGTTTCTTACTTCAACCTACCCAATGATCGCTTCCCTGATAAAAATGATCCAACATCAAAGGCATCTTTCCATTTAAACTGAACTCGAATCTGTAACAATTGAAAATAAATGTTTTAATGTCCGAAATCCAGTATAAAGCACTTTCCTGATATAGATTATCACCCTGAATGTAGGTCTTTTGTGGCATTTTTCAAAGTCAGTTTCAATCATTCTAGCCTAAATTGTCTCTACATGGACTGCAACGAATATTAGTCTCTACAGCCTTTCTGAGTAACTGGTTGTTTTTCTGTTTGTATATTGAGTTGTCTGCATATTTCAAATACAAGGTGAAGGTCATTTTTCCTCTCAACCAGTCGTACGAGAAACATTATTTGACCTTTGTCCAAATATACAAATTTCACACTATTTTATCCAAGCTATATATTCGTTTCAGTCAAAGCTAGATCAATATATCCCAAACTGCTCATTATTTAGTGCTATATTTTGGTAGAACTATTGGGAAATTCATAACATCTGTCGTCTCATACATTTCTCACAGAAAAAAAAATATGCATAAATGTCAATTCTGGGGTTTTTTTGGTATATTTTGCCTTTGTAAAAATATTCAGAACTACTTTTTAACTTTCACAGGGTCAGAGAGAGAGGGAGGGTTTAACGTCCAGTCCACTCGACACAAACCAGGTCATTTCGGGACTAACATATGGTTCAATTTTATTTCCATAATTCGTTGCGCGTTGGGGTCTTTAGCAGTGGGAGGAAACCGGAGGACCCGGAAAAACCCCAGAAGGTTGGCCAGACGACCCTACTCCTTGTCACGTACAACCGGGGAATCGAAACCACGCCAGTTGACTCAATGACAGATTTTATGATACAGCGCGCACGTGCTAACCATTCAGCCACCCAACCCCCCAGGGCCAAAGATATTAATGTTATTTTTCATATAAAAATTTTTTTTTAAAGTAGTATTCTCCTTCAACCTAATAATCAATGCTCTACCTGATTTTCTGTAATAGGTAATTTATTTTCTATAGCAACTAGTTGATCATAATATCTGTAAAAAAAAAGAAAAAACAACACATTGTTTATTTGTTATAACTGAGAAATCACTTAGCCACCGTGACCCCCCACCCTTGCAGTAATTTGAGGCAGTGCAGTAGATAAGAAAGTTGAAGAGTACTGGAACAGTATCTAAAATTTATGCCTTGGAATGTTTTATGATTTGAAGAATTTGGGTTTATTTAGAAAGTAACAGTGCTTGGACCTAAAGAACACCATGCTATACTACTTTATCGAAATTATTAACTGATAAAGTTTAAAGTTGCTTAAAGTAAAGTTAAAGTAGCTAAGTCTCTAACTCAATATCATACAAAGTCTTACACCTTGAAAATATGAATTATTTGTCAATTCAAATCAACATTGATGTTGTGATCTTACCGGGAAAAGGTAGGCTTCTGATATCTAATATTTAAGACAAAATAACCATTTTACCATTGGTACACGAATCGTGTACCATAGTGCGTTTCAGCGTCATTTGTAACAAGTGACCAGAAAGAACGAGGCTAGACATATTCCACAACACTCCTGTCAAACATCTTATCTGGAGATCATGCACAATAGACTGGAATAACCGGACGCTAGAAATTGCCATTCGGTTGAGACTCAGGACGTATTTGGCTGGACATAACTGATTTGAAATTAGAGGTTAAAACGAAACAATTGAATGTAATTCAGTTTATATACAATCAGATTACATCATTATATATGCGTTGCAACCCATTAGGGTCAATTTCTAGGTCCCAAATATTAGCTCCTTTAAATATTGTGGCATCATGGCAACAGATGACCACCAGTCGTAATCAGGATATATATATATCCTGAATCGTTCACTAATGAGCAGATAACTTATTGTTGGGTGTGTCCCAACTAAACTGAATTAAACTTACTACTGGACCATTCCTGATATAAGCTTATACTTTATAAATCTAATACACTGCTATTGATTAGACGAATGTGATAATCAAACATGACAAAATGTCATTATAAGCTCTCTTAAAATAGAATGATAGACTCATTTACACAATATTTTATTTCGAAATCCACAAAGACTGAAAGAAATTCTCAACATCTAATTGTTGAAAGCCTATTATTTATCTTTCTTTAATTGAATTTTACTTAGGACACATACAATTAAATAAACATTGGATCTTGTAGATTGGGTGTGTCGAAATTAAGTGAGGCCAGACAGTTGTTCGTTTCGTTTCATTGTTCGAAACAAAACGAAAAATATAAATTTTTACACTCACCGATAGAGAACTTCAAGTGCAGATTCGTGTTTGTCAACCGATTTCGTGATCATCAAATTCCTTAATTTGTTAAATTCGCTAAGGGCAGTATTGTAGTCATCTGGTTCTGCAGATGAAAACGTATTTTGAATAAAACTACGTAATGGTTTCACAAAATCAACATCGTAAGTCTTCTTTAACGGTACTGATAGGTACATCGCCATCTTGATTTGTTTGATCACATGATCTACAGATACTATTTATAGGTTTAATTGACGTCACTCTATCTGATTCATGAAAGCGTGCAGTTTGATAATAATTTATCGTTTGTTGAATGGTCAACTGTTTTCTTTAAATTTGGGATTGGCCTGCTAGCTAGTTATAATAAAGAAATGGCCAAAGAAATAGAAAACTTTAAATATTTTTGAACAGCTAAATCAGAGTAGCGGGATGTTTTTTCAAAAGTTTTTCGGTGGACCTTATACTAGCTTATACATAGTGATAGTACATATTAAAAGAAAGGTCCATGTTTTTTCTAACAGAATTAGATTAAACATACATTATGCAAAAGCTAAATCTGCCTATTATTGCAGATCTTTCTTTGAAAAACAATTAAATCGATAAGTGGATAATCGAGACTGTGTTTTATCGTACTGACTTTAGTAATGGTGATCGAGGCTAGCCTAAAATTCAAAAACTAAATATTTCCGTTCAGAGTGCAGCCATTTGACTGAAATTTTCAACTTACGTTAGCTTTTTTATAACTATTATAGCGAGCACAGTCAACTCTTTATCTAAGCCCCCATAATGCCTACCTACCTACCCATGTCTACCTATGTCTGTTCCAAACGCAGGAGTCAGCTTGCTCCTCTATATTTGGCTCTATTTCATCATCTATTTGAGTAATTTGTCTTCTCCCGGTTACTTTTCCTTCACTACATGAATATGAGTAGTCGTACATCATGGGGTGGTTATGCCACAGTCGATCTAATCGGTTACCGAAAGATTTTACGTTTTTGGCCGTGATAACTGATTCTGGTAAGCTGTTCCAGTCTTCTATACTACTCTGTTTGTGAAGTAATGTCTACGTATTTCCAGTCTAGATCTATTCTTAACTAATTTCAGTAAATGTCCACGAGTCTGGTGAAAAGTACTCTTATTGATCGGTAGTAAATCTTCTGTTACACATTTGTCATATCTACCAGTTAAAATTTTATATGTCTCGATCATATCGCCTCTCAGTCGTCTAAATCTCAGTGATGGCAGCTTTAGTTTTCTGAGTCGTTCTTCATATGTCAAGTCCTTCATATCTGGTAACATTTTAGTGGCCCTACGTTGAACATTCTCAATTGATTCTATGTCTTTAATTTTGTATGGGTTCCAAACGCTACTCGCATATTCCAGGTTAGGTCTGACAAGCGATTTGAACAATAGACAGAATGTTTTAAAATTCAAGTATTTAAATGACCTCCTGATTATCCCAACTATTTGATTTGCTTTATTCACTTGTGTCTGTATATGCTTTTCGAAATTAAGCTTTGAGTCGGATTCAACAGATTCTAAATTAACATATGAGCCTGCGTAGGTTGGCATCGTGTAGTTTGTGGTTCTTGGTTGCTGTCTTTTACCAGAGATAGACAAGACTTTACACTTGTCCGGATGAAAATGCAATAGCCATTTTTCACTCCATCTAAAAAGATTAATGATATCATTTTGGACTATTTCAATGTCACTTTGATTGGTAATTTCCCTATATAACTTCGTATCATCTGTAAACATGTATACATCAGATTCCACAGTTAGAGGTAGATCGTTAATAAATAGAACAAACAAAATTGGTCCCAATACAGAGCCTTGCGGTATACCACTCGTCACACTATGCCATTTTGAAAAGGATCCATTTAGTTGTACTCTCTGTTTTCGGTTACTCAAGAATTTCTTAACCCATGTACATGTCTGATTGCTTATACCATAAGAACGTATTTTGTTTACTAATCTTATATGTGGTACCTTATCAAAGGCTTTCATGAAGTCAGTGTAAACGGCATCGATGGTTCCACCATTGTCGAGTATGGTAGTCCAATGGTCTAGTACCTTCAGGAGTTGTAGTGTGGTAGATCTGCCACCCATAAAACCAAATTGTTTTACACTAAATAAGTCAAATCTGTCCATATGTTGGATAATTCTTTTTCTAATTAACTTTTCCATTAACTTGCATATTATACCGGTAAGACTAACATGTCTATAGTTGGATGCAGAGTTCTTACTTCCTTTCTTAAAGAGTGCTGTTATTTGACCAATTCTCCATCCTTCGGGTATTGCACCTGTTAAATATACTACAGAGTGGCCTATCGATAGTATCTGCTAATTCATACAGTATCTCTTGATCTGGACCAGGTGATTTTGTAGTATTTTGTTCCTTTAATTCAACAGTTGTGAAATCATTGTCGTTTGAATTTTCATCGTATTTTATATTTTCAAGTAAAGTTTCATCATCATCGTTTTCTATACTAAAAACACTACTGAAAAATTCAGCTAATATCTCGGCTTTTTGTTCATCGTCTGAAGCAATAACTTTCTTTCCATCACGTACCGTGTGTATTTCACTATTAGTTTTTGCCGATTCAGCTATCTGCTTTTCACGGTTCTTCCGTTCCATTGAAATAATCGATTTTGCCTTTTTTCGGGCTTTAGTGTACTCTTTGTAGCCTTCGCTATCTTTTTTCAATCTGTATTTTTCCCAGCTTCTATGTTTCTTTCTAATAGAGCGTCTAGCCTCCGGGCTCAGTGGGGTGTTACCTTTTCTAGTACCAACACGCTTAGTCGGGATGTTATGTTGCATGGCTAATATTAGTTTGTTCATAAAAAATGTCTACCATTTCTGTTGTGTCTTTACCCTGTAATGTTTCAGTCCAGTCTATATCCAGTTCCTGTCTAAGTTTAACATAATCTCCTTTGAAATAGTTGAACTTTTCACTCTTTGTGTTTTCATAGCTAAGGTAGCATTTAAAATTAAATGATAATACACAATGATCACTGCGGCCGACCGGATCCAAGTATTCAATATTCTGTATATAATTACTATCGTTCACAATTATAAGATCTAGTAATGATGGCTCTTGATTTATGCGATACCTTGTTGGATGGTCCACTGCTTGTTGAAAATAACAATCTCTAATACATTCTAGAAAGTCCAGGCTAGTCTTCTCTCTTGCAGTCCATGAATCCCAATCTATATCAGGAAAATTATAGTCGCCTGTCAACAGAATATGAGTAAATTCTTCATGTTTACTAATATTGAGTAATAGCTCACTTAATTCATTGTGATTCTCCTCTGAGGATGACGGACTTTTATAGATACACCCAACTAACTCTGGGAATAAGTCATAACCATCTATGTTAAATTCTGCCTTAGATGTACTGTATCTACTATTCTTCGGTAACGCTTCTGTAATAATGATAATATTCGGGTCTGACTCGTCGTTAATAAAACGTGTTCTAAATTCATCAATTTTATTCATGAAACTATCTGCATTTGTGTACACACATTTTAGTTCACTTAAAAGTTTAAAATGCTTTCCACCAATAACATTTGAACTACGCATTTACAGGTTTATATACAGTCTTAGAGTGATTTAATTTCGTTTTACTACCACCCTGATTGTCTTCCTTTCCCACGGGGGGCCTCGAACTATGTGACGGTGTTTCCCCGATTTCTCTTCAGCATTTAGCTTCTTGGCCTCATCAAACATGGCTTTATTCTGATCTCTTTCATTTTTTGTCATATCGTGTGATATACTAATATTTTTGTATGGACTCTTCTCATCCACATCTTTCAGCTTACTAAGTTTATTCATAAAGTTTTTCTTTACTTCTGTATTTACAAATATTACCTTCATAGGTCTTGATCTAGTTTGAACACTTATCTCGCTTTCCTGGTTTTCTGTTTCTTCCTCGTTGTCGCCATCTTTGATCTTCTTCTTCCCGATCCTTACTACAGATTTAATTATATTTTTCTCTCTTATAGTGCTTTCCCTGATCTCCGATACCTTTTTATTTACAGTATCTTCAATAGCTACAGCGTTACTAATTATATTTGTATCAAAATTCCCAGACTCATCTACAATACGCTTAGCAATTACTTCCACCTCTTTAATAAACATCCGCGATAGCTAGAAATTTATTATTTATTATTAATCATCAACCTGCCATTGATAAACTTATATACCCTACTTCAATAAAATACAATACTTTTTTTCAGAGATTTTCGAGAAATGGTGATAATCCGAGTATAAACGATAATATATTGAATTATTGTGGTTGCTCAGTAAGAAAGAAGCTGCCTCGCTCCCGGTGTTGGCCGAGAAAGTTCCTCGAGTTTTTTTCCGGCGTCGCCTCCCCTTGCCAGTGGTGCAGGATAGGAGCCCTGGCAAGGAACAGTGTCTAACTATTCGGATGGGACGGAAAAACGAGGTCCCGTGTGCACAATGGCGTGCACCTAAAAGAATTAACCCATAGATGACAGCTGGAATTCGTTGTCCGCGGTGCCGTTGTTGGGGCACAATTTTCCTTACAGAACACTCACTGAATGGCGTATGCTCGTCTTCATCCAGTCAGTACAGAAAAGCTGGACGCCAAACCCCATTTCATTCATTTCCTATCCCGAGATGCGAGTTTGGCAATCTCAAGTTGCATTACGAAGTAGTTATCCCCCTTTAATTAGAAATCAAACGCCTTGGGTTAAAATTTAACCGACGACCAGAGTAAACCAAGGAGAGCGACAAATTCAAAAAGTTCTTACTTCGCGAAACCGAAATTATTTTTAGCTCTACCACCATCGACACTCACCAGAAAAGAGTCATTTTCACTCTAATTCTGTGAATTCATCCAACAGTAGTGGATCGTTCTAAGGACTTCCATTAAGCAGGTTTTGGCATGATTTGATGACCTATAACTCCCTTGATTTCCAATTAAACCGACACCAAACTGTACTATACGATTTGATAAAACCTAACTGCTCCGCGAAATTTTTGTCCATTTTAAAATGGTCGCCGAACAAGAATTAGAGCGCGCGTTATTTCACGTCGTCTTGAAAATACAGAAAAACTGTTCGGTAAGATAAGTTTAAGATTTCAGTATTCCACTCTTCACTATTTGTAACATAATTAATTATTTCTATTCAAACTGTGATGATATGTGTTGAAAATTTTGAAATTAAACCTAGTTTTACTTGCGAAGTTAAACCCAGTTTTACTTGCGAAGTTAAACCCAGTTTTACTTGCGAAAATCCTCGAATAGTATGTAGCCACGCACTAGACAGGCATAGGCGTACGAGGCGGGGGGGGGGGCGGGAGGGCACCGGCCCCCCAAATATTTTCAGGAAAAAAAATAGAAATCTGAAAAGAGCTCAGAATTGTGAGATCGGTCATTAGCCGAGGAGTTTTTGAATAATGGGGTCGGGAAGCGTCGCCCCGTCTGTCGGGTTTTGAATATTTTTAATAATATGGAAACGGAAAGAAAGCAGTCCAGTCAATGATGAACACGTACGTCATCTGAATAGAACTAGCACGTAGCACGTACACATGGCCTTTCTCAGTTTTTGAGTACTGTGTTCCTGTATACTGGTCTATCTTGATTCTAGATCTATCTATCTTAGATATGGATAAAAAAAAATGTGAACTGTCATATAATGAAAAACGTGGCAAAAGTAAATCGTAATACGGAATATATAGATTGTAAATTTGAACTCTTTTAAAATGGTCATTCATATATTAAAAGTAGATAACGTATATACAAGTCTTCTATACATCTGAGATCTGGATAAAAAATGTGAAGTGTCATAAAATGAAAAATGTGGCAAAAGTAAATCGTTCGACTTGTTCTTGTTTTCGTAGTAATAGAGCTTGTATTTTAAAGATGACTTTTTACCAGTTTTTATGCTGCAACTGACATAATTTACTACCCACTCCAAATTACTAGAAAGTATTCGAAATGCCTGGAAATCGCGTCTACGGCCGTCTGGTTTTCAAAATTTTCTGGGGGAGGCCCCCCACACGCCCAGTCAGACGCTTCGCGCCTCGGGAAAATATGCTGGCCCCCAAACAAGTTCGGCCACGTACGCCTATGTAGACAGGACGCGGATATACAGTATTGCAGCTAAATTCACCCGAAATTGTTTTTCTCTGTGCAACCCAGCGACAGCTAGTCAGCACCAACAATCACCGAGAACATGCAATTTGCCCTAAAGTTTACGGACTAATTAAAATTCTTCAATAGGGGACGACATGTTCTCCCAAAGATTAGAACCTTTTAAATTTTTGATATAGGTGCTTTACTGTTGAAAAAATATATATTTTTATTTCATAAGAAGCAACAGTAAATGTGTTTAAACAACACAGTGGGTTTTGAAACGCGTTTTTTCCATAAAAGAAATTAGACCAGAAAACAAGCATTATTCCCCACCCTGCACCGACTATTTGATGCATAATAAATATGTAATTCTAATATAAATATGGTATCGTTCTTTAACGCGAACGGTGTCAAATTCATTGTTTTCTATCCGCAATAACAACGGTTGGTTGCAACAGAGTTTTAAGGTCCATAATTTAAAGCGGAAATTGCAAATTTTTAAGTTATATTTTTAAAATTTATTAAAATAAAGCCTGAAAATAGATGGTATCCATAAACAGTCCTACTTTGTTAAAGAATAATCCTATAATTCACTATTGCCAGTTGAGAAATTGGCAAAAATATCATTTTCCTCTTCATTTTCAAACGTTTGAAAAAAGCTACTCCATGTTGGAGAATAGAAAACAAGGGAGGTAATTGGGAGGTAATTGTGTTATTATTTCCTGTATTTATGAGTTTTAAGTGTAAGAATGACACCTATGATCGTATAATTGTGAGTTGACAACATTGAGCAAAAGACATAGAAATAATTACGTTTTGACTTTCTTAGAAAATTTGCAATTTCCGCTTTAATATGTTTGCCCACTTGAACATTCTTGGAACAAGATGGAACAATGGTTAATCATTTTCAGCGACGACAGATTGTCATACCACAAAACAAAAGAATCGACACTTATTTTTTTAAATTGTAATTGGCCCCAGACCAAAGTGCTCCACAGTCTTGATACGCATGTACATTTGTAATAGTCAAGACTCGGTTTAAAGGTCCCACGAAAAGGTTTGCCACCGTTGATGACAGGGGTGCCAAGAAAAAAAGATGATGTATGCAACAGGAGAGGTGTCGGTTTGTCGAGCGTATAGATTATTGCTTTGGTAATCGTTCAGGTTGTTTGTGGTAGAAGTACGTCGTTACAATTATTTGCATGCGTATCGCCCTTGCTCATTTTGATTTTAAAATTTTAGATCTTGACAATTAGTCGCCAGTTTGTGTATTGTGAATTAGCACCCAACACCATGCTGATTTAGCTTTCTTTATTGGCGGCCAAGCGAATTTACTGCTGATCATTTTACGTATAATGGACAGAATCAGGGCCCTTGAGAGGAAAAAAATGTGCTGGAGCGAGACCTTTATTAATTAAGTGGACTATGCACTTCAATATTATAAAACCTGATCCCACAGCTGCTGTAAATAGAAATCAATAATAATAAAAAAAAACAAGGAAAAAACAAAAGAAATACAAAACAGTAATTTAATTGGAAGTTTGCAGGTGTTACACATATGTATAACATGGTTTCCGTCACATAATACTTAGCGTCTATTCAACTTTTTCTCCATTTTTAGAAATTCATTGGGTGACTGACTACGACAGGTGATGTTAACGTTAATTTCTCTTTGTTGAAACCTTATTCAAAGGATATAAATCACCCCGTGACCTTCGTCTAAAAAGAACTCTGCCTTAAAGAATATCAAACTTTTTTATATCTATAACTTGTTTATTTTAAGAAAAAAACATATGCTGTTCATCGGTCAATTAAAATATTTCTAATTTATGTATTTAGCCTATCAAGATATATTATAGGCCTACATATTTATATCCATTGCAATTATTTATTCTTAAAATATTTTTTATTTATTGTCAAACAAAAAAACCATAGGCAAATTAATATTGGTTTTTAAATTCAGTATTTTCAAATTTTCAAATTTAAAACAATATCAACAGGAAATAAATTCTTTCATGAAGATGACCTTTGGCCATATGGGAAAGGTATGCATATATTTTCCTTGACTTTTCCATTCTCAACCAATCAGAAGTCAGTTTATTGAAAGGAAATCAGGTCACATGACCACCTTGCAGTCAATGTGGACGTCGTGTGGTCCAAGTGTTCAACCGAAAAAAGTTAAAAATCATCAGAAATTTTGGGTAAGTTTTTGATATGATTTAATATACCGCAGGATAATAAATTGGATGAAATGCATATGCTACAACCATGTTGTCTACTCGCGAAACGGTACACTTTCCCGCAATATATCTCCCGCGAAATTGCACGTAAAGCATTTCTCATTGATAAGCACAAAGACATTAGATTTGCATACAACTGTGTCGATAGTAGTAGGCAAACCGGGGATATACGGTGTACTTTTACGACAATACATTGTAACCGTGATTTTACCCATGAATGTTATTTAAGGCTAGATATATTGAAAAATATCAGGTGATTATAAAAAATGGAATGTTTCTAAAGAATTAATTGGTTTGTAGATGTAAAGTTAAAGAATATATGAAAAAATTTATTTCATCACTGACCCCGATTTATTCTTAAACGTGTGTAGCGGTTGCCTACGTACACTAATAAACCATAATATACAGTTTACCGAATAACGGTTATTCCTCACATTGTTGGGATGGATTTGTTCCATTCATATTATGGATATGTTTAATTTTGGATGGTAATGAATGCCTGTTGTGGAGTAGTTTGAAGTAGGGAGTGGATTTTCGGATAGAAATGGATTCCTTATTTTGGATGGATAAAGGAATGTACCGTTAACTTGGGCATGTTGACACTCTAAATGAAAGACCTACATACAGTGTGTGTGTATATATATATATATATATATATATGATATCATGATATTATTAGTAAGTGAAGCACAGAATATGTATCTGTTAATAAATATTTTGCCCATGTAGACCTATCATATTATTTATTGTATTTGATTAACTTAACAGCTAGGTATAGTATATACATGTAGACTGTGTGAATTAAATGTCAATTATCACTGTGAAAAGATTTTGTTTAGACAGCCACAGAAAACCCATGTAGCAGTCATACCATTTTGTTTCTGAAATGTCATCAATGATGAAATATATAATTTCCTAAGGTATTCAAAATATAGCCTTCTGGTATTCAAAATCCCCTATTAATTGTTTCCTGTTGCTCTTTATCAAAAATACATTCTGTGACGTGTTGGATTTTCTTATTTCAAATTTCATTGATTCAAATGAATAACAGGCTAAAAATTATTTAGATTTTGTGTGTCACGTTTGATGATTGTTATTGTTAGGCCTAGTTCTATATATGCACCTAATGGATGAATACCTTTAATTATGAGTCATCACCATTGAAGGTATGGCACCAATTAAAATATTGTTAGTCACAGAGTTCCTAGATTATAAGGCAATACAATTCCAATGACAAAAACTATGATTAGTCATTTGCTAAAACTAAACAAAAAAATATTGTCATCAGTTCTGATTATTCAGAACATAATTTCTTTGTGGTCAGATGGAAGGTATTCATATCTGAGTATTTTTTGTAATTTGTGTGGACGAAACTCGGGATAAAGATATAAATGAATTTTATTCATTTTATTTTTTATCTAAAATATTAGTGGTTAACATTGTCATATTTCATACATCATTAGTATTGGTAAGTCAACTAAATTTAATCAATACAAAGGTTATGAAATTTTTAGTATTGAAAAAAAAAAGAAGATATTTTGAAGTTATTGGAAATTTAGTAAAGTAAATGTACATGTAGGACAAAGAATTTCCATGGTATTGATGAAAGTTGTGTAAATTATTGGGAAATCCATGTGTGAAATATTACTGGGCGATACATATATCAAGGTGAAATATTACTGGGAGATAATGTACATGTATCAATGTTTAATATTACTGGGTGATAAATGTATCAATGAATTAATATCATTTATCTCACATATTTTATGTTGGTTATATTAATGTATATTCAATAGTTTATAAAAAGTTAGGGAGTCTTATCCTTGTGATACAAATTATAGAAAACTTTTAAAATCTAAAAAAAAAAGAATCAATAATTGATAGATTGTTTGAAAGATTTAAGGAACTATCCTAAAAATTACTGCAAATAATCCCTGCCAGGTGTTGTTTTGAGGTCATTGTTGTAACTTATGGTCAAATACTAATAAGCATAGCTCCTCTTTACTTCAAAAACAAAAGTATGATTTACAGTAAAGTGACCAACATTTATTTGTGTAGCGTTGGTTCTTTTTGGTATCACTAGTAACATATACGATAGATGACAGGTCAGGCCAGGAAACAGATTTCTTAGAGCGTTAAATCTTACTCATCTTAAATAGAAGACTAGATCTCGCTTTAACTACGTACATCTTATCAAGGCCTTCACGTAATACCCTATATATTTCAGCACTAATTTCCATTAGGTTCAAGCCCAACTTGTGAGCCTATCAGATTCCTCGATCGTCGTGAATACCAGGTCTCGCGCTTTCAAGCAGAAATGTCTACCTGTGATAATCGAGTTGCAAAGTTCAAGGTTCATTCAATGTCAAGGTTTCCGTGGAGGTCACGATGTCACAACCTCTGATTGGACGCTACTGCTCACATGTCTGTAGATAACATAGCTATAAGTTCGGGAATTCTGAAGTAAACAAGCAATGGCCAGATGTTGTGAAACTCGCAGTCGTTGCTTCAGAAACATGGATCTTACTATAGTTAAATGTAAATGACTGAGACTAACTAATGTAAAAAATGTGATTAATGTTCAATATTTTTGTATCGGTTTTTCAGGTTTAGGTCAGTTTAATCATTAGAAGGACATGAAGCTGAGATAGTGATAGGCCTGAAATAATTTTGTCAACACCATGAAGACTGCATCGACAAAGTATAGTGGCCATGGCGAGTCCTCATCACAAAAAACACATCGGCGACGTGACAGCCATGAAAAGTCCAACTATGAAGAGGTCGCCATTATTGGTAATGGTGCTTATGGAACTGTTTATAAAGGTCGAGACCTTAAAAATGAGGGACAACTTGTGGCCATTAAAAAAATTCGAATACCTAACACAGAAGAAGGAATGCCTATGAGTGCTATTCGTGAAATATCTCTTTTAAAACAGCTGGAAAAATTTGAGCATCCAAACATTGTCAGGTATGTTTAACAGTGTACAAGTACAACTTCTTGTCTTAATCCCAATAATCTTCAATGATTTGTTTTGGAAATACCAAGGTTACATATCTTGCAGTGGTTACAAGTGCATGTAAATTTTTGAAAATCAAAAATATCACTATCATTATTGTCTTCATGAAGAAAAAGGAATTACTCTCCACAAAATCTTAAAACCAAGATATTTTAGATATCTCTATTTAAACAGAAGACATGACAACATTCGGAAAAGGCAGTTTTGTTTGAGGTAGATTTCAATTCTTGTAATTTAAAATACATGTAAAATACAAGTTAACCATCAAAATTCTTAAATTGCCTACCAGCTAGGCTAAAGATATTCATATTTAGTCTTCTGATTATTCCCATTTCAAAAGAGGGTTTGGGTGGTCTATGCATACTCTATGTATGATCTGTCAACAGTCATTGAGCCAAGTGACATGGTTTCGATCCCAAGCTTGCATGTGAAACGGAGTGGTGTTACCAGCCCAATATTGTGAGTTTCTATGGATGTTCTTGTTTTCTTCCCTTTGACTTTGAGTAAGTGAAATTATTAAAATAAAATTGAACCAGATGTTAGTCCCCATATTACCTGGTTTGTGTCCCGGTGCAAATTAAATCCCATGTCAGAAAGGGGTGTTGGATGCTCTAAAGCATGACCTTAGATCATAAGGTCTTTCATCGAGTCGGATGGCGTGGTTGTACATGTATCATTGTATGTGACAAGAAGTAGGGTCGTCTGTCCAATGTCATGAGTATTTTTCGGGTTCTCCGGTTTCTTCAAACTGCTAACGACCCCTACTCACAGGCGATTTATTGAAATGACCTAGTTTGTGAACATAAACATTAAACCCCATTTATTTCTCTTTCCTTCCCTGGTCAAAATTTATGGCTAGATTTTACTAAAGTATACTCAAACTCAGATTAGGAAAATACGTTTTCTGAAGATTGTTTCAGTTTACATTCCTTTTTAGGGCTCACTATTATCAAAAAATTTGCTACATTTGGTAGTTTGTATGTTCTGAAGATGCAGTCAGAACTATTTATTGAATGTTTTAAGATATGAAACTTTTAAAGTTTGGAGAATTTTAATAGTTGTTGTCTTGTTCTTAGTGTTTAACGTCCGCTTTCACCAAAGGTGATATTGCAGACAAGTTGGCTTTATTTTCATTATCTCAGTGTACACGTGAGAAAACCAGAGTACCCAGAGTAAACCCCCATCTCCAAGCCACATACGCTCACACCAGGGATCGAAACCACAACCACAAGCCAGAGGTGACCGGCCAGCTAGAAGTCGAAGCACAAAGTTCTAGACCACTAGGCCATCCCAACCCCCCACTTTTAGTAGTCTACTACTGGCTTTAAAGGCTCAATACCACTCTTGTTGTAACAGAATAATATGTCCTAATCTTTATTCTGGTCAACAGATTGTACTATTTTACAATATTTCAATTAATTGATGATACAAATTTCATCTTAACACACCTTATTTAAAATTTTTGAAAAATTCAACATAATGGTTTGAAATGTCTAACGTAAACCTTTTCAAGTGAAACTTCAATTTAAAAATATTTTCGAACCCTCTGGACAAGTAAAATAGGATGTAATGGATAATTTACACAACAGGTAGGACACATCTAGTACTTAGATAGAGATATTATTTATTTTCTGGAGCTTTCAAGCCAGCAAGAGTGTTATTGTCCCTTTAAATACCATTGATAAAAACTGATTTGATCAGTTCCACATGATTAACCTTATTGTAACTGAACATGTAATGTCGTTAGAATGGTGTCTACTATAGCAATCTTGTTGATGTTTGGTTCAATTCAACCTATTGTTAGTCCAATCTATGTTACTTATTGTCAAGTATTTTACGTACCAATAATCCCTTTGTTGTCACAGAACTAATAAAGCATAATAAATTCAAAGTTGAATAAAACTCAGGTTTTGTGGTGTGTAGCAAATATTTTATCAGCTAAAATCTTTAAGTAGAGGATATCAGATATTTATTGGGTGAATAAATTGATAAAAGAAATATTTTAGTTATGCATAAATGTAAACTATGCTAAATATGCTTTGAACTTGGACAAAATAATCTCATTGACTTTGTTCTCTGATAATTTTGTGTCTATTTAAAGTCTGAATAATCTGTTAGTCTGTTGTCATTAATCAGTCTTTAATCACAGTAATTATTGAATATGCATATTAATTTCGAAATTCTTATAGTTTTGAAATATTCTCGAATAATACCCACTGGTTATTTCTGGATAACATCACTTACACTAAACAGACATTTTTTTGGTAGCCTACAAATTTAAGAATAAAGAGTTTTCAAACATTGTACAGGGTGACCCCATAAAATTTTTATTAAATTTCTGGACTTTAACTTCAGTCTGTGTGCAGTCATTCACCAAAGTTTCAGTTATCTTGGGCGCTTTGCATAAAAGTCATGTTCTTTCAAAAAAATATGCTCCAAATGGCCTCCGTGGCATTGGAGGCAAACTCAATTTCCCTGATTATCTCAAGGATGATGTGTACCCTGGAACAACCCTCAAACAATTCGTGAATTGAAGGCAGCAATCACAGCAAAAATCAGGAAAATCCCCACAGGAATGTGTTGAGTACAGTAGATTTAGCCATGTGGGATCACTACAACAAGATATATTTACATGTATTTGCTGTTATATTTCTTACTACAGCTGATCTATATATTGTAAAATTATCATTGATTTTCTATGCACTTGTACATGTAATTGCAAATTGACAACATAAAAACTCACTCAAATAGAATGCATCATCATCATCAAATTTTTAAAGAAAAGCCTTTACATGTATGCTTAATAATGACAAATTTGTCATAAAACAATGGCATCAATAAGCTATCATGTCATGTTCTGTACCATACATGTACATGTATTGCCTTCACAGTATGTAGATTTCCGTCAATTATGATTATAAATTTATTCCTCACACAATAGGCCTTCGTGTACATGATACATGAACTCAGCAACAGGCCCACATGTAGGTGTACAATATACTCGACAATAGACGTAAATTGTGCATTGTAGGCCTACTCAACATTCAGATTTAAACTTTTAAATGGCTGGTTATCAGATAAAGTCCTGAATAAGAGAGACATGAATATTGTATTGTACTAGTAGGAGATATATATATTTCTATTATATCTACATAGCATGTATTTTAGTTGTGTAAATAAGAATGTGTAAATTGTTTAAATTGTGTAGAAGAGAGCATGTTTAACTTGTTTAGAATTAGGTTTAGTAATAAACACTTAATGTGAGTAGTAATGGCATGTAGGTGGATTATATTTGAACAACTAATTAGTCTGAAACTACAGTTACAGTAATGTTTAACATAGAGAAAACATAAGCTGGTTACCCCGACATATTTCTCAGATCTCTTTCTGTTAAACTTCATTATACACAGAACACAGTTTTTATGGAAACAATCACTAGTTTTATTCTAAAATCATGACATTTCGACAAGCATGATAACGATAAGAGGATACTTGTCGAAACGTTGTGCTTTTAGAATAAAACTAGTGATTTTCCCCATAAAAACTGTGTTCTGTTAATGTGTTCCCTGATCGCTAAATGCCACTTGAATATTATTTTATTATACACTATATCCCGTACGCAATAAAGGGTCAGTTGGTTCGGATGTGTGGTCTGAAGAATGGTGTATGTTAATTTTCTTAGGTCTCTTACGATGCTCTTATGAGTATGAAGAGGAGTCAGATCTCAGTCACCTTCCAAACCATGTGAATTTTCTCTGTATTTTAGTAGCGAATGAAATTAAAGAATTGGAATTGTTGTCCCTTGTGCGATTGTTTTGTTCATTCTTCCTTTACATGTATAATATCCAGTTTGTTCAGTTTATTTAGGAACAATTTGATTGTTAGATAACATGTTAAAAGTATTTAGTGTGGGTATTAAAAAGGTCTTTCATACGTGTAGATCATAATTGTTCTTCATGTGTAAACGATTTAGAGTATAAGTACACCTGGTATTGCTTTAAGGAAATATAAAAAGTAAAGTCTGTTGAATAAGCTTTTAGAATGATAAACTTGTTTATTGTTATATTAATGTATGGAGAAAGTCAAGTTTTATACAAGTAGGTCAGTCACTAGTAGACTTTCACTTATTGTAATGAACACTGACTTTTAACCTCCTTATTAACATAACTTACATACCACACTGACATAATGTTATACCAACTTTGAAGGGATTATTAGTAGAATCTATACAATTTCTAGGATTTCCTTAAGTAGCAGTACTGAGGTCAGGGGCTACTCTAGGGTACATGTAGGAGACATTGGGGATCCTCATACATTAAGTTAAATGAATTCAAAAGAGTAGAAAATCCTAATTGAATTTTAATTTTGTTGATATTTTACTAGTTCTCATGTGGTACTACACAATATTCGATTAATTTTCAAAGGACTGGCTAATTCCCTGCATGTACATGTACATTTAATACAATACAATGCACATGCAATGAAAAAGATTTATTTATTGTTAATCCTGAAATGACCTAGAGTCAAAACTAATTTTTTACTATCTGTTTTGAAAGGACAGCTGTGGCAGTTCAGACAACAAGGCTGGTGGTGGACATATTGCTTTCTTTGGCAAGACATCTTCTGATTCATATAAAAACCTGTATTTGTTTCCATGTTCAATTCAGTTTCTCCCACATGTAATAATGAAAAATGTGCCACCATTTATTTTAATATAAATTTGTATTTTTGTTAGGTTATTAGATGTACGTCATAGTCAGTTAAATGAAACTGAAATACGACTGATGTTGGTGTTTGAATACATAGATCAAGATCTAGCCACATATTTAGAAAGATGTCCATCTCCTGGACTTGGACCAGATCGAATAAGGGTAAGTTACTCTGGACCATTTCTAACTCAACCTCATTACTGACCTTTATTTTTTTATACGCCCAAGTTTTATGAGGATGTATATTGTCACCGTCCCTGTCTGTCCGTCCACAATTTGTTTGTGGACAGTCTACAGGTCACAATTTTATCCGACTTTGACGAAACTTGAAATATAGGTTTATCTCCGAAAGATCTTGGTTTATCTTGATATCGGCATGTATCGGATCAAAGCTTCATGGATTATGGCCCCTAATTGTGCGAAAAATCACGTTTTTAGCTTGTGGACACTCTGGAGGTCACAATTTTCATCCAATTTTGATGAAACTTCAAATGCATGTTTATGACATAAAGATCTTGGTTCCTTTCGATAATTGCCGGACAAAATGGACGGCCCTTTGATGAAACTTGAAATGTATGAATATCATCCAAAGATCTTGGTTCCTTTCGATATTTGCGCATATCGGAGCGTAACTTCCTGGATTATGGCCCCTGATTGTACTTAAAATCACGTTTTTATACACGCACATGGAAATGTGGTTGTATATTGCCGTTGCCTCCATCTGTCCTGACGGTCCGTCGTCCACACTTTCTTGTGAACACTCTACAGACTACATTTATGATCTGATTGTTTTGAAATTGATATATTTTGTTTCCATTACTGATATGAAGAAGCCTAATTAATTTCAATAATTTCCGTTAATTTCTGCTGGATTTATGGCCCTTGTTTCACTTTATTGCACCTTGTGAATGTCAAAAATTATCATCCTATCTGTGTGAAATTTATATGTATCCTTTAAATTAGTGAAACGATGGATTCCTATTGAATTTCATCAATTTCTGTTAATTACTTTTAGAGTTATAGCCCTTGTTTCACTTTGTCGAAGCCTGTAAACGCTTTGATGACTGAAGTTACCATCCGATCTGCATGAAACCTATTGAATTTCAGCTATTTCCGTTAATTACATGTATGTCTAGAGTTAGGCAATTGTTTCACTTTGTTGAACCCTATGAACACTCAAACGACAAGTTGCCATTCGATCTACATGTATATGAAATTTATATGCATTATTTAAATTAGTGAAACAATGAAGTCTATTGAATCAGTTTCCGTTAATAATGTCTAGAGTTATGGCCTTTGTTTCACTTTGAATGCTCGAACGACAAAAGTCGTCATCTGATCTGTATGAAATTTATATGCATAATTTAAAGATACATTATGGGAGATTAGATAAAGAGCTGGCAGTTCTCATCATAATAGTTAAAAAATAAATAATGTAAAGGCAATTTGCTGAAAATTTCCGTCAAATTGATCCACTCTGAACCGTGATTTTGAATCAATTTCCGTTAATAATGTCTAGAGTTATGGCCTTTGTTTCACTTTGAATGCTCGAACGACAAAAGTCGTCATCTGATCTGTATGAAATTTATATGCATTATTTAAAGATACATTATGGGAGATTAGATAAAGAGCTGGCAGTTCTCATCATAATAGTTAAAAAATAAATAATGTAAAGGCAATTTGCTGAAAATTTCCGTCAAATTGATCCACTCTGAACCGTGATTTTAGCAATTGAATTTTCGGCCTAGCCTCGGTCATAATTACTAAAGTCGGTACGATATAGTCTCGATTATCCATTTCATGATTAAATCATGAATGGAAATCGAACAGCAAATCCGAACCTAATTCCCCACATTAAATGTGAAAGATCTCAAATTTGAACCCGATTTCTAAATTGTCTGGAGCTATTGCCTATGATTTAAATTGAATTTGGAGAATTTTAAGGTAACAGTGAAATAACTTCTTGGATTATGGCCCCTGATTGTACAAAATATAGATTTTTTTTTTTTAAGCTTGTTCTTTATCTCTTGCAAAATGTGGGCATATCTTGCCTGGCAACCACAGGTTTACCCTTGTGCCTATGTGCTCAACCTTTATTTTCATTGCATCTCAGTATATTATCCAAAATTAAGCTACATATTTACACTCAATTACATTTGTACATGTACACACAGCCTTAAAAAACAAGACTACATGTAAGTACAATGGTTCATTCAAGTTCATATGTAAGCTTAGTTTATACAAATCTAAAATTTATTTGTGATAAATTGACTTTTAAAATGTCAAGGTATTGACCTTTTAGTGAAAAATTAGCCATTTAATTTTCATTCCTCTTTAGAATATGATTAGATTTAGTTTGTGATTGAAATACTAGCCTAAAAGTTAATTTATGTATTAGGTTAGATGTAATACTACCCACAAAACACTTCATTTCTATTGAAATACTTTCATATGATATTCTTGATTAAGGCTCAGTTTATCCAGTACACCCATATTGGATTAAATATCATTCACATAAATGTGTAATAAAAAGAATAATGTTTTGAAATTAGAGACATGCAGTAATTATTAAACATACATTATGCAAGAGCTAAATCTGTCTATTGCAGGTCTTTCTTTAGGCCTGAAATATTATCTAAATTATTAATTAGACATTAATTAACCTATCCAGACCATAATCAACTCTAGATGGCATCGCTAGCCTGCGATCCTTAGTGGATTGTGAGCCGATTTACGGCATAACTTTCCTTCACGATTTAACGATTAAATGGATAATCAAGACTATGCTGTTTATCGTACTGACTTTAGTAATGATGATCAAGGCTAGGCAGAAATTCAATCGCTTTGTTCTCGGTTCATAGTGGATCAATTTGAATGAAATTTTCAGCAAATTGCCTTTACAATTACAATCTTTAATTATCTGAATTTCTCATCTGCATCTATGAAAATTCTCTCATATATCACTAGATCTCCAATCATTTTTAAAACTTTCAAAAAGTAAAAAAGGTTATAAGGGACTGGGGGGGGGGGGTTGGATGGCTGAATGGTTAGCATGTGCGCGCTGTATCATAAAGTCTGTCATTGGGTCGACTGGTGTGGTTTCGAATCCCAGGTTATACTTGACAAGGAGTAGGGTCGCCTGTCCAACCTTGTGGGTTTTCTCCGGGTCCTCCGGTTTCCTCCCACTGCTAAAGACCCCTATGCGCAAGCAAATTATTGAAATAAAATTAAACCATATTTTAGTCCCGAAATGACCTAGTTTGTGTCGTGGACGTTAAACCCATTTCTCTCTCTCTCTCTCTCTCTCTATAAGGGACTGCACATTTAGGCCTGCTGCTGTCGGTTAAATTAGCAAATGAAAGCTTTTGTCAATGAGACAGGGTATGAGACAGGGTTACATGCTAATGATTACACTATATACATGTATGCCTAAAGATTCACAATGTGACAGAATTTGTGGACAATACGTATGTGGACATATGTTTTGATGCCTGGCAGCCTATTTAGTGTGTCACCACAGGCCCGGGACTGTACAGCGCAGTGGACACTTACGGCTGGCCCCCAGATCCATTCACTTGATTTGATATTTGTTTATTTGGTGTAATGTCTATTTTCTGTCTTGTCCACAGGTTTATCTTGTAGATTTTTGTTTTGCGTGTAGTACTGTCCTCCTGCACTTACTAATAGTGTAATGTCTTTGAACTCATCAATCTGTCTAGTCACACATTAATCAAGCTAATTATGATGATCTTAATTAGTCATAGTAGTCTCCCCAATCTCGTTAGTTTTAGATTAATTAGTGAATTTCCATGAGTATATGATGTCATTTAGTTGAATAATGTCATCTGTCTACAGGAAATTTTCAGGGTTATGATTACAATCACGTCACATGTGATATAAAATTAAAATAATACCAAGATTTATTTTAAAGTTGGAAAAAAAGCATTTTGTAGTGCCCACACACAAATAGTTTTGCTAGGTTATTCGAACTTGATTTTTTTAGTACCTGTATTTGTTTTTCAATACCAATTAAAACTAATGTAATTTGATCTTTTGTGCCTATTATCACATAATTAGCACTATAGTTCAGTGAAATCAACATTAACAATAAACTAACAGATGCAAGACAGTATAGATATGAACGATAGTTTGCTGAAGTCTAAAATTGCACCAAAAACATGCTGAAAGTTGATAATTTCTAGAATATTTGAATAACATTAAAATAACATTTAAATGACAGAATACTTTAATACATGTAACAAAATTCGCTCTCGATGTTACTACAACGTTTTTATCATCCTCGGTTACCCAGTGTACTCATTCCGTTCTACTCCACTATACCCTGGGTTAATCTATGGGGGAGACACGTTTTCAAGTTATCTGCCCTTGATGATTCTGCTATTTTTATCGACCAATCCCATAAATTGTTATTTGAAAAGGAAGTTGGCAAAGGGAAGTAACTCTCATCGGACAATGTTAGGAGTTGGCCTATTCTAAATGCGTAATTATTAACAACCAATTATATATTATGTTAATGAAGACCCGACGTTCATATAATAATGTAGGGTCATTAGTTTTATATAGAATCGTTCGTTCGTTCCCGGAATTTTATGTCCATGTGATATCGTAGCCAAGTTATTGTGAATGTTGTTGTTGTTGTTAGTTAGTTGTATTTTACCTCCGCTTCCACCGAGGTGATATCGCAGACAATATTGTGAATCAAATTGCCAATTATAAGTTCAATAATAATAAACATAAGAGAATGACATATTTCAGACAAAGAACGAATAGTAATAATAATAACAAAAGTCAAATATATAGATGTTATACATATTTGAAATCAACAACACATCCTACTGATTTTGATAATACAATTAAATATAAATAAATTATAAATATATACATTATTTACATAAATCATTCAGTAAATGGACATGAATATGGTTATCTACCCTTATAAAAACGAAGGCGAAACGATCGGTTTGTAAACTTGTTTTCTGATTGGTTCGTAGACTGTAGCTACATTCTAGGCCAGGGCAGATAATTTGAAATTGTGGAAACCCTATGGATTAACCCAGGGTATAGTGGAGTAGAACGGAATGAGTACACTGGGTAACCGAGGATGCGTTTTTATATGCCAGCATTGAAATGTGGTTGTACATTTACGGTATATTGTTCATCCTCCACAAATTATTGTGAATGTTGTATAGACAACATCTATTACTTTAGTGAGACCAATAAGGCTATCAAATGCCCGATCATAACAACTGCTGGAGTTGTAGTCTTTGAGGTTGGTTGGATGGCTGAATGGTTAGCACGTGCGTGCTGTATCATAAAGTCTGTCATTGAGTCAACTGCCGTGGTTTCGAATCCCTGGTTGTACGTGACAAGGAGTAGGGTCGCCTGTCCAACTTCGTGGGTTTTCTCCGGGTCCTCCGGTTTACTACCACTGCTAAAGACCCCTACGCGCAAGCGAATTATTTAAATAAAATTGAACCATATGTTAGTCCCGAAATGACCTAGTTTGTGTCTAGTGGACGTTAAACCCCATTTCTCTCTCTCTCTCTCTCTCTCTCTAGTCTTTGCTCACTTTGTAGATTCTTGTGGCCTTATCTGATCTATTTTACATTGATATTAATTATTCAAATTATTGACATGAAGAAGTCGATTGGATTTTCAGATTTTTTTTTTATACGCCCACATTTTCATGTGGACGTATATTGTCGTCGCCCTGTCAATCCGGATGTCTGTCTGTCAGTCCGTCCACAATTTGTTTGTGGACACTTTACATGTTACAATTTTTTTCTGATTTTGACGAAACTTGAAATATAGGTCTATCTCCCAAAGATAGGACCATAACTCCATGGATTATGGCCCCTGATTGTGATAAAAATCATGTTTTTAGCTTGTGGACACGCTAGAGGGCACAGTTTTTATCCGATTTTAATGAAACTTGAAATGCAGGTTTATAACCCAAAGATCTTGGTTCAGACCATAACTTTCTGGATTTTGGCCTCTTGATCGTACGAAAAATCGCTTTTGTTTTTAGCTTGTTCTCTATCCATCCCTTGCAAAATGTGGGTGTATCTTGCCTGGCAACCGCTGGTTAATTACTTCTATAAACAATGTTATAAACCAGTCTGCATGAAATTTATGTGAATTAGATTAGTGTAAGGAGTAATCCTATCAACAAACATTATTTTTCAATCGGCTTTTAATTTGTCTAATTACTTATAGAGTTAATCCCCGTACTTATTTCATAGAACCATATGAACTTGCCAATGATACAGTATATATAGATTTTGCTCTTATTAACCTAAAGATTCACAATATGTCAACCTTTGTGGACTGCTCGATTGACTGAGCTGCTGTGGGTGTATGTTTCATTGCCTGGCAACCTATCTTTGATGAGAGTGATATAGCAGATATTAGAAATGATTGTGGTGTCGTTTCCTGAATATATTCAAGGCAGATCTTTATCATGTAGTTTGGATTTACTGAGTTCGTGTGGATCTCTTAGAAGAGAATCCTAGTCCATTTAAAAAAAATGTTAGTGTTCCTTTACAAATGAATGAAAGCTAGGCTTTAAACCTTGCACATTGTCAGATTATGAATTATACAGACCATGGTATGTAATCTATTGCATTTAAATACAATATACATTGTCAAAAAGCCATTAGACCGAATAGATGAATGAAAATATAAATGTATAGCTGACAATCCCGCCAAAACTTCTCTACAAGTGAAATAAAACTGAATGACAACTATGAATATAGATATTACTAAGATACTAGCTTGAGCTATAATAATGGTGTATATTGACAATATATATATATATATATATATATATACACACAATGTGTACATATCTGACCTATTTAAAGACATAAACCCCCAGAATAATTATATATTTAATACCAAGATTATATACATGTATTTATGCGTAGATATTGGGTGAACTGGGGAATAATTTTGGGGTTGGCTGGAAACGAGTACTTGAATCTACCACCCTAAAACATGAAAATTATTCATTTCAAAGAAAGGTGCAAATATTTGGCACCACATCATATTAATTTAAAATGCTCCTGGATGTAAAAATAAACACAAAGTTATATGGATAACAATTACTATATTTCTATTAAAGCTACGTTTCAACAATGATTCTCTTGTCGTTGTGCTTGAAAACGACAAGAGAATCATTGTTGAAACGTAGCTTTAATAGAAATATAGTAATTGTTATCCATATAACTTTGTGTTTATTTTTAATGTGCTCAATTACTAAATGCCATTCAAACAGTATATCAGGCTCCTGGATGTGTTTCTCTTGGCGTGGGTGCCAAATTTTCTAGTCCCCCCATAATTTGGATTCACCCTTGCAGTAAACACAACTGAAATATTTATTTAATCTTATGACTTGGATTACTTTAAACTTTTATTTCTAACATTTACATTGCATAGAAATGTTTAGAATTAAAATTCATGGGTTTAACCTTGTCAGATATTTCTTTTTTGAACTGATAATATATTATATAAACTTTTTGTATAAATATGATAGAACATGGTCTTACACGTGCATATTTAGACTTTAATTTTTTAAAGATACGTTCTTGAAATGTCAATTTTATGTAGACATTTGGTTATTACTTTCGGTGGTGTAGCAAAATATTTGTGAAAACTTTATATTAGAAATGAAATGAAATGAAATGGGGTTTAACGTCCTACTGTTCTACTCCTAACCTGGGCTAATGAAGACGGGCATACGCCATACAGTGTGCTATGAGGGAAATTTTGCCCGGGCAGCGGCACTATCGCCTACTCTTATATCGAATTCCAACTGCCAGGGGATCTTTTATGTGCATTCCAATATATACACGGGACCTCGGTTTTTCGTCTCATCCGAAGGACTAGACAGCTGTCCTTGTCAGACCCTCCGTCCTGCATCACTGACAAGGGGGAACCACGCTGGAAAATCTGGATGAACTTTCTCGGCCAATGCAGGGATCGAACACCCGACCTCCAGGCTAGCGAGCCAGCGCCTTACCCACTTAGCCACATGATCCCCTCTTTATATTAGAGAAAAGAGTGAGCATTATGGAAATGGATAACATTTTGATCAATACTAAGTAATTAAAGGTCATCAAACATTTCTTTTAGGTTTTGGTCATTTGTATGCTGTCATGTTAAAATTTATCAGTCATTGTGTTTATTACTTTTTTATCTGTAATCTGTCTACAATCACACCCACTGAAAATCACTTAGTCTGGTCAGAAAAATATTTCTTATCAGTTGAATAGAATGCAAAGAATTTAATATAATTTTGATTGGAATCTGTAGCACAACTTAAGAGTAAAGGTCAGAAATAGAATTTGATAGTATTGTGTATTATAGTAATATACTATTATCTGTGAAATTTATATAATAGTAGGGCAAGATAATGATACAATTTACTATATAATTAACTGAAAATATTTTTATATGAGATAGAATTTGATAAATATATTTAAATCTTTTAATCTGTGATAATCTAATGTTAAATATGTATAGATTATTTTGACATTGAAATGAAATAGCAGTAATTCCAAAAATGTAACGGTAAATTAAGTAATGTTTCCAAAAATGTAACTGTAAGTTTAAATTATTGTTTCCAAAAATCTAATTGTAATTTAATTAATGTTTTCACAGTTTAAAATAAGACACAACACACTGTACACTCCTTTAAAAAGAATACTGGTATAGAAAAGTTTAACCAAACATACAAACATTGAAACTTTAATTAACACCACTAATTTCTATTCAGGAGAAGACACATTCATCAGAGGTTAGGCTTAAAGTGTGTGATTGAGTCTGTGTTGGATGGGTTTTTTTAGTAATGTGTACAACAATAACATGTCAAAAGGTGTAACAGTTTGTTAAAAGGTTACTACAATTTATTTTTATAGGATTTGATGTTACAGTTATTAAATGGTGTAGATTTTCTGCATGCACACAGAATTGTTCATCGAGATTTAAAACCTCAAAACATCCTCATCACCAGTCATGGTCATTTAAAGTTAGCTGATTTTGGATTAGCCAGAATTTATAGTTTTCATATGGCTCTTACTTCAGTTGTAAGTACTTTTACTAGCTTAATGAGAGAAATCTTGATTGGTTATGTGCCACTTATAGATTTCCAATTTTAATTTTAAACATGTACAAATTCTTTGTTAATGTTCTTTTTTTTTAACTTTGTATACAGAAAAATGGTTTATTCACAGTGCCTGACAAGAATATTTTTTCCAAATATAACAATCCTGTACTATCTGCGCTTATTCTCATTTGAATACATTATTCAGTTAGAAATCGACAAACATCAAAATTCTCTCACAGCTAAATATCAATTTAGAGTTTGAATTGATTCATGAAACTTAAACTCTGTATTTAACCTTTATTCTAGCATTTTGTTTATTTAATTGTATATATTGTATATTATAGGTTGTAACTTTATGGTACAGAGCACCAGAAGTTTTATTACAGGGTCAATACGCTACACCTGTAGATTTGTGGAGTTGTGGCTGTATTTTAGCTGAACTTTATAATAGAAGGTAGGAATCTCATAATTCATCATCGAATTACATCACATTTTGTTCACCTTTTAAATCTGTTTTTGTTTTCATCGATTATTCTGAATTACTGCAATAGGGTGCAAGAGGACACTTCAGAATTACAGCAATAGTGTGCAAGGGGACGCTTCAGAATTACTGCAATAGTGTGCAAGAGAACACTTGATTCTCAATATCATGAAATATGTCAGATACAACCATTTGTTTCTCCACTGGATGATATAGTTGTTGTGATAACTTTGATTAAATGTGAAATGTTTTTATTTCAGGCCTTTATTATGTGGACAATCAGATGTGGAACAATTAAAGAAGATATTTGAGTAAGTTCTGTTAATTATTTAGTTACTAATATCATCTGAACAGAGCTAGTCAATTATAGTCGCATGTTCACATTATCAACTCCTAATTCCTCAGGGGAGGTGGTTGAATGGCCCCACACATGCGCTTTAGATCATAAGGTCTGTCATTTAGTCAAATGGCATGGTTTCGATCCCAGTCTTGCATGTGACAAGGAGTAGGGTCATCTGCCCAATCCCTGGTCCCCTGGTTTCCTCGCAGTGCTAAAAAACTCAACGTGCAAGCAAATTATTTAAATATACTCTTCCAAAAAAGTAAGGGATATTGAAATGCAAATACCTATGCAAGTTGTGATATGATAAATAGTCATGGACACTTGACATGCTTTGAGAGTATGTTCACAGATGAAGAACTTATCGCCCCAACAGAACCACTGAGCTGCATGTGCGACATGCAATAGCGCAATACACGTGGGAGGGGTTCATTGTCAAATTTAACACTTCAAGGAAGGATTGATGAAAACTGCCTCTTGCTGGTTTGTCCTATCCATGATTGGCTTTCCTATCGGTTCTTGCATAAGATTTACTGTTTGGCATATCTTTATTTTAGTGTGTTACGTTTACTTTGATCGGGAGACGTGTTCGTCAACGTCAACCGACAACACTGCAAGAATTGGCAGTGGCACTGCAAGAGGAGTGGGTCAGACTGCCCCAAATCTTGATTGGATGGTTGATTATGAGTATGCCACAACGAATGCTGAATGTCTGAGGATTGGTTGAGCAATTACTCATTATTAAGACAAAAATCAAAAACATCCATTTTCACTTTTGACAGCGTATCTCTTTGCGAGTGAAATGGGGCCGTCAGATAAGCCGCCCATATGAACTGTTTATGTTCATGTGTAGGCAATTGGCCTGTTATTAACATACACTGGTTAACTCTAATAAAAACAGCAGTGCATTTCTGCAGTTTTGTATTATTTTGAAGAGTATATATTAGTCCCATAATGACCAGGCTTGTAGCGAGAGGACATTAGAACCCACTTCTCTCTCTCCTCTCTTTCCTAAATCATCAATTTGATTGGAAGTGATGTTTGTTTTATGAATATTTTCTATTTTTTAGATTAATAGGTCTCCCATCTGATTCTGATTGGCCTGATAGTGTTTCGTTACCACGGGAATCTTTTAAAAATAAACCACCTCAACCACTAGGGAAATACGTTCCTGAAATAGATCCCATTGGTCGGGATTTACTAGAGGTAACAATAGCTATTACAGTTTATTACTGATTAGAATTTTAAACGGTTTAATGTAACTATGGCATGTAGTTCTGTAATATTGTCATACAACTGGATTTATAGATGATGGAAACTACTTATTTGTTGAATGATCTATCATGTCTATGATAGTCTATACTCTCACCAAAAGTTAAAAAGCATTCCTTAAATGAACAGAAGTATAGAAGTTATCAATCCTATGACATGATTTGCGTCAAAATTTTTAGATAGATCTGAGAGTCTATCGGCATGATTTAGAGGTTTTAAGAGTCTCTTAAGAGTCATGTGCATTATAGCGTAGAGCATTTTCTAAAGAATTGGCTGGCACTTGTAAAAATTGCCCTAATCTAAGTAGACCAGTTCTTAGATTTTCGATAGTCTATGGTAATTTTGCATATGTTATGACATTAATTACGGCTATTTTCTTATTGAGAGTTCTAATTCCTGTATAACATTTATTCTTTCAAATCATTAATCAATTCCTATCTTTCTTTTAGAAATTATTGTGTTTTAATCAACATCGAAGGATCAGTGCGAGAGAGGCATTAAGCCATAGATATTTCCGTGATGATTTGGACAGTTTCAGAACCTCAAGTTCGTTATCAACGTCAGAAACAGACTCATTTGACACTGACGGTAGATCCGACACTCCTGTCAGTAAGTGAACGTGCGACATCATACATTGGGGATTATGTTTTAGAAATGACAACTGATGTCAGTGTAATTGCATCTATTGAGTGGCAGAAATCGTAGTGAAATGTTAAGTGTCACTTATGTGAAAGTGGAGCCATGTTCTGAATTACATGTACAGCAAATGAGAAGGCTATTTTTTAATGGTAATACCAGCTTGTGGAGTTTCGGGGTTGCATACGGTATAACACTTGGTATTAAATGGCATAAAGTAATTAAAATTGTATATATATAAATGTAAATAGAAACAATAATCATGCCATTTTAACGTGCTGTCATATGTGACGTCTTTTTTAATTTTACTAAGTGCTTCAAAGATAAGATATTTTATATTTTTTAGGAGTTAAACTATGTCTCACATTCTGTGCTTTTATTTTAACATTTTATAATAAGTTTGTTTTTATACGCCCACATTTTCATGTGGACGTATTATGCCGTCGCCCCTGTCCGTCCGTCCACAATTTGTTTGTGGACACTCTACAGGTCACAATTCTTATCCGATTTTGACGAAACTTGAAATATAGGTTTATCTCCAAAAGATCTCGGTTCCTTTCGATATTGGCATGTATCGAATCGAAACTTCATGGATTATGGCCCCTGTTTGTACGAAAAATCACATTTTTAGCTTGTGGACACTATAGAGGTCACAATTTTTATCCGATTTTGTTGAAACTTGAAATCTAATTTGATTATCCAAAGATCTCGGTTCCTTTCGATATTCGCGCATATTGGACCGTAACTTCCTGAATTATGGCCCCTGATGGTACCAAAAATCGTGTTTTTAGCTTGTGGACCCTATAGAGGTCATAATTTTTATCCGATTTAAAAAAACGTTCAATTATATCACCGTTACACCCTAAGGATGGCTGAGTTCGAATTTCGTGAAAATCGGCCCGAAATTGACAGACAAAATGGCCGTCGTTCGTTCTCAAATAGCGTAAAATTATGGTATATCAATGTTGTGGACACTATAGAGGTCACAGTTTTTATCCGATTTTGTTGAAACTTGAAATGTAAGTTGATAATCCAAAGATCTCGGTTCCTTTCGATATTCGCGCATATCGGACCGTAACTTCCTGAATTATGGCCCCTGATTGTACCAAAAATCGTGTTTTTAGCTTGTGGACCCTATAGAGGTCATAATTTTTATCCGATTTAAAAAAACGTTCAATTATATCACCGTTACACCCTAAGGATGGCTGAGTTCGAATTTCGTGAAAATCGGCCCGAAATTGACAGACAAAATGGCCGCCGTTTGTTCTCAAATAGCGTAAAAATATGGTATATCAAGGTTGTGGACACTATAGAGGTCACAATTTTTATCCGATTTTGTTGAAACTTGAGATCTAAGTTAATAATCCAAAGATCTCGGTTCCTTTCGATATTCGCGCATATCGGACCGTAACTTCCTGAATTATGGCCCCTGATTGTACCAAAAATCGCGTTTTTAGCTTGTGGACCCTATAGAGGTCATAATTTTTATCCGATTTAAAAAAACGTATTATTATATCACCGTTACACAGTAAGGATGGCTGAGTTCGAATTTCGTGAAAATCGACCCAAAATTGACAGACAAAATGGCCGCCGTTCGTTCTCAAATAGCGTTAAAGTACGGTATATCAAGGTTGTGGTCACTATAGAGGTCACAATTTTTATCCATTTTTGTTGAAACCTGAAATGTAAGTTTATAACCCAAAAATCTTGGTTCCTTTCTATATTCGCGCATATCGGAGTGTAACTTCCTGAATTATCGCGTTTTTAGCTTGTAGACCCTATAGAGGTCATAATTTTTATCCGATTTAAAAAAAACGTATTATTATATCACCGTTACACCCTAAGGATGGCTGAGTTCGAATTTCGTGAAAATCGGCCCGAAATTGACAGACAAAATGGCCGCCGTTCGTTCTCAAATAGCGTAAAAATATGGTATATCAAGGTTGTGGACACTATAGAGGTCACAATTTTTATCCGATTTTGTTGAAACTTGAAATGTAAGTTTATAACCCAAAGATTTCGGTTCCTTTCGATATTCGCGCATACCGGACCTTAACTTCCTGAATTATGGCCCCTGATTGTACGAAAAATCACGTTTTTAGCTTGTGGACCCTATAGAGGTTATAATTTTTATCCGATTTAAAAAAACGTTTTATTATATCACCGTTACACCCTAAGGACGACTGAGTTCGAATTTCGTAAAAATCGGCCCAAAATTGACAGACAAAATGGCTGCCGTTCTTTCTCAAATAGGGTAAAGTATATCAAGGTTGTGGACCCTATAGAGGTCACAATTTTTATCCGATTTTGTTGAAACTTGAAATGTAAGTTTATAACCCAAAGATCTCGCTCGGTTCCTTTCGATATTCACGCATATCGAATTGTAATTTCCTGAATTATGGCCCTTGATTGTAGGAAAAATCACTTTCTTGTTAGCTTGTTCTCTATCCATCTCTCGAAAATGTGGGCGTATCCTGCCTGGCAGCCGCTGGTTATTCAGTATCTTGATTCCATCCTAGAACAAAATCAAAACAAATGGAGAATTTTGAAAATTGAGTCTCATTTTAATAAATATTGCATAAATATGAACAAGATATCAAATCAAAATGAGTCTCATCATATTACTAACAGAATTAATATTTCATTTAATAGTCTCAGTATACTGCACACACTGTATTATTTAAAAAAAATAATTATTAGTCTCAATGAACAAATGTATTATCAATAAGAACAAAATCTTAAATAATGTGTCTCACTTTATTAACACTGTATTATTAATATGACAAAATCTCCAATAATCAGTCTTTTTTAACCAGTATTTTTTTTGCAGATATTTTTGGCTTAAACCTAGAAAAAACTGTCTAAAACTGGCATCAATGTTTTAAAAAAACAAAACAATTATAGATTAAAATAAAATTAGTGCAAATAAATTCATTCAATAAGCTTTTAGGGTAGGAAATTTTAAAATGTTGAAAAATTTCATAGTATCTGCATGAGAACACTTATTCATTATCTTACATTTAAAGTCTTACTAAAGATGTTTTACTCGGTTTTAAGTCATTTGTACAGTGTACGTATGTAAAATATGTTTAACTACTTTTTATAAGCAGTCCATCTTGTAGCCATATATCCTAGATTTTATTCCTCATAACAGGTTTTTTTTTTATCTTTTATGTATGTAAATTGTATGTACTTAGTAAGAATATTTTAGACTTTGGAGAAAATATATTTCCTTGACCATGCTTTTATCTAAAATATTCATAATTGTTTCTTGATTATACACTAAGATCAATAATAAGACAATGCCAAGCATTTGTTATAAGGAGATAATGTCTAATACATAGTTTAAATATTGTTTTGGATATAAACTCAATAAATATGCATTTAATATCATGTTGCCGTCCAGTTTCAACACTATGCATCATTTTACATTTCAGTTCTTACACAATAATCTTATAAACAAATATGGCCTATTATACCACTACATGTAATCTAATAATATATATCAATGTTTTATACAACCAAACATGACTGCAGTATGTGCACTCATATAAGGCAACACAAATAAAATAAATTGTTTCTCGGGCACCGCCCGCACGCAAAATTGGTTGCACGTGCGGCCTATTTATTAGTCTTGATGAAAAATAAAAAATATGTACCGCCCGCCCGAACATCGATAAACAAGTCATAAAAAGAATATGCCGCATGTATCTACATGCCCATACCTGAATATCCATTCAAATGTATTAAACTGATTCAGATGTAAACGCTCATTTACGGGTCTTTTTTATTGATATCGAAAGAACCTCCATTTTTGTATCACATGATTTTAATTACCTCCCCTTGTGAACTAGAATTTGATTCGTGTTAAACACCGAAAGTCATTGACAACAATGCAATGTATTTCAATCATTCGATCTTAATCGGCTCATTATTGCCGGCTTCAGTCAGTCCATGTTTGAAAAAATCCTACTTATAAAACAATGAATCGTAGAACAGGTTAATTATTATAATTTGTGGCTACGAATACGATACGATGATAGTCACCATACCTTAGTCAGAATCTGGGTCATTAGCACATTTAACGGTAGTTTTGATAATCCCCGGAAAATAATAATTGGATTGCACATTTGATGGTTTTACTGACCAGTTGTTAGTTAAATTTAAATAGTCATTCGATATAAACCCCAGATAGAACACCGAATATCCTGAGAAACACACCGAATATCCTGAGAAACAGTCATTTCCCGAATCCCGATGACACGTGACATGCATTGGTTGGAATTAGGTCAATCATTATAAACCAGCAATACTAGATTTAGATCTAAGTGTCGTTTACCGTGATGATTATTTTTGATACACATGCTGACAGAGGCTTACTCTTTAAAATATTGTCGTTATTATGGACGGCTATTAATAGTCGTACGGAATTTTATTTTAAACCAATTTCAATTATGGTTGTCACCATTACCATTAGTAAGCTACATTACGTGAACTAAATACTCTTTAAAATCTTGTCGTTATTATGGACGGCTATTAATAGTCGTACGGAATTTTATTTTAAACCAATTTCAATTATGGTTGTCACCATTACCATTAGTAAGCTACATTACGTGAACTAAATATGGAAAATTATTTTCCTTTCAGTCAGTGTTCAGTGTTTGAGTAGACTTGATTTTTGAGTTTATGTTCGATGTATGTATAATATATAACTGAAAGCAAAACCGTAGACAAGTAATGACTTTCTCATTAAAAAAAAAAAAAAAAAAAAAATACAAGGCCGCCCTCCCGCCCCAACAATTTTCAACAATAGCCAAATTTTATTTTGCACCATCCTCTAGCCAGAAATGAGGTAAAAAAAAAAAAATAGACCGCCCTCCCCCCCCTACAGTTTCAGCTGTCAGTTGCCCGAGAAACAAGACATTTATTTTGTGTAGCCTAAGTTTGTTATAAACTTGACATTTTTTTAATTAAGAAAATAAGGGATACAAATTAAATATCGATAGCTAAAGCAATATACATGTGTAAATAATGTATACAAACCTGAGATTATAAACCTTATTTAAAAAATAATTCTACACCATTCTTACTGTTATCTCCCACTAAAATCTTGAATCACTCGAGTTGTTAAATGAATTGAGGAAGGGAGATAATTAAGTTGGAGTAGGTATACTATATTAATTTGTTAAAACAAAGTCTAAATTTGATTGCTGTTATTGTATATTATTTTAATATAGAAAAAACATATTGATTGTTACATTGTATAGACTACAGTTATATACTATAGTTAATACTATTATTAGGAGTCTATATTCATTATTATCACATATATTTGTATGTTTAATTAATGCATTACAAAAGCACAGTGGTGGGAGGAATAGTATATTCCTTCTTGCTTTATATTAAAATACAAGAGGGGTATATATAAACCACAATCATCTAAATCACATGTATTAAAGAAGATTTAAACATTTATTTTAAATATTTCACTTTGGTAATATTTTATCTTTTGTGGAAACAACCAACTATCATTCAACATTTTAAACGACCAAAAATATATAAAAGCATTCCGTGTGCCTAGAAATGAATAATTTATTGATATATATGGTTTTTTTTTAAATTGTTTTTTTTTTAAAAGTTTATGTGTTCATCATAAAATAATAAATTCATTATAGTACTTCCTGTTCAGAGTATCATCATTTCAATTCAATTCTTTTCTGTGATTTATTCTTAATAATGGTGAAAATTAACCTTCAGTTACAACCTGCTTAATTGAATAGTCTTTTTTATATCTAAACTATCCCATTAACAGGATTTACATCAGTAAAAAAAATGATTTTGCAATGGTTTGTTTTATGCTTTCTAAAATATGATGCAATTTTTTAATTTGCAAATCCACGTAACTAAATACACACAATTTTAGTTAAAATTAATCTATTTGAATGATTTTTGAACCAATACTGTTTTTTTTATCAGAATACTTTTCAATGTGGATTATCTTAAACTCTATACCGCTTTTAACCTTTATTCTGGCACGATGTGGCTTTAAGAAGAATATGTGTGTGTACAGTATTCAGATAAATGTGAATACATTTCATTTAAGAGATTAAAATGTATGAGAATCATTAATAAAATAGATAATAATGGCCATTTAATAATAACTTCTTTTTTTTTTTTAACATGTAATCACATTACTTCCTGATATGGTTATAACACTGCCGTCATGAGAATTGACTATCGAATCCATCCATTGAACAACAAAGGTGCAAGAATTGAATCTGTCTATTTTTTTAATTGTTATGCAAATTTCACAATTTTTTCAGTTAGTTAAACAAACATTCCAGATTTGTAAAAGATCATTGTTGATTATTTTAATGAGGAATTCTAAGCAGTTGATGGATTCTTTCACACAAATGATTGGTTTAAGATTTGAACGGTCTCTATCATCAGGCTAACTCTTTCTTTTTGATATTTAGGCAACAAATTGGCCCCTCTGTTCAAAAGCTTTAACGATCAATGGTAAATAGAAATGTTTAAAGTTTTTCACTGTCATTTTAATATGTTATGAATTTTTGTAAATAAATATTATTTTGTTTATATTTTTTAATGTAAATTTTTTTTGTATATGATTTGAAATGAACCATTTAAAGGGACCATTTTATACAATATTTCTGTACTAGTGCTTCTTGTATTGTTTTATAGAACAGATTTACAGAAACACAAGTTAAAAGCAATGTAAAAAAATTTCTGATAATTTTTTGGGAGAAACATGATAGAAAAATTGGTTTAATAATGATATTTTAGAGTTCAGCTTCTTTACCCCAATTTCTGCATTATGCAAAATAAAAAACAAAATTTTTTGTTGGAAGTGTAAGAGCAGTTGATGGATTTCCAAGAATGATTGGTTTAACAGAATGAATTACAACATGTTTCCAAGTTCATTTATTAGAGAAAGATTACTCTGTACAGAGAACGACTGTGTTTACAATATAGATATCTTCATATTGTTATGATTACAATATAGATATCTTCATATTGTCATGATTACAATATAGATGTTTACAAGGTACTGTTTACCAAAACACAAGTTTGTGGTTAGACGAACAAAACAGACTAGTGAAAAGCTAATACATATATACATGTATATGTGTAGGTAGAGCCAAATATTAGTATGGGCACTTTTCCTAATTGCACATTATTTATAGAAGATTGCTGTCACATGATGTTTCCATAGAATTACAGGTGTGTGATATTGTAATCTGTAATTTAAGTTTGTTAAAGGTCTCTAGTGGGACATTGCAATATATATTGATACAACACTCTGGCTAATGCCCTCATGTAGTATCAATATTTTACTTTAATGTCTAGCTCGCGACCTTTAAACCACACTTAATGTTAATTAACATGACTAGCTTCTGTGTATATTATTAATGATTATTTTATCATCAAATAAACTGAAGTTTTAATCCTATATCATTTAAAATGCAAATAAACTGTTTTATTTTAGTTTTTTTTTTTTGTCTTGTATGGGTTTTGTCTGTCACATTTTTTGAAACACAATACCTTGAATGTTCAAACTTGGTGTAGGGTGTTCATTAGGTGAATGCCTTGACTGAGTTCTATGAATTTGTTCTGCTGTGGCAAAGCAGAGACAAGCAATTTGATTTGTTGGTGTTTTGAGACATAATTGTGATTCTAATAAAGTGATCGTGATGAAACCGGGTGTAGTTTCAGTACATCATGCAGTACCTTGACTAAGTTTGATAATGAGCAATTTCTGCTCAGGTTATGCAGAGTAGTATTAGTAAGTAATTTGGTGGATGCTTTACTTAAACATACATTATGCAAGAGTTAATTCTGCCTCTTGCAGGTCTTTCTTTAGGCCTGAAATGTTACCTAAATTATTAATTAGACATAAATTAACTTATCCAGACCATAATCATCTCTCGATGCCATCGCTAGCCTGCGAACAGGCTTTAGTAATGATGATCAAGGCTATCCTAAAATTCAAACGCTAATATCTTGGTTCAAGAGTGGAGCAATTTGACTGAAATTTTCAGCATATTCTATTTACGTTATCTGTTTAACTATTATAGTGAGAACTGTCAACTCTTTATCTAATCTCCCATAATGCCCCTTAAATGATAATGAGCAAGAAAGTCATTTATTTTTATTGTGATTAAGGAATAACAGCCATCACTGTTTGCTGGTTATTTCACGGTTACCTTAAAATTCTCCAAATTCAATTTAAATCATGGGCAATAGCTCCAGACAATTTAGAAATCGGGTTCAAATTTGAGATCTTTCACATTTAATGTGGGGAATATGCTTATTTTTATCTCAGAATTAAATAACTTCAGCCCGCCAACAAATTTCTAGTTGGTATAATTTCCTTTAATGTTGTAGTTATTGGGTAGATGGCAAGTTTACACCAGTAATATTTATTGTGGATGATAGGAATTGTGATGTTACTGGGTTTGAATTTGAAAAGAGTGGTTCAAGATAGTACATACATGTAATCAACACAAGTTTCATTATCAAAACATTTTTTTATATGACAACAATTATGTAATATTCATTATAAGAACATTGATAGAACTCTTGTCTGTTTGCTAGAAAAATCTATACATTGTGGTGAAGATCAATACTTACTAACTCAACAAAACACACATAAATCTACATACATTACAGATATTAAAATTCAATTGTCAGGTTTGAATTTAAATTATGAAATGATTTCAAAATTGAGACCACTGTGATTGAAAACTTTTATGCATTACATTATTTTGTAAGAACCAAACCCTGTGATCATTATTTGTTCACAGTGCATAATGATATCAGATTATTCCCATTGTGTAATAAATAAAACACACAGGGGCTTGTAACAATGTAGGGTATCAGAAAATGTTGGTAGAGGCAATATCATTGTCTTTAATATCTAATATTGTTTTTAGTTTTCACAGGTCCCTGTGATCACATACCAAGTTGTGGTTATAGTTAACAGAAATATTTCAGTTGATTCCAGACATAAATAATATAACAAAACAAAACAAACTTATAATATTTAAAAAAAAACAAAAAAAAAACAACCCAAGAGCAGACTGTATAGTTTCAAACGATTAGGCAAAAGTAGGCCTGTGAAACACAAAATCGATTATACCCTCAAAACTGTCTTGAATTATAAGAGGTAAATCGTCTTTTCAACGAGAACAGATCGTCATCCCACAACACACCTGATATCAATACATAAAATTCAATAGAATCTAGCCGTTCTAAATTCCTGTATTTTAATACACTACTGCATACAGTTGTTCATGTCACTGGCTTAGAATGATTTTGTATGGTTAAAATACTGAGGTGAGACGATATGTACCCATACTCCATAAAACAGATTATATACACCCCTTCCTCTCCCCACAAACCCCTCCAGCTTGAACTCTTGTTCAAACTACTCACTTCAAAGCTGTTATTCTATTTTTTGAAACATATTTAAAACAAATATAATATAAAAATGCTGCCAATATTTACAAACTGTTCCATTTATGTGGAATTGACTATAATCGGGTGAAAGTCCTTTAAAGAAAATGTTTAATATCTATGCTTTCTGGAGAAGAAACTGGATGATCAAGAACGTGTTTTGGGTTTCTCCAAGATGTTAAGAAATTTACCTCTTGTCATTTCACGAGCTGAAATTACAAAAAGAATACTTTTAAATTTCATGGATTTAAATTAGAAGGGACCAATAAACAATACTATTTGTTTTCTAATATTCCTCACTTGTGGCAGAATATTCTCAATATTTCGGTTGATTTACATTAGACATCTCCTGTATCAATTTAACTTACCTTCATCTAGTCCAAGTTGATAAGCTAAATTCTGTAAGCCTTTGACTTTCTCCATTAGTTGAGACGTTGTTAAACTTCCAAATTCTGGTAATTAATAAGAATAATTTAATTTAATGCATAATATAGAGTAAAGACAAGTTTTGAGCATCCTTTTTTAAGATAAATATACATTATGAAATGGTCAAAAGTTACTATTTAATTGCGTTTGCTACTATGAATGAAGTCCTGTCTACATGGACTCGGGTGCCATGGTGGCTGAGTGGGTAAGGCGCTGGGCCCGCTGGCTCGCTAGCCTGGAGGTTGGATGTTCGATCCCTGCATTAGCTGACAAAGTTCATCTGGATTTTCCGACTTGGTTTCCCCTTGTCAGTGGTGCAGAACGAAGGGCCTGACAAGGACAGCCGTCTAGTCATTCGGATGGGACGAAAAACCGAGGTCCCATGTACACATTGGCATTCATGTTGGAATTCGATATATGAGTAGGCTGCAGTGCCGCAGTCTGGGCAAAATTTCCCTCATAGCACACTGTACTGTATGGCATATGCCCGTCTTCATTAGCCCAGTTTGGAGCAGAACAGTAGGACGTTAAATCCTATTTCATTTCATTTCTACATGGACTCTTAAATCTTTTGTATTTTACTCTAAGTACATGTACCTCTGGCTTATTCATGAACAGATTCACTCTCCTTGTTATCATACAACTCTCCTTATTTATTTATCAAATATACCTCACTATGTCCAAATTGTGAGGGCTTTTTTAGAAGAAGAGCGATTATTTACTTTTTGCAATCAAGGAGAGCTTTTTTTTCTGGCAAAAATGAATGAAGAAATATATACCTTGTAAAAGTTCTATATCATCATTTTCTAAATCTGCCAACCATTTTGGTGGAGGTTCATCTGCTGTCATCGATGGCTATGGAAGAAAATAATTATTTCAAAAATACTTTGATATGTCTATAATCTTAAATAACAAAATAAACCAGTAATAGAAATTTTACTTTCTGGCATGAAAACTTTATAATTTATACTATAAACTAGATCAAAGTTTGATTTAATTGTATAAACCATACATTGTACTTACACTTTTTACAGCTGCAAATTCTGAAACACCAGGTACTGAACAAAAAGAATAAGCAATAATCAAGCTTTTTTACCAACTGAACTTGAAAATGAATTTGGATACAATCATTTACAACAATGTTTTTCGATTAAACACTCCTAAACTTCCAAATTTAACTCTTTTATCCAAATTGCTGTCATTTTAAATTATCTACTTTAACAACTGCTAAAAGCTTGATAGATCATTAACATAATTTGTATAGATCTCTTAAAGTGTTGGTACTTGGTAGGTTACATTAGATTGATTTATTTTATCAAAATTATAAATGATTTGGATGTAAGCTTATGCTGCATCATACAAATAAAAAATGCTGAAAATAGGTTTGACTTACTCTGTTCAGGCCATAAATCTGGTGAAGCTCGATCTAACTTCTCTAAGCTCATTAACTCATCATCTGTTAAAAAGAATATCATTTGATTCAATTTGTCATGTTTGTGCGACAAAATCTGAGGCCCATCTACATGTATTGGCAGATTCATTTCTGAGACATTGCTTAAAGATAGGTTGCCAGGCACGAAACATACGCCCACAGCAGCTAAATCATCCAAGCGGTCGACAAGGATTGTTGCATATTTATTCTTTTGTAAGTAATTGGGGGCATTTACAATACAATTTCAAATAGATCAGATTATAATTTTTGTCATTCGAACATTCACAAGGTTCACAAAGTAAAACAAGGGCCATAACTCTGGAAATAATTGACGGAAATTGTTGAAATTCAGTAGACTTCTGTTTCACAAATTTAAAATAATGAATATAAATTTCATACATATCTGATGATAACTTTCATCAATCGAGCATTAACAAAGTTGAACAAAGTGAAACAAGGGCCATAACTTGAGAAGTAATTATTTCAAATTGCTGAAATTGAATAGGCTTCGTGGTTTCACTAATCTAAATGATGCATATAAATTTCATACAGATTAGCTGATAACTTTTGGCATTAGAGTGTTCACAAGGTTTGACAAAGTGAAACAAGGGCTATAACTCTAGAGGTAATTAACGTAAATTGCTGAGATTCGATAGCATTCTTCGTTTCACTAATTCAAATAATGCCTATAAATTTCACAAAGATCGGATAGGTTTTGGCGTTCACAAGGTTCAACAAGGGCCATAACTTTAGAAGTAATAAACGGAAATTGCTGAAATTCAATAGGATTCTTCTTTTTACTATTTTAAATGACACATATAAATTTTTATACAGATTGGCAGATAACTTTAGATGTTAAAGCGTTCACAAGGTGCAAAATGTGAAACAAAGGCCATAACTCAAGAAGTAATAAACGAAATCGCTTTACTAATTTAAATGATGCATATCAATTTCATACAGATCAGCTGATAACTGTTGATTTTAGAGCGTTCACAAGGTGCAACAAAGTGAAACAAGGGCCATAACTCTAGAAGTAATAAACGGAAATTTCTGAAATTCAATAGGTTTCTTTCAAATTGTTTCACAGAGATCTTTTAATATCTCTGTAACAGATGACTGTTTCGACACGTGACGTCACATCCCGTGGTGTCAATCATTGGCTCAATAGCGCGTGCATTGTTTACATAAGACATTACTGATTCGGGCTAAATGGTGAATTTTACTTATTTTAATACCCATTTATAGGAAATGAATTTTACCTACAAACAATTCAAACGTCTTTATTAATTTTTCTAATAAATGAAAAAAATGTTTTAGAATTTAATTTAACGGAAGAAAAAAGTTAATATTTGGGACTCATTAAGTGGCATCGATGTCATCCTTATCAGTGATTGTAGCGGCCTAGCGAAAATTCACTGCTGATCAGTGTGGGTGTCTTTGTTTCATTAATTTAATTAATGCATATAAATTTAACAAAGATTGGATGAAAACTCTTGCCGTTAAGAGCGTTAGAAAACAAGGTTAAACAAAGTGCCATAACTCAAGAAGTAATAAACGGAAATTGATGAAATTCAATAGGCTTCTTCGTTTCCCTAATTTAAATACTGTATATAACTTTCACAAAGATTGGATGTTAACTTTTGGCATTAGAGTATTCACAAGGTTCAACAAGCCAACAGTGAGGCTAATGTCCCCCGCCCAAATCCCAAAACAAATAGATGACACATTTTAATTTATCGCACATTTATTTTTTTCAAAACTATCAAGCAATCAAATTGATTATCAACTATACAAGTAAGTTTCATCACTCTCTATCAGATAGAATCAAAGTTATCTTATCCTAAAGCATTGACCAATGAAATTACTTAGCTCTGCCTAGCTTTAGCTCGAAATGTTTATCATTGCACTCAGTCAAGACATTCACCTAATGAACATCTACATCAAGTTTAAACATTCTACCTCAATTAAAACCAGAGTTGTTATGTTCCAAAGTTTTGACCAATCAAATTGCTTATCTCTCCTTAGCCTAAGCAGAAAATTCTCATCATCAAACTTAGTCAAGGTAATGATATAATGAATCTATATTCAGAGTTTCATCACTCTCACTTAATTATAACCAAAGTTATTGTGCATCAAAGCATTAACCAATCAGATTGCTTATCTCTGCTTACCGTAAGAAGACAATGTTTATCATTAAACTAGATCAAAGCATTCACCTAATGAACGCCTAGGCTTACACCAAGTTTGAACATTCTGCCTCAATTAGAAGGAGAGTTACTGTGTTCCAAAGTCTCAGCCAATCAAATTGCTTATCGCTCTGTTTACCCTGAGCAGAAAGTGCTCATTATCGAACTTAGTCAAGGTATTGGTGATAAAATTATACACCAAGTGTCCTTGCTCTCACTAAATTAGAACTTAAGTTATCGTATCCCAAAAAGCATCAACCAATCAAATTGCTTATCTCTGCTTACCCTGAGCAGAAAATTCTCATCTTCGAACTCCATCAAGGCATTGACCTAATAAACACCTACACCAAGTTTGAACATTCTACCTTAATTAGAAAGAGAGTTATTGTGTTCCAAAGTCTCGGCCAATCAAATTGCTTATCGCTCTGCTTACCGTGAGCAGAAAATGTTCATTACCGAACCTAAGTCAAGGTATTGATGTAATGAAACCATACACCAGGTTTCATCACTCTCACTTAATTAGAACTAAAGTTATCGTGTCCCAAAGCATCAACCAATCAAATTGTTTATCTCTGCTTACCCTAAGCAGAAAATGCTCATCTTCAAACTCCATCAAGGCATTCACCTAATAAACACCTACACCAAGTTTGATCATTCTAGTGCAATTAGAAGGAGAGGTATTGTGCCCCAAAAAGTGTGACGGACAGGCAGACAGACAGACGAACGGACAGATGGACAGACAGACAGACGAACCCATTTTAATAGTCCCCTGCTTTCTTTGAAAGTCAGGCGTCAACATAGTGAAACAAGGGCCATAACTCTAGATGTAATAAACGGAAATTATTGAAATTAAATAGGCTTCTTCATCTCACTAATGTAAACAACATATATCAGTTTTAAAACAATTGGATGACAACTTTGGGGTTAGAGCATTCACAAGAAATTGTAGATGACGGATGGATGGACGGGGGCGACGGCAATATACATCCACATTTTCATGTGGGCGTATAATAAAATGAGCAATCACAAACTGAATTGGTACAATAACAAAAGAACATGTTTAAAAATCTTAAGTTTTAACATTGGCTTTACCTATGGACCTAATATAATAAATCAAGACAAGACTGTCAATGCTACTCCAAAACCACAAATATTCACACAATAACAAAAGGTACAATTTCATGGATTTAATACTTCAACATTTCGATGAGGATATTTTTGTTGTTATCAAATTTGTCTGTTATAAAATTAAAAGGTAGCAGTAGATGACTGAAATATTAGGATTCAAATTTTTTTAAAGATTATAATTTTTTCCCCTGGTTTAGGTTACTTAAATTCCGTTTTGTCAAAGTTTACTAAAATTTGTGCATTGTAAAAAACTGGATTATAAATTTGTATCAGATATGTCACAAGAAATTATTTCGTTTGGCGAACCAAGAAAAATTACAGTGAATATTAGACGTTAAGAGCTTCAAAATAGCCGTAGAACAGAGATGGGGGTAGATTCATTTATTTCATATTTACAGGTTCCAAAAGGCACTAGGCCAATGGGGGTGGAGGGTGGTCTAGCGTTGCTCTTCCTGAGTTCAAGATTTATATACTCTGGTTTCCTCTCACAGGAAACACCCAGGCAGTTGCACTAAACATAATAAAATAAGACAACCTGTCTGCGATATCACCATCTTTGGAAGTGGACGTTTTAACACTAATTTTAAAGAAGAACTATTCTAGGCCTAGGGTGCAACTGCTGACTGACCTTTCATTTTCAAACGCATTGGATGGAGCAGTTGTGTAATCAGTTTTAAGATTTTTATTCAACTGTGAACATCTGTAAAGGTAGGGTTAACTTTTAGCATGGATCTTGTACAGTTTAATTTGGCTGTGTGGGACACCTTATACCAGTTGTTCACTTGTTGGGGAGATAATAGGTAGTCTTGATCCTAAGTAAAACGTAAACAAAAAAAAAACCAATACGTCAACAGTACGGTGCTAGGCTTATTTCGTTTGAATCGCAATTGGTATACAGCAAACATTTTAACAGATAGGGAAAACGATAACAAATGACCAGAAATTGTAAAGAACAAGATGAAGAAACACAAAAGGAATCATCGAATAATTACCTATTTTCTCGAAATGCGAATTACCCGCACTTTGCCCCGCCATGTTTATAGCCTCTGACCAAAAGTTTTATTTGGTTTGCGATTAGATTTTACTCCAATAATTCATGTAATATTATTTCTACTTGTATGTTATGAGTATTTCCTTGCATAAAAGTTTGTTGTTAATGAATTTTACAATTTTATATGAAAGGCGTCATCTTTCCAGCCAATCAAATAATCGGTGTCTAGTTGACCCCATTCCACCTTCTTTACGGTCAAGGACACACCAGTTGTTGCAGGGACTGGCAGGTTATAGAATCAGTAAAATTTGCAACAGAACTGTTTCACACTTAACTTATTGTCAACAAAATGTCTTGCCTTAGAATATTGTTGAATAAACAGGTATAAGAACTGAAAGTGCATTTTAAAAAAAATCCAAGGGTAATGGGTTGAGCAAGGACAAAATTAGAAAAGAAATCAAATGTTGAAAATGATTGACAGTCTCTGCAGAACTGACTTCAAATCAATATTGTCTATTTTTAATTACAAAACCTGACTGAGTGAAAAAAGTTATATATCTACATTGTTTTACAAGTAGACATGAGATAAAGCCTACAGACTGACACTGTATTGCTCCTAAATACATTACCTCACTGGGTTTTTTTCCTGGTTCAAATATTTTTAGGATGCCAAACCCCATTTCATTTTTTTTTCTGGTGATGAGAGTAGCCCCACAGACATAGAATTCTGCTCACTGAAATTGTGAAATTTCGATTAAGGCATTATTAGTCTTCTAAACATGAGAAGTAAATTGCTTAAAGATGTCTTCCCAATCCCATGTACAAACTGGGTTAATTAATGATATATTTGGACTAAAAACATATTCAAACTAATTAATCTATCAAAAAATTGCTTCAAATCTGTCAAAACTAACATTTGGCGTTTTTGTGAGTCGATTAGATTAGGTTTTGATTTGCTAGTACGATTTGGTATGATTTCAATTTGATTAGCTATGGTCCACAAATGTGAAATTTGATAATTACAATTTGGTAAGATGGCTGCCATCACGGACACCGATCAGAAAAAAAAATTGTCTCTGCTAATTATTGATGACTTGTTAAAGACAAATGAAGGTTATCTACGCAAAAAAGGAAAAATGGTTGCCGTTAGAAACAATCTCCTATGTCCAACAAGTTCAAGTATTTTTTTGAAAACTGAATTGACAAAACATGTCAAAAGTTTACTGAGAAAACCTAGGATCGAGGAATATATTGAAAAAACTGTAAATGAATAAAATTGCTTAGAGGTGATCTAACATTCTTGTGGACTATAAAGTTAACATTAAACACGTCAAATGTGTTTTAAAAAAAACATTTTTTATGGAGAAAAACAACAATAAGCATTAAAAATTACTTACAACTTCGAACATTCCGCCATTTTGAAAAAGTCAAATCTAATCGCCTAAACACCACCTGGGACGATTAGGTCGATTTGCCTAATCAGTTGAGTTAAATCGTCTCACAAATGTAACGATTAGCATAATCAACTTGGTTCACAAATGCGTATAATAGCTAATCGGTCTAATCTGATCGGTTCACAAAAACGCCTATTGTATTTGCAAGGAAATACCACAAGCTACAAAAAATCTATGTAAAGAAGCCGAAGTTAGCCAAGGCTGCGAATTAATGAAGTAAAATTGAACAATATGTTAGTCTCGAAATGATGTCCCATCGCCATCATGTTTATCAACATATTAAGCACTCCCTAATGCAAAGCGGTCAGACAATCTACTCATGTAACCTTTGACATTGAACACTTGAGCAGACAGCCCTAATCGTCAGGCTGACAATTAGTGACACCCTCTCATTTTTGTCCTGTGCGTGCTCCATGGGTGTTTTTTTCGGGAATCTAGTATTTTTCTAGTAAAAATGGATGTTTCTACTTTCCATAACAAAATTCCTATACTTTTATTAGAAATAACCACACGATAAATACTTTTGTGCTAATGTATCTTAAAGAGATTTTTATAATAAAAATACAGAAAGTATAAATGGTGACTTTATGTTGTATGCATACCTTGAAATAAGCGTCTGGATGCGGACAATGTCCGCCCAAATTGACCCCTTTTGACAGGTCAAATTGCCTTTCGTTAGGACGTGATTGTCCGACCGAGGTTTAGTAAAAAAAATTAAGTCACAAAAAATAATTTCCATTCGCAAAAACAAGACGAATCTATTCTTTGATTATTAGATTCAAAAATCCAGGCCCCAAAACGCTGTATATGTCATGTATTGGCAATAATATCATCGACTCAAGTCATAGTGAAAACCTATAAGTCGAAGCAATATATCAGAAGGATTTTTTTTTTATAAGCTGTGGACAGCGTAGCAATCTTTTATCGAGATACAGGAGTTGTGTCGATGTATGTCAAAAAATGCCTCATAATATTAATCAATGTAAAATAACCAGTTTATAAATGTAGGACTAACTTGAGTAATACTCCAAGTTTTGTTCTTGGTTCATTTGAACCATTTTTTTTTTCAATATATCCAATAATTTAATACTAGACAATACACATGCTGTTTTTTATCGCACGTGGTAACATATTACAATGAATTTTACCAAAAACAGATGGCATCTCTAAAAATAAAGAAGAACTCTCGCGAGACGCGAGAAATTACAAGAGATGCTAAAAGAAAACTTTATATTAATGGATTATTTTAGCGTTTGTGATTATATTTTAAATAGGGTTATGTTTTAAAATACAAGTTATACAAGCTATTAGAAATGTCGACAAGTATTTGTATTGGAATACCGTAAGTAGTTCTAGACGATAGCAAAAGTTTAACTTTACCATTTGACTGCAAGTGTGATATGATGTTTGTGTTGATTACTGTCCAACTAATGGTTTTATTGTCAATGTCAGTTGGATAATGTTATGAAGAGCTATATAATCACACTACTTTTGATTTGTATTTTCAGGTATTGACGGGGAGAGGCTTTGCAAGATGTTATGCCACAGTTGTAAGTATCTGAATAGAATTAGGTTTACACAGTCCAGCAATAAATTGATTGAAACGATTATTATCTTTGAATATGTGTAACAGTAAAAATTACTCTTAAGAATTTAGCCAATTATATAAATTGCATCAGTCAGTAGAAACAATTCAATGAGCAAAATGTTGCCAGAATAAGTTTCATTCCCATTTCTTTTTTGTATCATATGTTTTTATTATTGTGACATGCATTATTTAATTACCTTAATTTATCTGTACTCTCTTCTTTTTCTTCAGCCAACTACCAAGAATTTTATAAATGGAGAATTTGTTGAATCCAAAACTACGAAATGGATAGATTTACCTAATCCTGTAAGTAAAAGAAACAAAATGTTTCTTTCTGAATCAAAATAGAAAATCTGAAATCTCCATTCAAATGATTTGTTGTTTTGTTTTTTCATATTTGGCTATAGACATCTTCTAATGCAAACAAAATTCAAATATACGTAGAAGTAAAAGCAAATGTTTATCTACAAAAACCAGTTTATGTTAAGCTTTAAATAAGATGGTTCACCTATCAATCCTAGATAGTTAACTATCATGACAGTCACTAGAATCAACATTTAAAAGTTTTATTTTATATTTTTAGGCAACTAATGAGTTAGTGACACGTGTCCCTGAGAGTACAAGAGATGAAATGGAAGCAGCTGTCGCTTCGGCAAAGGATGCTTTCCGAAGTTGGTCGCAAACAACAGTATTAACTCGTCAACAGATTATGTTCAAATTTCAACAACTTATTAAAGATAACTTAGTAGGTTTCTAAAAACACAATTTGATGGGGTGTTTTTTTAGTGGGGGCGGGGGGGAATAATGGTCTAATGTGATGCCTTGCAGATATTGTGTCTGTCATATATACAGCCATCAGTTGACAGTTAAATTCTATCTTTCTGCATGACGATATAGATTTTCTCCAGGTTGCTTCTCACCAAAATAAAGTATATATTTACAAGAAAATTGTTTGTCAACATCGTTAGATTTTTAAGCAAATGTTTAATACATTTCAGAAAATGATAGCAGCAAATATTACAAAAGAACAAGGAAAAACATTGATAGATGCTGAGGGTGATGTAATGAGAGGTTTACGTAAGTTATTGACATCTGTTCTTGACATTGATACAGAATCTCTATCTTCTAGAGCATGGAATAATTAAGAATAGAATAGTTTCAAATTTAATGATACCGGTACCACAAACAACTGAATCCCAGTTTTTAAAACAAATGAAACAAAAGTGTCATTAGTTTTATAAGAACTAACGCAAGCATTAACTTCTCTTTTGTATATATTTATATGGTTTATTTTCTAGAGGTTGTAAAACTTTTTTTTTTTAATGGTGTATATATATTTATATGATTTATTTTCTAGAGGTTGTAGAACATTGTTGTAGTATTCCATCCTTACAACTAGGAGAGACATTACAAGGTATATCTAAAGATATGGATACCATGACATTCAAATTACCACTAGGTGTCGTCGCTGGTATTACACCATTTAACTTTCCTGCTATGATTCCACTGTGGGTGAGTAATTGTACATTTGTATTGTACTTTTTACTCATCAAAACAACTAATGTTTGTCTCAGAATAGCAATGTATTGTGTTGATGAGACATTAAGCTCCATTCCGTCATTCTCGTCTTTTTATAAATCCACATTGAGTTGCCTTCGCCCCTCTGTGTGTGTGTCTGTGGGCCGCCTACAGGTCACATTTTATGAAATGGATAGTCTTGAAACTTTGCATACTTATTCCTTATACCCTAAGGATGATCCCTATTGTTTTTGTTGGATGCCCGACCCCCAGGGGCAGAGCCTCGCCCATTTTTTTGTATTTGTTGGTTTGTTGTCTACAGGCCGCATTTCTTAACGGATCATCTTGAAACTTTGCATACTTATTTCTTATACCCTAAGGATCATCCCTATTGTTTGTTGTGCCTGCCCAACAGGTCCTAATTCTTAATGAATCGTCTTGAAAACTTTTCATACTTATTCCTTATACCTTAAGGATGACCCCTGTTATTTTTTTTGCATGCCCGATTCCCTGGGACAGAGCCACGCCCATTTTTTTTGTCTGTGTGTAACCTACCTGTCACAATTCTTGACAGATCCTTTTGAATCTGAACTTTGCATACCTATTCCTTATACCCTAAGGATGATCCCTATTGTGTTTGACGAATGCCCAAACCCTAGGCGCCAAGCCACACCCATTTTTATACACCCACATTTTCATGTGGACGTATTATGCTGTCGCCCCTGTCCATCCAGACTCCCGTCTACAATTTGTTTGCGGACACTCCACAGGTAACAATTTTGATCCTATTTTGACAAAACTTGAAATATAGGTCTATCTCCCAATGATGATAGAGTTTAAAGTTCGTGAAAATCGGAATTAAACTGCCGGACAAAATGGCCGCCCTCATACGCATATAGTGTAAATATATGGAATATCAAGGTTGTGGACCCTCTAGAGACCACAATTTTGATCCAATTTTGATGAAAAACTTAAGATATGTCTATATCACAAAGATCTTGGTTCTTTTGGATAATTATGCATATCAGAACTTAACTTCCTGGATTATTGCCACTGATTGTTCGAAAAATTGCATTTTTACCTTGTAGCCCCGCTAGAAGTCACAATTTGTATTCAATTTTAAAAAAAGTTTAGGTATTTCCCCGATATACATCAATGGAAGATGAGTTTGAATTTCTTAAAAAACTGATTAAAACTACCGGACAAAATGGCTGCTCCTTGTACGCAAATTGTGTAAAAGTATGTAATACCAAGGTTGTGGTTATAATTTTTATCTGATTTTGATGAAACTTAAAATATGTTTATATCCTGAAGATCTAGGTTCCTGTAGATATTCACGCATATTGGACCGTAACTTCTTGGATTATGGCCTCTGATTGTACGAAACATCGCTTCTCTTTTTGGTGCTTGTTCTCTGTCCATTTCTTGCAAAATGTGGGCGTATCTTGCATAGCAACCACTTGTTTCTTTGTGCGTCTGTTTGTTATCTACAGACCACAATTCTTAATCGGGAATCACGTGGCTAAGTGGGTAAGACGCTAGCTCGCTAGCCTGGAGGTCGGGTGTTCGATCCCTGCATTGGCCGAGAAAGTTCATCCAGATTTTCCGGTGTGGTTCTCCCTTGTCAGTGATGCAGGACGGAGGGCCTGACAAGGAAAGCTGTCTAGTCGTTCGGATGGGACGAAAAACCGAGGTCCTGTGTACACATTGGCGTGCACGTAAAAGATCCCTTGGCAGTTGGAATTCGATATAAGAGTAGGCCGTAGTGCCGCTGTCCGGGCAAAATTTCCCTCATAGCACACTGTATGGCGTATGCCCGTCTTCATTAGCCCAGGTTAGGAGCAGAACAGTAGGACGTTAAACCCCATTTCATTTCATTTCACAATTCTTAATGGATCGTCTTGGAACAATGCATACGTATTCTGTATAGCCTAAGGACAGCAACTATTGATTTTGGTGTATGTCCCAATCCCCAGGGACAAAACCATGCCCAATTTTTGTTTTTATCAATTCTGAATGGATCATCTTGAAACTTGGCATATGTTTCCTTATAGCCTAAGGACGGCAACTATTGATTTTGGTGCATGCCCCGACCCCCAGCTACAGGGCCACGCCCATTTTTTGTGTTTAGCATTTGAAGGTCACAATTCTGAATGGATTATCTTGGAACTTGGTGTACTTAAACCATAAGGACAGCAACTTTTGATTTTGGTGCATGATCTACCCCGCTTGGGTGGTGCCACACACACTTTTTGTTAATATTTTGTCTGTAAATAATCTGCAGGTTGCAATTATTAACAGACTTGGATCCAATCTGTCATAATCTATCATAGGGTTGTACCTTTTGATATTGTTCCATATACAACCCCCAGTGACCGAGCCACACCCAGTTTTTGTGTTTATCGTCTATAGACTGTAATCCTGAATGGATCATTTTGGAACTTTGCATATTTATTCCTTATACTGTAAAGTTGGCAATTATTTTTCTTGGTGTATGTCCCGACCCCCAGGAATGTGGACGTATATATCAGCAGCCCCGATGCCCTTGTTTAAAATCCCTATATCTGTATATTTGCAGATGTTTCCAATGGCAGCAGTTTGTGGTAATACATCTATTATAAAACCATCAGAACGGGATCCTGGTGCTACCATGATATTAGCTCAACTTGCTAAAGATGCTGGTTTTCCTGATGGTGTATTTAATATTATACATGGTAGACATGACTGTAAGTAATCATTCTATATATTTGAACAATATACAGGTTATCAAGGGTTGACTCTTTGTTCAACTGCCACCGAGCTTAAAAGAGATGAATGTGACTAAACTGTTTGTAATTTTGATGTGTGTGTTGTACCTACATTCAGCTTCAATTACTTTTTCTATACAAGATTATTCTTTAACAGATTTTTTATATAAGGGAAATTGTCATTTGAAATAGATCATGCTTGAAAATTAATTTTAAATAAAACTAACCCATATGCTGGAAAATGTACCAAATAACATCAATATGTTGGAAATATTGTAAGAAATCAACACAAATCATTGTTGGCAGTTCAGGTTTAGTAGTTTTCTTTTGATTCTTGCCAGGGTGAATCAATATAACTTCTGCAAGGTTGAATGGTACAAAAATACTTTGCTACTTTGTGAATTCTATTAAAGTGATCAAATAGTGGCTCTTGTTCTGTTTAATATGTTTTTTTATTATATATTTATTTGTATTTTTTAGCTGTTAATTTTATCTGTGATCATCCAGATATCAAAGCTATATCATTTGTTGGTTCTGATCAAGCTGTAAGTATTTATTACTTAATAAAAATATATGTTCATATCAGTGATGGGATTTCAAAATTTTTCTTGCCGGACATTTGTTCCTGAAAATAAAGGGGCATAACTCTTATCATTATTTAAGCAGGTGGTTTCAGACCACAATTAAAAATCAAGTGTCAACAAAATATTCAAATTCATACATAATAAAAAATAGGTATTTTTCATATTTTTCAAATTGATGTCAGTAATATTCCTACAAAATTACGTGGGGTCGTAATACGATAGAATGAAAGCGTGCCGACCCGTACATGTATCAAATTCCTCCAATATTACCGTATTTTTCGGGGTATAAGTCGATATATTTTTCAGCGAAAGTCCGCCATTCATCTTATACTCTGTTTACATACGGAAGTTAAAAAAAATGACATCCCGAAATTTATTTGGCAGTAACCGTTGCTCTACCACAATGAGCGACTGACATCTACTAAGTAAATAATCGCAATTGACTCTAGCACACGCTATCGTCTAAAACAATTAACTACTTACACTATGCCAATCGAAATATTCATCAACATTTCTTAGCATGTTTATTTATTTATTTAAAAACATAAACCCCATTTAAAATATAATCATAAATCCGAGAATGTGCCATCAAAATAAAAAAATTTCTCCAACATTAAACGTGTCAGATTTGCATGTTTACATCTCTTAATTTCATGTCTCATGAGATTTCTACTTCATTTCAGTTATTGTACTATAACGTGCGATCAGAAACAGAGCTTGCATTGTCTTATATTTATCGGATGTGTGTGAAATAGCTTTATTTAACTTCGACTTCCACCGAAGCCATATCACAGACATGTTATCGGATACAATGTATATTGATTTGTGATGTTATATACTATTAGGATATGTGACATATATGACATGACTAATTTCTATGTGTTGTCGGCTGACATTAAGGAGATTAAAACATTCAAGAATGGAGAAATCACGGGGTTAATAACGTAGATTAAGTTTATAATCACTCTTATTGGATCGATATATAGTCCGACAAAGGAGAAGCAATGACTTTTGTTCAGAATGGGATTGATGAATTGTCCGACAAAGGACTAAGTCAGCCAATCAAGGTAGATTAAGTAGTTAATTAATGTAGGTGAATAGACGGTATAACACGATAAATACGTTGATCACTTAATTACCTAATCAATAATCGGGTTGAGTGGTAGTTATACACTCAGTACACTATATTAATTTTAGTTATACACTCAGTTATATTAATTTTGGAATTTTGAATATTATTATGATGTTCGATTGGGCATATTCCTGGCCGGACAATTCAGGACGTTTGGAAAATAACGTTGGAACATGTCCAGAATATATGGGCGAAATCCCATCACTGGTTCATATTGTAAACATAGTAAAATGGTTTAAGACAGTATTTAGAAATTACCTTGATTTATTATCTTCTGGAAGTCTTACTACTTTCGATATCACAGGTTGGTTGTGTACCTTATATAACCTTTTACATCGTGAAACTCTAGATACGACTCTGTTATTTCTTGTATAGAAAACTTGATCTATAATTATTTGTGATACCATGGTTATATCACTTTATATATTTACAGGGTCAGTATATTTATGAGAGAGGATCTAAAAGTGGCAAACGAGTTCAGTCTAACATGGTATGTGTAATTTACATTGTCTGCCTTGCATTCTTTTTTATATGCCCCCATTTTCATGTGGACGTATTATGCCGTTGCCCCTGTCCATCCACAATTTATTTGTGAACACCCTACACGTCACAATTTTTATCCAATTTTGACGAAACTTGAAATATAGGTCAATCTCCCAAAGATCTCGGTTTCTTTTGATATTGGCACGTATCGGACCATAACTTTATGGATTATGGCCCCTGATTGTACCAAAAATCACGTTTTTAGCTTGTGGACACTCTAGATGTATGATTATAATCCAAAGATCTTGGTTCCTTTTGATATTTGCACATATTTGGTCCCTGCAGAGGTCACAATTTTTATCCGATTTGAATATATCACAGTTACACCCTAATAATGGTTGAGTTCGATTTTCGTGAAAATCGGACCAAAACTGCCGGACAAAATGACCGCCCCTCGTATGCAAATATGGTATATCAAGGTTGTGCACCCTCTAGAGGCCACAATTTTGATCCAGTTGTTTATATCTTGGTTCCTTTCTATAATCGCGCATATCCGAACGCAACTTTCTGGATTATGGAACCTGATTGTTTCGAAAAATTTAATTTTTAGCTTGTGGACCCTACAGAAGTCACAATTTGTATTCAATTTTATCTGATTTTAAAAAACGTTTAAACATTTCACCATTACACATCAATGAAGGTTGGGTTTGAATTCCGTAAAAATCTGACCAAAACTGCCCGACATAATGGCCGCTTTTTGTACGCAAATAGTGTAAAAGTATGTAATTCCAAGGTTGTGGACACTCTAGAAGTCACAATTTTTATCAGATTTTGATCAAATTTAAAATATATGTTTATGTCCCAAAGATCTCAATTCCTTTCGCTGTTTGCGCATATCAGACCGTAACGTTCTGAATTATGGCCCCTGATTGTATGAAATATCACTTCTTTTTTTGAGCTTGTTCTCTGTCCATCTCTTGCAACATGTGGGCATATCTTGCATGGCAACCGCTTGTTCTTAAAAATCAAGAATGAAATCTTAACCAAACAAGATAATATTGTCTAACATTTCTACTGACAGCCAGCTTTTTATCCAGACCAATCATTTTTGGATTCTTTATGACTTTTAGGTTGGAAGTTTGAACCCATCATTTGGCTTCCTCCCACTGGTTATGGATTGAAAAAATCAAAGATTTAGCATATGTTAGTGCACCAAAAACCTACATTTTGAATTGTTATTTTTTCTTCCTTTACAAAGACTTTTATCCAACAGCTGACCAACTCTAATATAGTATCTGATAATGTATTATATTTCACAATCTTGTAAGGAGCCTAGGGTTGTTATTTTGATGTTTATTTGTTATTTTAATTAACAGGGAGCTAAGAATCATGGAGTTATTATGCCTGATGCTAATAAAGAAAGTACATTAACACAGGTATTATTTGGTTTTCTTATGTCCTTATTGTCATGGCAAATTGTGTGGGCTGAGTGTGTAGACCAGACTTAAAATTCCATCCATTTTATTCAAAAAATTGATAAAAATTCAACAAATTCTAGGAGAATAGTTTACAATCTTTAACCTACTTTTATTATTGACATTGATATCTATAAATAATATAGTTTTCTATAAGAAAGGTTTTATGCTTCCAGTTGGTAGGGGCTGCTTTTGGAGCTGCTGGTCAGAGGTGTATGGCACTGTCGACGGCTGTTTTTGTTGGCGAAGCTAAAAACTGGATTCCAGAACTTGTTGAACGAGCAAGAAAACTAAAAGTAAATGCTGGACACGAACCTGATGCTGATCTTGGTCCATTAATATCACCAGAATCCAAAAAGCGTGTTCTTAGTCTTGTACAATCAGGTGTAGAAGAAGGGGCAGAACTCTTACTAGACGGTCGAGATATCAAAGTTCAAGGTTATGAAAAGGGAAATTTTGTTGGTCCAACTATTCTGAATAAAGTAAAAGTGAGTCATATTGATATGATTTTATGGTTGATGTATATAGTTATATTTTACTCTAGATGGCATGTTTCAGATAAAATATTAAGCATATCCTTTATCATCATGAAATTGGTTTGATACATGGATGATGAAGTACTTACTGCATAAGAGGGCAATATTATTTTCCACAAATTATTTGATGAAAAAATCTGGTATCAAACATGGAGAAAAGAAAGTCCAAATTTTTGAAAAACAGACTGCCGGAAATGCAGCCTGGCAGCATTTCAGGCATTAATCGTTGAGATAAATAGATCTAACCAGATACCGCCAGTCACCTGACCATTATTTATGGGACCAGAGAAGAAAGTATCAAACCAAACTCGACGAAGCCCCCTCATGAGCGTCAACCTCAGTGAAGCCCCCGAAAATTTGAAAAATAGACTGCATGAAATGCAGTCTGGCAGTATTTCAGGCACTGATCGTCGAGATAAATAGAGCTTACCAGATATCACGTGTCTCAAAATCACTAGTTTATCCGACCAGACAGAGAGGAAAGTGTCAATCTGATTAAAATACAGATCTATATTTCGTTTATTTTTTTATTCTTTCGACGGCATGAACTACTTGGAAATCTGACTGGTTGTAGTGGAAGGTCATGTCAAGGGTCATACGAACAGATTTTGACCTTATGACATCAGACCTTTGTTAATCAATCAGCCTTAATGTTTCTAGTGGGTTACCCATATGTTCCGTGCATTACACACCAAAAACTCGCTGTAACAGTCTATTTCATTGGCTAATCCCTCACATCAGCCAGAATGCGGGTTATATAACAAGTCTTACAGTTCCTAGTGTTGTGAAGACATATAAAATTAAATTTTGAATTATAAAAAACGAAACGAAATAGAATCTTTGTTTTAATCAGATTGGGAATGTGTCGAACGGAGTGAGTGAATGAATATTTTCGCCACAATATTTTGGGAAACCGACTGTAGGAAATGCAGCCTGGCAGTATTTCAGACACTGGTCGTCAAGTTAAATAGAGCTGACCAGATACTGTCTGTCATCAAATCACTAGCTTATCCGAACAGAGAGGGAGGTGTCAAATGAATGGAGTGAGTGGATCAAAGTGAATGAATATTCTTGCCGCGTTGAACTTATACCCAAAAACTTTGCGGATCGTAATAAGCACTTCTCAAGTGGTTCACATGTTATTGTTTATAGTAGGTTTACAGCAGGATGGGTTCGGTAAGAAATCCCACTCATTGCATTCCATAAAATGTATGAAATTGTTAATTTTAGCCTAATATGCTGTGCTATACAGAGGAAATATTTGGACCTGTTTTATGTAGTTTAGAAGTGGATACATTGGATGAGGCAATTTCTATTGTTAACGCTAATCCCTATGGTAATGGAACTGCCATCTTTACAACGAATGGTGCTACAGCCCGTAAATACACAATGGAAAGTGATGTCGGTCAGGTAGGCAGGAATATTATTTAACTCTTAACATATCTTGAGTCTTTCTGTTCTGTGTTGCTTTATTTATTAACTCCCCCATTCTAATTTGAAAAAATTCTGATTTTATACACAACATATTGGTTCGTTTTTAAAAATTCCAATAATTCACTAAAAAAAATACAGACAATTTAAGAAAAGTAAAAAATACAAAGAATAAGTTTTCCATTTTTGCTTGAAATAACTTTTGATCATTAGTAAGATTTAGATCTGTTTACATAGTATATGATATAGAAGCCTTTTGATCATTAGTGAGATTTAGGTCTCTGATTGTGGAGCTTGTTTTACATTGTTTATAATAATTATAATGTATATTTTAGGTAGGTGTAAATGTTCCAATACCTGTACCCCTACCTATGTTCTCTTTTACTGGTTCTCGTGGTTCATTCCGTGGTGATACTAACTTCTATGGTAAACAGGTAAGATGATTTATACATTAAACATATGTTTTCATGACATTATACATAAATTTGACCCTAATTAAGGTGTCCTTTTACAATGCCTAGTGAATTGAATAAATCTAAATAAGCACTACTCAGGAAATATCAACCAATTCTGGTTGTAATCCATTGAGTGGGTTAGAAAAAGAAGCTGCATTTGCCTCATTCAGATGGCCAATCCCTTCCCCTTTTATAGAAAAGTAACCTTTTTTTAGCAAAACTGGAGAAGCATCACATAATAAACATAAATGTACATATACTAAATCAGGTTGAAATACATCAAGCAGTTTAGAAAACCACAAAAATACATTAATTAATCCAAATTATATTGCCCCTGCAATTCCACCCATCAACAGACATATGAATTCCAAGTATGTCATGTAGAACTTGTTCATATTTGCCCCTCTATGGTGCCCCTGTCTAAAGTCCAGGACGTTTATTTTAATAAACTTTTATTATCTTTCCTATTACATTTTTTTAATAATCTATTAGGCCTTTCTGAAAAAAAAAAGATTTTTGAAGATTATCTGAATTTGCCCTTTTGTTACGGTTCCCCGGCCCAGTTCTGTTGGAGCCAATGGATTTTATTTGGACAAATCTGAACAAACATATCTACAAGATTTCATTGACATCCAGAAACACTTTAGCCGAAGAAGTTGAACATGATTAAATTTTTAGTTGTGTTGAATGGAAGTTAAATCGCATTTCCCTCCTATTTTTATAAATCTTTGACGAAACCCTATAAAATGAAGCAAAATTATTGGGACAACTATTTGCTACTAAAACTGAACCTGTACTGATAAATTTATTTGTTGACAGGGTGTTCAATTCTATACACAAGTAAAGACCGTTACTCAGTTATGGAAATCAGATGATGCGGGAACGGTCAAGGGAAGTGCTACAAACATGCCAGTTCAGCGTTAAGGTCAATAAGTCCGGGGTTATTTGTATTTGTGTGAATGAGAAATGAGAAATGTATATCCATTTGCAATATACCCTTGATTTGGATTAAAATTATTGAATGTCAAACATAATTGTGCAGGTATATTGAGCATTGTGACCACTCAGGTTCTTATATGAATTGAACTTTATGCAGCTGATAGATGTCTTCTAGAACCTAAATATTTTTTTTTTAAATTCCTGGATATTTAATTCAAGAAAATGTCTTGATGGGATATGTTGACTTCAATAATACAGTTTAATGCACAACAGTATGGGGTGATCAGGTCTAAATTCATTTGAAGAATAATACAAATCATTTGTCCCTCTCATAGAAAATAACTTTTATATTGCAATCAGTGGATTTTTTAAATTTTATTTTAAAAAAACGATAAGCATAAGTTACATTTTTTTTGTTTTGTTTATATGAGTTAAAGATGTGTTATGTTAAACAGTATTTTATAAATAAAAGTGCTATTGTTTGAACCTCAAACATTGATCCTTTAAAATGATTTGAGGGTATTATTATTAGTCCACAAGAACTAACTTTATTCTTACCCTTGTTAGTTATGCAAGTTTGATATAAGTATATTTTTGGCACACTTTTGAAGCTTAGACATTTTGATTTGGATGTTTATAGACATTGTTTTTGGAAACATGTATACATTTGTTACAGCAAGCTGCGACAATTGTTACTGTATACTTTTAAAAATATACATATTTGTATATATGAGATTATTTTGAAGAACATGAAATTTATCATACAAATGTACATTATACATATAATAAATAAACTATATAAACATTTACCTTGTTTTGAAATGTTTAAAATATTGTCTGCAATTTGATACACCCACATTTCAGTGTGGGAGTAGTATTACTATATGCCGTCAACTTGTGACCTTGTTTTCAAATTTGGTTGTAAGAATTGCGGTCCTGAGAGGATGTAGTCCGACGAACCCTATCTATTTTTGGGAGTTATCCCCCATTGCCGAAAACATTGTGAACGTGTAGGCCGCATTCTCGGGGTGAAAATCTTGTCACCTTCGCTCCCACTAAACCAGTCTACAAATCGGACTATCAATAATCGTGCAATCAATATGTCAACAAAGTTCTCCAATAAAATTTGCCAATTTAATAGTTCAAGCTCGAAATAGGCTAGAAATCGATGACTTATTTCTTTATAGTGCGGAGCCATATTTGCGTAGATGTGAGTTGGATCCTGCGCAGCTATTTAAAATTTGGCCAATCAGCGATCGCGCTTGCGGGGTTGTGGTCAAAAATTCTGGTGTCAAGTGCCAGGTCATAGCATTTGTAAACAAAGCCATGTGCACGATTTACCTTGCAAATTGCTCGCGGTCGGGACGAACAGAGATCAAATGAACCCCAAAAACGTCCCACCCGTGTAGAGGAGTGGTGTATGAGAGCCACAAAAGGTATTTTGATCACACTGACATAAAATGTGGCAGTCAGTCAGGTTTTTTCGACACTGATTAAGGATATTGGACCATCGATTTCACTAGAAAAATGCCTTAATATCAAGGGAGATTACAAGGTCACTGCCTCTATAAGTGTAATTCTAATGAAATCATTCATTTTACATAACAACATACTTAAAACCTGTCTAGCCTGCTGTCTTAATAACGATCATGGATAGGATAGTGTATAGCTAAGATTAAGAATATAAAAAACATAATTTTGAAATAAAGGTTGAGAACTTAAAAAGTTGCAGAAATATTAAGAATAATGCTTAAATAATTTGAACTAGCTCAGAATTGTCAGGGAAAAGCCCATATGGACGAAATAAAATTTTGCATCTACAATGTATAAGCTTACAATAGATATATGAATTCAAATAACACTTGACTGTAATTAAAAGATGTCAAATTTCATTCTCATATAGAAAAATGGTTTTTGTCTGCAACTGCCAATGAACCAGATAGCACCCCTCCCCCCCCCCCCCTTATCAATATGGGGCTCACCAACGACAGTGTACATGTAATCATCGTAAAAGTGCCACACACACTTTCAATGTTCAAATCTTGCTTCTGATTAATAAATATTTTGATTTCTTTAAACAATTATAACAGATACTGTACATGTAGTCGATCAAATCCAATACTAATTACATTTGATTTACCCGTCTTCATTAGCCCAGTTTAGGAGCAGAACAGTAGGACGTCAAACCCCATTTCATTTCTTGATTCGAAAAATATTTCTGATCACCTAAGATAAATAAAATACAATTTAATGGAGGATTTACACTAAGAGTAAGACACTAACTCATTTAGTAGTTAGAATAAGGCTACCGGTATTTGTTTCACTGGACTTATCAAAACAGCAAAAGTGTTATTGGGGCTTTAAATAAAATAATAAAAATGCTATTTTTATTTCGCATGAGATTAAATTGTCCTTCTTTTGTGTGGCCCCCGCTCGAACATACTTGGATTTTTTCTTGCAAATTATAAAGATCTCTGATAAAACTGACTTCTTTAACTCTGATGAAGTAGTAACAAATACTGCACCATGATGTGATTCCTTTGGTGAGATTAATGAAGGAGTGGGGGTGAATGAGACACACTTTTAATTTTTAAAGTTGTTGAAGTACTAGGCCTAGTAGTAGGGGTTATGGACATAAAGGCCCTAAACCAAAATGGCTCAAGTATTTGGTCATAACGGTCAAACATTTTGGTCATAACTACATAACGGCCAAAACATTAGGTCATAATGGCCAAAAAGAACATTTGAATTTTGATATATTATGTATCAAATGATATTTATTAATATAAATATTGCATAATATAAATACCAATATTTCTTAATAGATAATATTTTCATATACATTTATTTAATACATAAATTTAAATTCACTGTAGACATTTATACTTAATACACTGTATAACTGTAACATACATAATTTACAAAGACATCTATTTAATATGGAGGGTGGGTGGCAAATGGTTTAACATGTACACATGAAATCAAAAGGTCTGTCATTGCGTCAAGTGACGTAGTTTCAATTCTCTGCACGTACGTGACAAGGACTAGGGTCATTTGTTCAACCTTGTGGGTTTTCTCCGAGTCCCCCAGTTTCCTCCCTCTGCTACAGACCTTACACGCAAGCGAATTATTTAAATAAAAAGGAACCATATGCTGGACCCCAAAATGACCTACTTTGTGTCGACTGGACATTAATGTTCAGCTCATGTTACTTTATCAGTGGGGTGTGAAGGACTTAATTAGGGATTATCAAAAACTTTGATTAATTGGTATTCCCCTCTTTCCTTTGAATCACAGCATGCAATGTTCTGGGTTGACTTGGATGGTTATATTCAAAATTCTTTCATTCACAAATTTTTCTGGACTTATGGTCTGTAGCCTATATAATGCACCTTTATTTCATTTATTTATTACTTCTACTAGTTGGAATAGAAGTGGTCATATCTTGTTGAAGGTTTGGTGAAACCGTTTTTAAAAATATTATGTTATGAGTGAATTGTTATTTTTGTCGAATGATTAATATACTAATAGTAATAGTCAGTTGTTAAATAATGTTTGGTAAAATTCTGTATGTTGTGACAGTTTTAGTCGGTTGGACTGAACGTAGACGCTGCCTTCTCACTCTCTTTCTTTCTTGCATCTTTTAACTGTTTTGTTCTTAAAACATCTATAAAACGTTGGGTGAAATCCAAAACCACAGCTGACTGTATCTTCAATATAATATCCTTCGTAATAAATCCATTTGTATCGAAAAATGCTGCAATAGATTGGTCATTTCCATCCAATTGAAATCAGTCTATAGCTACCTCACGACATTTGTCTCACCTTGGGTTTGTAAAGGGTTCTGAAACCTCCCTTATTAACACTGTCTAAGTGAACAATGCAAGTTAATTGAGCCTTTGTCGCCATTTCGTGTAGCTTCTACATGTATAACTGCAATGTGTTCCTCGTGAAGCACGCCATTTTGTGTTTACCAACAATACACGCGAATGTAGACAATAACGTGATTGGTCGATTGTGGAAAATACGGTCACGTGACGCGGCGAACAACGCTGAATTCTGTCCAGTGACCTCGTGCACTATGAATTTTACTATCAATAAATAGTCCGGATTTCAAAGAAGAATATCACCGAAGAACTATGAAATTTTTTGGAGAACATTACAACAAACGAATATCTCTATATGAACTATACACTGACAAAATTTCTTCTAGACCGGATTTGTAGGAACGAAAATATTTTTGCAACGACAATTTGTGTCCATGGAATGCGGCCTATTAGGGGCTGTAGTTTTGGAGTTACCCCCCATTGCCGAAAACATTGTGAACGTGTTAGATGCTGTAGTTTTTCGACAGATTTTATTCAAATTTGGTGTGAAGCTTTGTGGTCATTAAAGGACAAACCCTATCCGATATTCAGGATTCTAAGAATTTCCATTCCAAAGTTATTGTCCTTTTCAGAAAACATTGTGAATGCGAAATAGGCTTTAGTTTTTAACAGATTTTTTCCGACAGGGTTTCCCCCTTGTCAGTGGTGAAGAATGGATGGCTGACAAGGACAGCTGTCTACTCGAGGTCCTGTGTACACATTCGAGTGCATGTAAAAGATCCCTTAGCAGTTGGAATTCAATATAAGAGTAGGTCGTAGTGCTGCTGGCCGGACAAATTTTCCCTCATAGCACACTGTATGGCATATGCCCGTATCATTAGGCCAGTTGAAGCAGAACAGTAGGACGTTAATCCCATTTTATTTAATTTGTTAATGGATTTCATTCAAATTTGTTGGGAAGCATTGGGTTCATGAACGAAGAACTCTATCGATATTAAACATTCTTCAACTTTCCATTCCGGAGTCATTCACCCTTGTGAACACGATATAGGCTATAGATTTTAACAGATTTTTTTCTAACATTTGGTGTGTAGCATTAGGGTCATGAGAAGATGAATCCTGTTGATATTCAGCGTTCAACTTTCTATTCAGGAGTTTTGCCCCCTTTTCTGGAAAACCTTGTGAACTTAATAAAGGCTATAGGTTTTAATGGATGGGAGCCATGTTTTATCCCAGTGTTGGCCTAGAAAGTTCATCAGGATTTTCCGGCTGGGTTCCCCCATGTTTGTGGTGCAGGAGAGGGCCTGGTGGGACAACATTTAGTTGTTCGGATAGGATAGAAACCCAGCTTTTTCAAATTTGGTTGTATGCATGAGAGAAATGAAATGAAATGGGGTTTAACGTCCTACTGTTCTGCTCCGAACTGGGCTAATGAAGACGGGACGCATGAGAGTATGAACCCTATTAATTTTCAGCTTTACACAACTTTCCGTTACAGAGTTATCCCCTTTTTGTCAAAAACCTTGTGAACATTACAGACTGTCAAATATGGTGTGAAGCATTGTGGTCATGAGAGGACAAACCCTATCGATATTGAGTGTACCTTGACTTTCCATTCCGGAGTTATCCACCTTCGCTGAAAACTTTGTGAACATGAGAAGCTGTAGTTTTTATATACCTACATGTTCATGTGGACGTATATTGTCGTCGCCCGTATCCAATTTGTTTGTAGACAATCTACAGGTCACAATTTTCATCTGATTTTGATGATACTTGAAATGCATTTTTATAACCCAAAGATCTAGGGGGAGGTGGGGTTGGATGGCCGAATGGTTAGCCTGTGCGCGCACTGTATCATACGGTCTGTCATTGAGTCAACTGGCGGGGTTTCGATTCCCCGGTTGTACGTGACAATCTCGTGGGTTTTCTCCTGGTCCTCCGGTTTCCTCCTACTGCTAAAGACCCCTACGCACAAGCAAATTATTGAAATAAAATTGAATCATGTGTTAGTCCCGAAATGACCTAGTTTGTGTCGAGTGGACGTTGAACCCCTTTTCTCTCTCTCTCTCCAAAGATCTTGGCTCCTTTCGATATTGGCATGTATCGGACCGTAACTTCATGGATTATGGCCCCTGACTGTACGAAAAATCACATTTTTAGCTTGTAGGTACGCTAGAGGTCACAATTTTCATCTGATTTTGATGATTCTTGAAATGCATGTTTATAACTCAAAGATCTTGGTTCCTTTCGATGTTCGCGCATATCAGATTGTAATTTCCTGAATTATGGTCCCTGATTGTACAAAAAAATGGCGTTTTTTAGCTTGTACCCCTTTAAAAAAATATATCACAGTTACACCGTAATGTTGGTAAAGTTCATATTTCATGAAAATCAGACCAAAACTGCCTGACAAAATGTCATCTCCTTGTATCCAAATAGTGTAAAAGTATGTCATACCAAGGTTGTTTACCCCCTTAGAAGTCACAATTGTTATCAGATTTTGATGAAACATGTTTATGTCCCAAAGAACTCGGTTCCTTTCGCTATTTTCGCATATCAGATCGTATCTTCCTGGATTATCGTCCTTGATTGTACGAAAAATTGGGTTTTTAGCTTGTGGATTCTCTAGAGGTCACAATTTTTTATCGAATTTTAAAAACCATTAAAATATATCACCATTTCACCATAATGAAGGTTAAATTTTAAATTCCGGGAAAATCGAAATGAAACTGCCTTTGTATGCAAATTATGTAAAAGTATGTAATACGAAGGTTGTGGACACTCAGAGGTCACAATTTTTATCCAATTTTGATGAAATTTAAAATATATCTTTATATCCCAAAGTTCTCGGTCCCTTTTGATATGTGCGCATTTCAGACCATAACTTTCTTGATTATGGCCCCTGATTGTACGTAAAATCGCTTTTGTTTTTAGCTTGTTCTCTATCCACCTCTTGCAAAATGTGGGTGTATCTTGCCTGGAAACCGCTGTTTTTTTATAATTTGGTTGGAAGCAATAGAGTCATAAGAGGATGAACCCAAGAGATTAGATTTATTCAAGGATCCTGTTCCTTATCAAATTTGCTCAAATCCAAGTTTTCCTTTTGAGACAAAGCTGCTGTGTGGGTGCATTCCATGCTTTGTGTGGTTATCTATACATCAAGAGTTCAGACCTTGATTTTAGAAGCTAATTTGTAGAGTACATAGCGTAAAATGAGAAATGTTATCAGGTATTGCACTGAGTAAGCATGGCATACCTCATGTGTGGGACCTTTCACTAGTTGTAGCGAAATGGAACTAGGATTTGGACCTGGATTTTAGAAGCCAGTGTTAGAAGATAACTTTACATCAAACCAGTAGCAGGGTCAATAATTATTAATGTGTGTCATCCCCTGTATGCTTGTTTTACCTAACTTTATATTTTACTCTGTTTGGCGGTCATCTTAAAAGTCAACATCAATCCTTCAAAATATTTATTATATCATGTTTTATATACATATATTATCCTTCACCTTTCTAAATCTGAGTTATCTGAGTTTAACTTGAATAGAGATTTTAATTATCTATGCTGCATATATGCATATATCACATTACAGCCGAATCACATTACATATCTTACGTATTTGTCAACATCAAGGTGAACTTGCTCTATTGTCCGATTAGCCTATTCAGACTTGTTACCACGAATTTACTCACCCCACCCTCTCATAGTTATGAATTTATTGTTTCACTTGACTAAAGAAACATTTTGTAGGAATGTATTGCGATATCATTTTCGGTGGAAACTGGCACTATACCTAAAGAATGATTAAACAAATAGCGGAGACGGGGTTTCAGCCGGCTGATTTAAATTATTTCTTTAAATACAGTAAAGCTTGAAATATGTCAGTTTTCACTCTTTAGAATTTTTTGTAAATAAGTTTTTATTGTAGTTTCCGTGGCGTATTCCCAATAGGCGTTAGAAACAAAGATATATACCCTTAATCCCAGTGCCGATAAATGTTGGGTTGTGTGGAACAATATGCTAACAAATCTCAGGTACGATATATATTTGATTCTGGTTGAGAACAGCATGAGAGCAACATGATTGTTTTCATTGGAGATGAGACGCAAATATTCAAAGGGGTCAGACAAACTCTAAACCAACCGCGTTCCCTTCACTGAGTCCCTTCAAAGGAGGCCCTGGAATAACATGCATTTGTATCGTGGTAGATAGATTGATATTATTTATACATAGGTGGGGAGTATTAACGTCTTACCCCAAACAAATTGCAAAAGAAACCATGAAGTTTCTGAGAGCGATATTTTGTAATCAGTGTGTTTTAGTGGTGGGGGAATAAATAATTTCTTTTTAAATTTTTCAAACACAAACTGGTCATAGAGGCGAATTTGACAAAAAACAAAAAATGTATTTGTCACATGTATGGCGACGGCCATTACTTTCAAAATGACTGTCTTAAATTTAAAATAGCATTTTCCGACAAGACCAGCGATAATCTCGTAAGATATGACTTTTACTATGTCTTTTAAATGGTTTTCGACGTCTCTTCAAGGTCACCGTCGAGTGCCGAAGTCGTGAAACGCACCGTCGGGGGATTTGTTGGGGCCTGTCTCCCCCAGAAAATTTCTAGAAATTTCAAGCCGGTCTTGCCAGGCCGCGAATACGGCAACCTAAAAGTGGTCCATTTTAATGAAGACATCTGAACTCCAATCAACAAATCAATCACCCAGGCTGTTGTTGCATTCACATGACACCAGACGTATCACCGATGTTAGTGCGACCCATTTGTGACAATTTCTAGTCCCAAATATTAGCGATTTAGCTCCTTTAAAAGCGAATGCAAGTTAAATATGTTTAATAGCAATTTTATCTAGTGTATCTTTTATTTTGATTTTTCTTATAGAATAAGGCTATAATAGTATGTTCAGCTATACTTTTCGTTTAAAAAATGTATGTTTTATGTCCTATAGACACTTATTCGCTGAAATCTATGACATCCAACAATAACAATAGGGCATATAAATAGATAAGTTGGTAGAGTTACTCGGGACCCAAGATGGCGTCTTTGTACACTTGACGTCATAAATTCCTGGCTTCACAGTTGTCGCAACTTTATCTATACACGGCTTTGCGTCAACCAACCATGCAATGTGAAGTAGATGTCAATATGGTTATGTGTAAAAATATTCAGTTCAATATATTCACGGTGTATGATTTTATTCATACTTCAATTTTAGTGAGTTAATTCTGCAACGTTTTTAGAAAAAATTGCTATTAATTTGGCCAGTACTGTACATTGTTTGTTTCTTTATGTAAATACACGTATCTATATCTGACAGTGAGAAGGGTTTAATATAGGCTATGCCTGTTCCCCAATCCCTGTTCAGATACAAATCTGAATAAAAATATTGCTTATAAAAAAACCCTTTCCCAAATCCAGTCAATCATTCCTGAGACAAGGCATTTCTATAAGAAACATTAGTATCTGTAGGAAAAGTTGACATTATCATGCATAATTGTTGTTCTGTATGAATACCAGTGCATGGAACGAAGAGCATTTACATTCTTGTTGAATCTAGTACTGCTCCATTCTTGGATCTACTGTACAAGGTGTTAATACTGAAAAACTTATTTTCAATTACCTTTGGAAGTCTTAATATATCAAACATTGTTGTGTTGTAAATTTGTGATATTTAACATTTTAGCATTAATAACATCAAATCATTATATTATTGTTTAATAACACTGATTCCCATTATTATTAAAACTATAAAATAAATTTATGGAGAGTTGTCTCTATGTATGAATAAAGCTGAGAAAATCTGTCAGTAACCGTAGTTAAAATGTGGTCTGTTCCCACGCCCTTTACCATTACAACCACACCACCAGTTGCCAATAACAAAAAAATATAACCACAATACTGAATAATCTGAAAGGGAAGTTAAATTCATCATAATCTTTACATTTAGGACATTTTGGTGCCATTTTAGTATATTTTAAAATATATTATACACCAAACCCTATTCTGTCCATAATGCTTCCATAGAAGTTAAAATAAAAATGGAAAGGGGGTGTGGGAGCTAACATCTTGTGGTTATTTTGAGAATAACATTTCATTTCAATGTCTGGACAGTGGTTTTCCACTTTCTCTTCATCTAATTCAATCTGCTAAGGTTTATTTGTGTTCACACCACTGTGTACACAGGTGTACCTTACATTTTCATCACATCTCCAGACTTGGAACACTTTCCTTGTCACCCTAGCAGATGCCGCCTCTGACAATTGAGAACCAGACTTAAAAATCCTGATGGTTCTTCAAGGCCAACGCTGGAATATTCAATTTTCGACCACCGAAGCCCCAATTGAAATTAAGAAGTACAAATAGCATGTTATACATTGTTTGGTGTGCCTACCTTATCTTGTTTAGCTCTTCTTGCCACACATTCATGATACCTTGTTCGAGTAAAGGAAACCTTGATAAAAGAAATTATACTTCAAGATAAATTTGAATTAATATTATTGCGCTCCTATAATATCATTTGTTTTATATGAATAATCATACTCAGATTACAACTTTTGGCCACTATCAGTTAGATAAATCTTTTTATCAGCTCATTCGACAATTCAGAATCTTCAAGATAAAGTTTTTGGCTCGCTTCTTTGCATTTCAATGTGACAGCACATAATTTAGGGCACGATTTAGGGCCATACTTTGTGTTTGTATAGCAATTCTAAAACCACAGTTGTTATCATACAATAAGTCTATCACAAATAATCTATTTTACACAGTAAAACTCAAGCAACTCTTGTCAGAAAGACACTAAAACAATAGGGAAGTCTACCACCAAGTTTGTTTCGAGCATCATTATGTTTAATGATGTTTCCTTTCAAAGGAACTGAAATGTTATATAATGATAATTTATGGATTAACTTGTCTGTGTTTTATTTTCTAGTATTCATTAGATTGATTTATCAAATGCCATCAAATAACTCTTGTATTTTTAGAATTATTCATTAACTCACCATTGTATATAGTGGTATCCAAGAATTGGGGAAGAGTTTTTGTAAAAAATTATCCATTTTTTTCCTTAATAAAAATAATTTGGAATTCACAGCAGATCTCATCTGAAAATAAAAGACAATTACATAAGCTCAAAATCTAATTCAGTAAGACCCAGAGATGGTTAATGTTCTAAAGTGGTGTTGTTCAAATCTTAGGTCTTCCATCTATGAATGGAACACATACTTTCGTTAGTATTCTCTCCCCCCCCCCACCCTTCATTAATTTCTTTTGCCAATACAAGCTTTTACTAATGACCTCAAATGCGAGGACATACCTCAATATAATTGTACATGGCTAAATCACAGATAGCAGTAGCATCTGTATGTCTCTTCTCAGTATAAGCTGGTAAAACTTGGCCTGAAATAAGATAGAAAAAAAAGTGAATGTGGATCTGTAAACATATTGTAGTTTCATATATACTCTTCAAAAAAAGTAGGGGATATTCAGAAACAATAAAAAACTGCGGAAATGCACTGCTTTTTGTCCCCCGCCTTTCGAAGAAAGCAGGGGACTATTAAAATGGGTTCGTCCGTCTGTCTGTCTGTCTGTCCGTCTGTCTGTCCGTCCGTCTGTCTGTCCGTCACACTTTTTGGGACACAATAACTCTCTTCCTAATTGAGCTAGAATGTTCAAACTTGGTGTATGTGTTTATTAGGTCAATGCCTTGATGGAGTTCGAAGATGAGCATTTTCCGCTTAGGGTAAGCAGAGATAAGCAATTTGATTGGTTGATGCTTTGGGACACGATAACTCTCTTCCTAATTGGGCTAGAATGTTCAAACTTGGTGTATGTGTTGATTAGGTCAATGCCTTGATGGAGTTCGAAGATGAGCATTTTCCGCTTAGGGTAAGCAGAGATAAGCAATTTGATTGGTTGATGCTTTGGGACACGATAACTTTTAATTGAGCTAGAATGTTCAAACTTGGTGTATGTGTTTATTAGGTCAATGCCTTGATGGAGTTCGAAGATGAGCATTTTCCGCTTAGGGTAAGCAGAGATAAGCAATTTGATTGGTTGATACTTTGGGGCACGATAACTCTCTTCCTAATTGAGCTAGAATGTTCAAACTTGGTGTATGTGTTGATTAGGTCAATGCCTTGATGGAGTTCGAAGATGAGCATTTTCCGCTTAGGGTAAGCAGAGATAAATAATTTGATTGGTTGATGCTTTGGGACACGATAACTTTAGTTCTAATTAAGTGAGATTGATGAAACTTGGTGTATAGATTTATTATATGAATACCTTAACTAAGTTCGATAATGAACATTTTTTGCTGAGGGTAAGCAGAGTGATAAGCAATTTGATTGGTAGAAACTTTGGAACACAATAACTCTCCTTCTAATTGAGGTAGAATGTTCAAACTTGGCATAGGTGTCTATTAGGTGAATGTTTAAACTTGATGTATATGTAGATGTTCATTAGGTGAATGTCTTGACTGAGTTCAATAATTAACATTTCGAGCTGAAGCTAAGCAGAGCTAATCGATTTCATTTGTCGATGGTTTGGGACAAGATAATCTTGATTCTATCTGATAGAGAGTGATGAAACTTAGTGAAAAAAATAAATGTGCGATTAATTAATATGTGTCATCTATTTATTTTGCAATTTCGGCGGGGGACATCAGCCTCACTGTTGGCTTGTTTTATTAGAGATAACCAGTGTATGTTAATAACAGGCCAATTGCCTACACATGAACATAAACAGTTCATATGAGCGGCTTATCTGATGGCCCCATTTCATTTGCAAAGAGATACACCGTCAAAAGTGAAAATGGACGTTTTTGATTTTTGTCTTAATAATGAGTATTTGCTCCACCAATCCTCAGACATTCAGCAATTCGCCGTGGCATGCTCCTAATTAACTGTCCAATCACGATTTGGGGCAATCTGACCCACTCCTCTTGCAGTGCCACGGCCAATTCTTGTAGTGTTGTCGGTTGACGCTGTCGACGAACACGTCTCCCAATCAAATTAAACATAACACACTAAAGCAAAGATACGCTAAACAGTAAATCTTATGCAAGAACCGATAACAAAACAAACATGGATAGATAAACCAGCAATGAACTCCTCCCATGTGTATGGCGCTATTGCGTGTCGCATGTGCAGCTCAGTGGTTCTGTTGGGGCGATAAGTTCTTCATCTGTGAACATACTCTCAAAGCATGTCAAGTGTCCATGACTATCATATCACAACCTTCATAGGTATTTGCATTTCAATATCCCCTAATTTTTTGAAAGAGTATATATATGTTATTAAACCAGTGTGGAAACCAGCAAGTGTTGGTTAACCATTTATCTTCCATAGTTTACTATGGAACAATGATTAAGCTAATATTTTCGGATATATAGACTTGCTATTCAGTCCAATGTTATCACAAATAAGAGTGGATATTAGTCTACTGATCTCAGCTACAAGAAACAGAATTTATTGGTCAATACCAATATGTTTGTTTATTAGTAATCACATACAACTATTGTCAAATTATTAAAAATTCAAAATATCTGTTAACCATGTAACAATAGGTATTAAACATACAATTTTTGTTTTATAAATAATTATTACAACATGAAATTGTACTGGGTGGGGCTACTTCCACTTAAAGGGACAATTTGAAATGTCCCACATCGAAAGTGATCATCATATACAGGGTAGTTGGTAAAGTAGAGACTATGCAAATATAGCATCACATTTTCTATGTTAAAACATAAGATAAGTAAATGGATAACTCACTAAAATCAAGGTCATATTTATTCATCAATTCATCTAAAACAATACAATCCTCAAATCCCTGAAATAATAAAATCTACATTAACATGTTTAGGACATCAGGACTCGCTGTTAAAAATTTAGGGGTTTGTTAATTTTTTTATGTTGGCCGATTTAGTTAATATTTAACTGTTTTTAATTTAAAATTCTTTTTTTTTTAAATTGTTTAAAAGTAAAAGAAAAAAACTTAAATTATGGCACTACAAGTGAATGACAAAAAAGGTCCTCGGCATGTCAATTTCACAATCTGTCAAGAATTATAAATTGATAATTTACTACTAAAAATGAGTTCAATACTTCTGATGATTGATAATTTACTAGTAAAAAGGAATCAATACTTATTATTGATAATTTACTAGTAAAATAGGAAATATTGTGATTAATAGGAAATTAAACTGATAAAAACAATAAGGACAGAAATTATATGATCTTACAGCATTCATTCCCTGTCCATAAAAAGGCACCATAGCATGAGCTGCATCTCCCATTATTAACCAATTACTACCAATATGGTATGGATAACACTGTAAAATAAATATAACATATACACTAACAGCCTGTCATAATATATTGAAAATATCCTCATGAGAAGCTTTGTGAAGGGAGGCAATAATCGAAGGAGTGACGAAATGTATTCTCACAATAATGTGGACATAGAACAACCGTTGAATGGTAGAATTAATGCTATAAATTATGTTTCATCAATGTTAAAATCTAGAATGCAGCTAACGAAATAAGCCTTATGTTAATTTTGGATGAGTCGATAATCATAAATATATGTATTAGTAATTTTTATCATATTTCACCACTTAACTCTGACCTCTGTGTCTTTAAATTGTAAAAAATATATAATAATTTATACCTTGACAGAGATTAATGATTGAGCTTTAGTTGTTATTAGTGTCTGTTTAATATGGCCCCTGAAAACAGACAGAACTGAAATGAGATTTAACATCCTACTTTTCTTTTCCATTCGGTCTAATGTTAAATTTGAAAAGTGCATTAACTTATTCATCATTTACTGCATAGAGTTATCTAAAACTTAAAAGTTATGTTAGTACCTCCGTGGGACCCATGAAAATCCCATGGGACCCCATACATTACCCATGGGAAGTGCTTGGAGATTTTCCATAAGGCCAAAGGACTAGGATAAGAATAACTTGTTGCACTGGCTTTCAATTTTTTTCCGCCAAAATGGATGATAATTTTTATATAAAAAAATATTCATATTTTTTTCCCGCCAACTGGAACAATTTTATGTCTCGGGTAGGACTATTATAAAACAATTACAGATATATATACAATATACAACAACTTACAAAATCTGTCTTTACATAGCACAGTTTTGATTTACTAAGATCGGATTTTATTTTTGGTGACTTTAGTTTATTTAAACACCGTACTGCACAATATATTTTCAGTATTACACGTCAGATCTCATCCAACGATTGCCAATTTTCTATAAATTTATGTGTTGCGTGCACAATGGGCCTGTTGTAATTTTCAGGTACCATAAATCCCTGATAGAATGATATAAATTTCAATTATATTTGTTAAGAGATGCTTACAATATACCTGTCATTAACTTTTAGAGCATTTTGGCGACGGTAATATGATACAAATGGCGAACTGTTTTCTCGCTCAAGAATCGTCACTATCAACTATCAAAATATTTAATTCTTTTCGAAAAGAACTGTCAGACATTTTGATTACATTACCATTTTTTTTTTAAGATGAAACAAAACATCAAATAATCATCGCTTGGATAAATCATTAGGAGAAAATAACTAATCAACTAATCATTAATCCAAAATCACTGATTAGTATTACTCATTGACGCAATCCAGATTATCTGCCAGTTGATTAATTTATAGTATTCTGCCATTCAATGTAATGGTTAATCCAGGATAGATACGATTAGAATTTTAAGATTATTTTCCGCCAGTTCTTGAAAAGAATTGCCAGTACCGCAAATAATTATTGCCAAAATTGTTGCCAAAATCAAATTTTAATCACCACTTTATCGCAAATTGCGACTTTGGCAACCAACAGCGTTAGCCCTGGACAAAGGTTAAAAAATAGATATCAAGGTGGTGAAATTTTAGCCTAAGCTTGTGATAAACTAGTCTAGTGGGGGAAATATTCTTTTCATAACAGTTTATAAATATATTGAAATGATGTTAACCTTCACAGGTTTAATGAGGTGAATTAAGTAAACTACAGTATATCTAATATACATATGATACGCAAAATAGGGCCTACCATGATTTTACTAGCCTTGGTTCAAAAACTGTACCTAATACAGAGACAAAATCAAAAGTATATTTTTCATTTTTTATTATCTATGTCCATGGAATCCATTTTAAAATGATGGAAGTATTGTGTTATGACAAGACTTTAAAGTCAATTCCATCAAATATATTATCAATAATCAAGATGTTGACTTACTCTCCCAATAAAGGCACTGCATCAGGATAGTTTTCTTTGAAGAATTCAATGATGTCATCTTCTGTCTGCAGTGATTCAAAAACCTTAAACGGCATAAATAATGTTGTTGTGTATGTCTTGTCTTGGTTTGGTAATGCTATCATCATATATTCATTCCTTGGCCAGATATGAAGATAATTTACTTCCATGGCAAACTGAAAGAAGAAAAGAAGTCTCAATTATCAACATATTATGGAATGGGGTTTAATGTCTTGCTACATAATGTTTTGTTCACATGAAATCTAACTATGATAACTGTATATTCTATGGAGTGTAACATTATAACTGTATATTCTATATCTATGGAGTGTATATGGAGTGTAACATATTATGGTAACTGTATATTCTATGGAATCTAACATATTATAATAAGTGTATATTCTATTGTTGCATGTCTTGTACATAAAAAAAAAGAACTTGGCCCAGACAGCACCTAACTGCCAAGGACTCTTTTACAGGTGTAAGTGCTGAGTAGATACCTGATTTAAAGTATCCCACAGATTATTCTCAACCCACAAGATGGAATATTAGGTGAATTTCGACCCAACTTTTTTCCTCAGAAATGCACAAAATTTGTTGTTTTTGATACCTATGGAGTCTTGCTATTTTTCTAAAATATGTGTCATAGTGTAAATCGACTTCAAATGATAAATGCATTTGTTACATACCAATTTAAATGTGTGCACTGTTGGTACATTTTGTTATTTTCAGCAATGTGTCTTATTCAGTCCAAGTCAATCAATATCTTTAACTATAAAGTACACTCACCTCATTGTTAGTAGGCTGTATTGTTAATTCTATGTAACCATGTGGTATGTATTCCTGTTGATAATTCAATCTTGTTGCTCTCATCATCAAATTACGCAGAGATGAAAATGCTCCATCACATCCAATAAACAAATCAGCTGTTTCTGTTTTAATACTCTTATCAGGACTAAACAGTAAATAAAATATACATTACAATGAATGAATGAAATGAGGTTTAACACCCCACTGTTCTGCTCCAACAGGAAATGAAATGAAATGGGGTTTAACGTTCTACTGTTTTGCTCCTAAACTGGGCTAATGGAGACGGGCATACGCCATACAGTGTGCTATGAGGGAAATCTTGCCTGGGCAGCGGCGCTATGGCCTATTCTTAAATCGAATTCCACCTGCCAAGGGATATTTTACGTGCATGCCAATTTGTACACGGGACTCGGTTTTCCATCCCATCTGAATGACTAGACAGCTGTCCTTGTCAGGCCCTCCGTCCTGCATCACTGACAAGGGGAAACCATGCCGGAAAATCTGGATGAACTTTCTCGGCCAATGCAGGGATCGAACACCCGACTTCCAGGCTAGCGAGCCAGCGTCTTACCCACTTAGCCACGTGATCCCCCTGCTCCAACAGGGCTAATGAAGATGAATGTATGCCATGCAGTATGCTATGAGGGAAAGTTTGCCCAGACAGCCCTATCTATATCCCTTTGAAGTTGGCTCCCTAGTTGGCTAGTTGGCCAAAAGTAATACAGACCCTGGGTGTTGCTACTGTAGTATTATTTTTAAAGCAGTAAATAAATATTCAATTATATAATTTTAATTTACCCTTCAAATTCAGCTTGACCACTTTCAAAATTACATCTCACTAATTTATGTTCAAAGACAAATTCAATATTGTCGTGTTTTTCAGCAGCTGAAAAATAATTTATCGTTTATAATGCCAATAATGAAAACTCAGAAAAATGGGGGTGCACCTAGAAAATAAGAAGGTGCAACTAGATAAAAGAGGTGCACATAGAAATGGAGGGATGGGCTCTTGGCAAGACAAGTCTGGGTCCACTTGTGGAAATGAGTTAGGGTAGAAGTGATATTGGCAGTGGGGCCCTGTTGTCCTGATCAGGTTCATTTGTTCTTGGGAACAATACACAGAGAAAAGTGGTTGTAAACAAAGTGGCTGCACCTAAAATATGAAATGGTGCACAGAGAACGGGTGCACCAAGATAAGCAGTGACACCTAAATAAATAGAAAGGGTGCACTTAGAAAAACAGTTACACCAAGAAAAGGGGATGGATACTGAGAAAAAGAATAGTGGGTGTGGCCCTAGAAAAAAGAGATGTTTCATCTTAAAAATAAAATACAGAAGAAGTACTTAAAACAAATATAGTGGTGGTGCCCCATCAAAGCAACAAATAAATTGTGGAAGGCAACATACCCACCCCGCCTTTATCCGGATCTGCACTCATTATATTTTAAACATTTCAATATTCAGTTTTATATTTTTGTCTAGTATTCTTACCATTTAATAAACATTCAATTTATATTTTTGTATAGTATTCTTACAATTTAATAAACATTCAGTTTATATTTTTGTATAGTATTCTTACAATTTAATAAACATTCAGTTTATATTTTTGTATAGTATTCTTACTGTTTAATAAACATTCAGTTTATATTTTTGTATAGTATTCTTACCATTTAATAAACATTCAGTTTATATTTTTGTATAGTACTCCTACCATTCAATAAACATTCAGTTTATATTTTTGTATAGTATTCTTACCATTTAATAAAAGTTCGTTGAGATTTCTTCTGTCAACAGACATTATATACTGTAATAAAGATAGGTTGCCAGGCAACAAAACATACGCCCACAGCAGCTAAATCGTCCGAGCAGTCAACAAGGGTTGTCGCATATTTATTCTTTTGTAGGTAATTAGGGGAATTTAATAGACAATTTCATACAGATGACATTATAATTTTCGTCGTTTGAGGGTTCACAAGGTTCTACAAACTAAAACAAGGGCCATAACTCTGGAAGTAATCTACAGAAATTGTTGAATTTCTACAGGCTTTTTCGTTTTACTAATTCAAATAATGCATATAAATTTCATACAGATCGGATGATAATTTTTGTCGTTCGAATGTTCACAAGGTTCAACAAAGTAAAACAAGGGCCATAACTCTAGAAGTAATTGACGGAAATTGCTAACATTCAATAGGCTTCTTCATTTCACTAATTTAAATGATGCATATAATTTCATACACATTAGGAGATAACTTTTGTCATTCAAGCGTTCACAAGATTCAACAAAGTTAAAAAAAGGGCCATAACTCTAGATGTAATTAACGGAAATTTGCTGAAACTCAATAGGCTTGTTCATTTTACTAATTTAAACGATACATATAAATTTCATACAGATCGGATAATAACATTTGTCATAGAGCATTCACAAGGTACAACAAAGTGAAACAAGGGCCATAACTCACAGCGTAATTAATGGAAATTGCTGAAATTCAATAGGCTTCTTCGTTGCACTAATTTAAATGATGGATATCAATTTCAAACAGATCGGATTATAACTGTTGTCATTAGAGCATTCACAAGATTCAACAAAGTGAAACAAGGTCCATAACTCTAGATCTAATTAACGGAAATTGCTGAAATTCAATAGGCTTCTTTGTTTTACTAATTTAAATGATACATATAAATTTCATACAGATCGGTTGATAACTTTTGTCGTTAAAGCGTTCACAAGGTGCAACAAAGTGAAACAAGGGCCATAACTCCAGAAGAAATAAACGGAAGTTATTGAAATTAAATAGGATTCTTCATCTCACTAATGCAAACAACATATATCAATTTCAAAACAATCATATGATAAATGTAGTCTGTAGAGTGTTCACAAGAAATTGTGGACGACAGACGGACGGGGGCGACGGCAAAATACGACCACATTTCCATGTGGGCGTATAAAAATACTTTAAAATTATACAATATCACTATTCTATTCTGAGAATGGCCTTCTTTCATAAATATTATCAAAATTTTTGTTTATTCTTCTGGCTACCAGTACTTTGGTTAAATGACATCTCTATCACACCACATTCACTTGACTTAGTGTTATATATGCCAATCTTTACCCTGTAATATATATTTTTTTTAACTATGCTTGCACGCATGAACCTTTAGCAACGAGGTTAGACAGACGAACCTACTCCTTGTCACATACAAGTCAGGGATAGAAACCATGTCAACTGACCCAATAATGGACCATATGATCTAAAAAGTACATGTTACACCAATCAGCCTCCTAACTACAAACTAAATGCTTTGTCGAGGAAGCGCCTAATTAAGTACCTGGTCTTTTTCCCCATAAGGTATGGGATGCCGTTTTCCATCTAGATCATGGATCATTCTTGCTCTCATTGGTATACCATTATGTACAACCGTTTCTTCTAAACCAACCATCTTCAACGCTTCCCGCCCTCGACATGATAACGCTAAATTAATACTTCGACCCTTCACATGTTGTTGTGTTCTTATATCTAAAAATACAATTTAAACCAATAAATATTATTTAACTACTGGATGTCTCATAAATTGTTTGTTTAAGTTACATTTTAGTACTTAGTCACATTAAAAACCACAAAAGTTTTATGGAATACAATCAGTGTGGCTTATAACGACAAAAGAATCATTGTTAAAACTTTGGTTCTATTAAATTAGGAAATTTTATTCTATGAAAGTTTTGTGTTTTATTTGATGTTTAGCATTTCAGCTGATCTTTACTTTATATGAAACTAACACCTATAAACTAAATGTAAAAGAAGTAAAACATGGCCTGTTGCTCACAGCGAAATATATGGAAGGGTATCGCTGCCAATATTAAATGCTCTGCTACAATGTCTTTTCCATTGATTATATGTAAAAAGTACTATGTACATGGTCCTAATACCAGTAATGATAAAGTCAAAATACCTCTAAGGCAAGAGTTAAATGTAAAACGTCAAATGTCAAATGACAAATGTTTTTGGGGAAAATGCTTTTTTTGACGTTGACGTGTGTACATTTTACATTTCTCTCAATGTTAAAATACCTGTCTTGATAGAAAAAAATCCAAAATGTTACCTATAATTGCTCTTTTCAAATATGTAAATAATTTTTTGGCACATTCATACTCCCTGAAAAACGATGAAAGTTGGTTGGAACTAAAATCTATTGCCATGATTGTGGAGGGGGCAGGGGGTATTCAATGTTAAAATACAGGTCTTAATCCAAAATTCTTGATACCAAGCTACCTATCACTAAAAGTACGTCCACTGCTGCTTAAAAATATGTAAATAATTTATTGGCACATTCAGATTAGAATACTTTGAAAAACATCGAGTGGTACAAAACACTATTAAAGGGGTATTCAAGTAAAAATACTGGTCTAAATACGAAATTACAGATACCATGTTAGGTATCACTCACTGATTGCTCTTTTCAAATATGTAAATAATTTTTTGCCACATTCATATTTGCATAACTTTACAAAATAAGATTAAAGTTGAAGTGAAGGGGGGGGTAAACTAAACTGAAGATACAGGGCTTAATCAAAGATTCTCTATGTCTATACTAAACCAGCTGCTGCCAGGCAGGATACGCCCACATTTTCGAGAGATGGATAGAGAACAAGCTAACAAGAAAGTGATTTTTCCTACAATCAAGGGCCATAATTCAGGAAATTACAATTTGATATGCGTGAATATCGAAAGGAACCGAGATCTTTGGGTTATAAACATACATTTCAAGTTTCAACAAAATCGGATAAAAATTGTGACCTCTATAGTGTCCACAACCTTGATATACCATATTTTTACGCTATTTGAGAACGAACGGCGGCCATTTTGTCTGTCAATTTCGGGCCGATTTTCACGAAATTCGAACTCAGCCATCCTTAGGGTGTAACGGTGATATTATAATACGTTTTTTAAATCGGATAAAAATTATGACCTCTATAGGGTCAACAAGCTAAAAACGCGATTTTTGGTACAATCAAGGGCCATAATTCAGGAAGTTACGGTCCGATATGCGCGAATATCGAAAGGAACCGAGATCTTTGGATTATCAACTTAGATTTCAAGTTTCAACAAAATCGGATAACAATTGTGACCTCTATAGTGTCCACAACATTGATATACCATATTTTTACGCTATTTGAGATCGAACGGCGGCCATTTTGTCTGTCAATTTCGGGCCGATTTTCACGAAATTCACACTCAGCCATCCTTAGGGTGTAACGGTGATATAATTGAACGTTTTTTTAAATCGGATAAAAATTATGACCTCTATAGGGTCCACAAGCTAAAAACACGATTTTTGGTACAATCAGGGGCCAAAATTCAAGAAGTTACGATCCGATGTGCACGAATATCGAAAGGAACCGAGATCTTTGGATTATCAACTTAGATTTCAAGTTTCAACAAAATTGGATAAAATTGCGACCTCTATAGTGTCCACAACATTGATATACCATATTTTTACGCTATTTGAGAACGAACGGCGGCCATTTTGTCGGTCAATTTCGAGCTGATTTTCACGAAATTCGAATTCAGTCATCCTTAGGGTGTAACGGTGATATATGTGAACGGTTTTTTAAATCGGATAAAAATTATGACCTCTATAGGGTCCACAAGCTAAAAACACGATTTTTGGTACAATCAGGGGCCATAATTCAGGAAGTTACGGTCCGATATGCGCGAATATCGAAAGGAACCGAGATCTTTGGATTATCAACTTAGATTTCAAGTTTCAACAAAATCGGATAAAAATTGTGACCTCTATAGTGTCCACAAGCTAAAAATGTGATTTTTCGTACAAACAGGGGCCATAATCCATGAAGTTTCGATCCGATACATGCCAATATCGAAAGGAACCGAGATCTTTTGGAGATAAACCTACATTTCAAGTTTCGTCAAAATCGGATAAGAATTGTGACCTGTAGAGTGTCCACAAACAAATTGTGGACGGACGAACGTCCGGACGGACAGGGGCGACGGCATAATACGTCCACATAAAAATGTGGGCGTATAAAAATGTATAGTCATTCCTCTCTTTAAATATATTATTTATTTGTTGGGCACAATGCTTATAATATTGTTGGTTATTTTTTTAATGGAACAAAGTTAATTAGGCTGTACTCAACTCTGTTTACAGAAAGACCGTCAAAATACAGGTATTAATACGAAGTTCCAGTTATTGTGTTATAAATTACTGGAAAGTATGTTTATTTGGCTCTTTGAATCTATCAATTATTTCCTTGCCCATTCAGGATAACACATGGTCGTCTATATAGTTTCTTATAGTGCGCCAGCTTGATTTACTGTTATCGTGCGGTGAATATCCTTGTAGTGTGCTGATTTATAGTGTGCCAGCTTTCCGTATATGTTAATAAGTCACGTGATATCCTACATTTGCATTTGAAAGTTGATGCTGTGCGAAAGATACTATCTAGAAAGCGTGAAGGACAAATGAGATGTGGCAGAGCGCAAAGGTAAAATGTAATGTGAGAGATGTAAAATGTAGACACATCAATAAAAGCATTTTCTAACAAAACATTAATTGTCATTTAACACTTAACATTTTACATCTTACATTTAACTCTTGTCTTAGAGGTATTTTGACTTTATAATTATCGGTATTAGGACTTTGTCCATTGTACTTTTTACATATAATCAATGGAAAAGACATTCTAGCAGAGCATTTAATATTGGCAGCGATACCCTTCCATAGAAATAGAATGTTTTACAGCTAAACAGTGACTCTATATAACAAAAGACAATGTCAATGTCAAACAGCTAAACAGTGACTCCATAATAAAATCCAATGTTTCAAATCTAAACAGTGATTCCATAATAAAATACATTGTGTCCCAAGTTTCCTCTCTCCAAGACAGATTTTTATAACCATAACACCAGGTCATCTGGTATTCTACAGAGAGATACCCTGGATTAATGATTAATGATTATAACTAGATAGGGAAGTTTTTGAAATTAACAATTTTTGTTTGCTTTTAACAATGTATTTTTAAATCAGTGTCAAGTCAAGTCATTTGAACAAATATGTTATAACTTTGAACAAATATTGCATTTGTTATGAGTAAAATAATGGTCCAAAGACCTTTAAACTATGATATCTCTATAGGTTATCTAGATAAGAACAGAACAGATGGTTAGTTTCTGTATATAATAGATAATTATTATACAACTGACATGACAAAAAAAAATCATAAATACCAGATATAAAAACCAGAATGTAATGAGCTTGAATGATATGTATGTAGTTGCGCTAATGGGAGAAAATAAATTTGATGTGTGTTACCTGAATCATTAAAATTAATGATTACCTGGTCGTCTTTCATAAACCTTGACATTAAATCCACGTTTAGCTAAATAACAAGCATTCAGTGAACCAACCTAACAAATAAAAAAAAATACTGTAAAAGTTAAACAGTTTTATTGATCAATTTAAAATGTTTTAATTTGATCAAATTTGATGACCAAAACAGCTACACGGTGCACTTTTCAATTTTCATCTGCTTTGATAGGCCCTATTTGTAGACTAGGTCTTCAAAGTGAAAGTATGATATTTCAATGACCAGAGTCTGTCCTTAAAAGCTGTGTTAAAACACATGCATTGCATTCCCTATAGGATGACATTCTCCATTATTCTAACATTATTCATTTTGTTTCAATGCATGTAAATTGAAAAGAAGATTATGGTCCTACGAGACAGGCATATGCCATGCAGCATATGCTATCAGGGAATTTTGCCCGGGCAGTGGTGCCACGGCTCTTGTGAAATGAAATGAAATGAAATGGGGTTTAACGTCCTACTGTTTTGCTCCTAAACTGGGCTAATGAAGACGGGCATATGCCATACAGGTGCTATGAGGGAAATTTTGCCCGGGCAGCGGCGCTACGGCCTACTCTTATATCGAATTCCAACTGCCAAGGGATCTTTTATGTGCATGCCAATTTGTACATGTGTCCTCGGTTTTTCGTCCCATCCGAATGACTAGACTGCTGCAGTCCTTGTCAGGCCCTCCATCCTGCATCACTGACAATGGGAAACCACGCCAGAAAATCTGGATGAACGTTCTTGGCCAATGCAGGGATCGAACACCCGACATCCAGGCTACCGAGCCAGCGTCTTACCCACTTAGCCACGTGATCCCCCGCCTACTCTTGTATCAAATTCCCACTGTCAACTTTGGGTTATTTTACGTGCACACCAATGTGTACACAGGACCTCAATTTTTCATCCCATCCGAATTACTAGACACTATATTATGTTCCTTGTCAACCCTCTATCCTGCACCACTGAAACCACTTGGGGAAACCACTTGGTTAGCAAGACAGTGCCTTACTTACTGAACCTCTGTGACTCCCTATTATGCATGTAACTGGTAAATAAATTCTGGGTCAGTATCCTATTTTATTTTATGATCAGTAGTGGAATACCGCGTTTTATCAGTGAAATAAAAGTGTTATCCCACTGGCTAGCAGTAGTCCATGTTGTTTTTACCTAAAATGATTGTAAAATCATAAAATAAATAGAACATTTGTCGTTTTGTCGTGAATAACATATTTTATTTCATCTCTAAGCAAGAAAACTTCGATGAAATAAAATATGTTATTCACTCTAAAACGACAAATATCCTCTATTTATAGTTAATAAGTTTATTCTGTATGACACAAATTTAAATTAGAGGAAACTAATATTCTTTAGTAATTAAAAATAAAATCACGACTTACCAGTCCAGCTCCGACAATGACAACATTTTTTGTATTCTCCATATTGTAGCAAGTGAGTTTTCACGTCCACTGCCCTCTCTCTATCAATCAACAGTTGGTCAGAACTGTCGGCCTTGTATGAAAGCACAAACCGTGTATCTTCAGTATATATATATATACAATAATACAATAGCTGATCTATTTAGTATGTTTTAAATACTATTATCTTACACTAGTTTCTATTTCCTCAACTCCGTCCCCTACGGAAGACCATTAGGGTCAATCAAATGAAAACAAAAATCAGATTATCTTATACATGTATCATGTTATTACAAGATAACTACCTTGTTATAACTAGATAACTATCTTGTAATTACAAGATACTTCATTAATTTCATGCTCTCCTTAAACCCACAGAACGCTATTCATAATTTTTCGGAAGACCTTTAAATTTTGATTTTTGGCCGTTTTTGTTTTCGTTTGTTTTGACTTTACACAGTTTTTATTGTTTGCAGAATTTACCGAGTTTAGTGATTTTTTCCATTTAACAGAAAATTAAAAACTGTGCAAAGTCAAAACGAACAAAAACAAAAAACATTTTTACGGTTAATATCAACGGCCGTTGATTAGCAGATTTGATTAAAATCTGTTCAAAATCGGAGTTGATTATTATCTTGTCATGTTAATAGAATTAATGCCTAAAGAAAGACATGCAATAAGCAGATTTAGCTCTTGCATAATGTATGTTTAAAGGAGTTAATATTCGGTATTAAAACACGAATTAGAATTCAATATTGATCAGTTTTAATCAATATTGATGTTATTATCTTGCTGTGAAACTATAGGATCCTAATATCCAATATTTAAGACACAGTGTCAGTACACGAGTCGTGTACCCTATATGGTTTTGGGTGTCATTTTGTAATGAACAAATAAAAACATATCCTGCAACACAATGTGGAAAAAATTAGTAAATGGTGATTCACAAACGACAAAATAATTTTAAAAAAAAATTAGAATTCACTAATAAGGCGTAAACGACTGTCGTTCAATTTGAACTGTTCGTGTATTTCACCGAACATAATTGATTAGTCAAAAATTGAATATAAATCCCTTTACATGCATTCGTATTACATTTATATATGCTTTTAGAACAATAGAGGCATACGCCCTTTAATAAGAACCCACTGACGAAGATTTACGTACAATATCACATTTTTGGCCGTTTTGTTTTCGTTCGTTTTAACTTTACACAGTTATATAAGTTTGGGTCGTTTTGGATTAGCCCCGTTTCGTCTATATCCCTTTTAAACAAGCTGCTGCTATCTTTACGTTTCGCTGAACCTCTTTGTGGCGCCTCTATTTAATTCGATTGAATCCAAGCCTGCAAATTATCTATCGTTGCGATCTTGATTTTGATTTCTTTAACAATCACTTTGTGTACATTCAGGCTTGGATTAACAAAACTTTCTGAAAAATGTAAATGGCGTTCCGCGGCTTTAAGGAGAGCATGAAATCAACGAATCATTAATAAATGATATCAATGAGAGCATGAGGTTGATGGGACTATGAAGTTAATGAGAGTTATGGACTTAATGAATGGTTTCTAATGAGGGCATGAAATAACGAATGATATTAATGGAAGTATGACCTGAATGTGCTAATCCCGTAACATAAAAAAGTAGCCTACTTCGTTTGCCTAGCTATCAGTGTAGGGCGACCTTGAAATAAACTAGTTAGAACACTTTGTTTCATGTCATTGACCCCCCAAATGGGCTTCTCCGTATCTTGTTATTACAAGATAGATTAAAGACCCGCATTCATGGGCTTTTATGACACACAATTCATAGGCGTACAAGTCAGGGGGGCAAGGGGTGGGGGATTGGGGCAGCTGCCCCCCCCCCCTTAACCTTCGGACAATCTGACTTTTCGGGCAGAAGTGTAAAGTATTATTTCATCTAGTTGGCAAAATAAAACTGCTCTTTTTGAAAGATTTTCGCAATCACTATGTTATTGTATTACGTTCTTGAAAATGTTGCCAAACTAGTTCAAACTGTGAGAACGGAGTGAACGTAGAATTGTTTACGATCTGTTTAAGAACTTTATGCCCATGGACGAGCTCGGACTGGCTTGGGCGGGAAGGGTGCTCTAGAACGTTGATCTTGTTCAAAATTTCCCCGTTCTGCAATTAGACGGGGTGACAACGTATTACCAACGGAACTGTCGTACTATGAACTGAATTGTCGTACTTCGATCCTCCTAGGGACGTTGCAACTAGCTACAATATTGTACCCGGGTCATGTCTTATCCGCATCTACAATTGATACACTATTCGAGGCTTTGCGGAAGTAAACTTAGGTTCAGTTGCAAATTTTCAACAATATCATCACAGTTTGCATGGAAATAAGTAATTATGTTACAAATAGTGAAGGGTGGAACAAAGAAATCTTAATCTTATCTTACCGAACAGTTTGTATTTTCGAGTGACATGAAATCATATGATTTGATTCGGTGGCCATTTTAAAATGAACAGAAATTTCGCAATAGCAGTTGGTTTTAATCAAATCATATAATTATTATGCGGCAAGGTTTCGCCTTTGCCTTTATTTCAATGGAAATTGGTTTATTATATGTTAAGCTATGTATAGTACTGTTTGGGGCCAGTGTAATTGGAAATTAAAGGGAGTTATAGGCCAGTAACCGTTATTTAGTCAAATGACTACAAGACTTGCTCAAAGTAAGGTCTTATGACGATCCACTATATTGTGGCTGGAGCAAGACGGAAGACATCAGCAGTGGAATCATTTCTAGGTTGCAGCGTGACGTGGTCGAGCATCAATGATAGCAGTAGACCTGGGTCCTTATAGGCCTCAAGTATTTTCTTATAGAGGACTTCACTAGCCTTCAGTCTTGGTTTTCTTCAGGTTCAGGGACTTCAGAGTGTGGAGATCTACAGGGTCTAGAGGCAGGCCCAGGAGGTTCAGCAAAATTATGTCTGGTCTGAATGGCCTTCAGAGGATCTTTGGGCAGTACTAGTGGCTGCTTACCCACGGGCAGTCCTTCCGGTAGTTCTCCTAACTTTCGGGGAATCTGACTTAACGGGCAGACGGTTAAAGTGAAAACAAAAATAATTATTTCATTTAGCTGGCAAATGTTACCTAATGACAGATGTCAAGAGTACGTTATGGTGCCATCTTGACACATGAAAGCGGAACTTATTTTAATATCTGTATATCGGCTATTGACATACATGGTTGTCCAGATTACACTCATTATTAGTCTTACCATAATATAAACTTATAGCTGGCACGATTATGTAATGTCTTGTAATGCAATCTGTACTAAAGACTTAATCTGGCAATAGCCAGATGTGTAATCTTGTGAGATCCTTTGTTTAGAAGGGGGATATAAGCAAGAAACGGGGATAGGACAAACTAGGCGAGGGCGTCTAGAAGTTAACTTAGGACCAGGCAGGTCTCGAGTTAAAGACCGGACAGCGGCCATGTAAGTTAGTTGGGAGTTGGTATACCCAAAGGTGTCAAGCCAAGCTAAGACCCTGGCTCCCCCAACACAAGCTAATTACGGAGTCTTTAAGTTTTGTACATGATATGTTTGAAGAACAACAGAAGTATTATATGAAGTTTAAACCAGTGTTATCAACCAGAACCTGACATAAAGACCCAAAAGTGTAACACAAAATAAAGTGCCCGAAATGTAATAAAACATTGATTTTACTGAACTGACTATGGATTAATACATTTTGTCTGGAGACACACTACTAATCTGTTTCATAGAGGATTACGAAAGTCTTCTAATATCTCTGTGAAAGATGACTGCCTTCAACACGTGACGTCACATCACGCCGCGTCAATCACTTGCTCAATGGTGGGTGCATTGTTTACATACGACGTTACTGGTTCGGGCAGAATGGCGCCTTTTACTCATTTTAATAACCATTTACACTAAATAGGATATAATTTTTACCTACAAATACTTCAAACGTCTTTATTTATTTTTCTAATACATAAAAAACATGTTAATATTTGGGTCCCATTAAGTCGCACCGATGTCATCCTTATCAGTGATTGTAGCGGCCTAGCGAATATTCACTGCTGCTCAGTGTGCTTACTTTGTGCGACATTTACCGGGCATCGATTATTATTAAGTGAATGCAGCTGCAACAGTCTGATGGTTGGAATTCAGGCCGGCATAGAGTGGGATTTCGGTTGCAAACCGATTGGAAACTTTGATGGTGCTTATTCACGGGCTAGAATAGCAGAAAAACGCATTTGCGGCGGTTAAATTCTCAAAATGTTCTCGGGGAACGCGAGGCCCCCACACCCCGCGACGATTGATTGCTTGTTTGGGATTTGAGATGCACGTAACTCACCTATCTTGAACCACATTGAAGTTGCTGTATTCACGGTTGTTCTGCATCTGTGTTCAAAAGAAATAATCCCATACAAGACTGGCGTATTTATGTTTGTAAACGCCCAAACTTATTACTAGGTCCGAGAGCAGTAGCTTATTCATACACACAATTTGAATTGTCGTAAAAGAGCCAGACATCGTGACGATAGACAAGCCTTGCTGCCACCCCGGGGATACAATCTATGGACCGTACAGATGTGTACGTATTTATGAACGAACTAGAATCGAATTATAGACATTCTTTACACATTCTACCCCGATCACAACCCGTTTTACGATGTTTTGAGACGGGTATAGTAGGGCGCTTTTGATAACTCGTTTGGTGTTGGTGTGGTGGGGGCTTGGCCGAAGGGGGGGTTGGATGGCCAAATGGTTAGCACGTGCGCGCTGTATCATACGGTCTGTCATTGAGTCAACTGGCGGGATTTCGATTCCCCGGTTGTACGTGACAAGGAGTAGGGTCGCCTGTCCAACCTCGTGGGTTTTCTCCGGGTCCTCCGGTTTCCTCCCAATGCTAAAGATCCCTACGCGCAAGCGAATTATTGAAATATAAAATTGAACCATGTGTTAGACCCGAAATGACCTAGTTTGTGTCGAGTGGACGTTAAACCCCATCTCTCTCTCTCTCTCTCTCTCTCTCTCGGCTTGGCCGAATAGTTACTTGCATGCAATAACCTAACCTGGAGAAGGCAGTACTTTGGGCAAAATTATTGGTGTGTGTCGGGGGGGGGGGGGGCGTGACTCTAAATCTAATCGCCATAAAAAAAACATCTAAAACTCGTACTATGGCATATTTTAACACTTTTTGAGCAGTGAACCTGTAA